GATAAAGTAGAGATGTACGATAAAGTAAACGTGAGCGACCAAGTAGAAGTGTACGATAAAGAATAGAGATGAACGATAAAGTAGAGATGTACGATAAAGTAGAGGTGCACAATAAATTAGAGATGAACGATAAAGTAGAGATGTACGATAAAGTAGAGATGTATGATAAAGTAGAGATATACGATAAAGTAGAGGTGCACGATAAAGTAGAGATGTACGATAAAGTAGAGGTGAGGATAAAGTAAACTTGAGCGATAAAGTAGAAGTGTACGATAAAGTAGAGATGAACGATAAAGTGGAGATGTATAATTAAGTAGAGGTGCACGATAAAGTAAACGTGAACGATAAAGTAGAGATACGATAACGTAAACATGAACGATAAAGTAGAGATGTACGATAAAGTAGAGATGTACGATAAAGTAGAGATGTATGATAAAGTAGAGATATACGATAAAGTAGAGGTGTACGATAAAGTAAATATGAACGATAAAGTAGAGATGTACGATAAAGTAGAGATGTACGATAAAGTAGAGATGTACGATAAAGTAAACTTTAGCGATAAAGTAGAAGTGTACGATAAAGTAGAGATGAACGATAAAGTGGAGGTATACGATAAAGTAGACATGAACGATAAAGTAGCGATGTATAATAAAGTAGAGGTGCACGATAAAGTAAACGTGAGCGATAAAGTAGAGATGTACGATAAAGTAGAGATGTACGATAAAATAAAGATATACGATAAAGTAGAGATGTACGATAAAGTAGAGATGCACGATAAAGTAGAAGTTAACGATAAAGTAAACATGAACGTTAAAGTTGAGATGTACAATAAAGTAGAAGTGAACGATAAAGTAGAGGTGAACGATAACGATAAAGTAGAGGTGAATTATAAAGTAGAAGTGAACGATAAAGTAGAGGTATACGATAAAGTAAACATGAACAATAAAGTAGAGATGTACGATCAAGTAAACATGAACGATAAAGTAGAGATGTACGATAAAGTAGAGATGTACGGTAAAGTAGAAGTTAACGATAAAGTAAACATGAACGATAAAGTAGAGGTGTACGATAAAGTAAACATGAACGATAAAATTGAGATGTACAATAAAGTAGAAGTGAACAATAAAGTAGAGGTGAACGATAAAGTAGAGGTGAACGATAACGATAAAGTAGAGGTGAATTATAAAGTAGAAGTGAACGATAAAGTAGAGGTGTACGATAAAGTAAACATGAACAATAAAGTAGAGATGTACGATAAAGTAAACATGAACGATAAAGTAGAGATGTACGATAAAGTAGAGGTGAACGATAAAGTAAACATGAACGATAAAGTAAACATGAACGATAAAGTAGAAGGGAACGATAAAGAAGAGGTGAACGATAAAGTAGAGGTGAACGATAAAGTAGAGGTGAATTATAAAGTAGAAGTGAACGATAAAGTAGAGGTGTACGATAAAGTAAACATGAACAATAAAGTAGAGATGTACGATAAAGTAGAGGTGTACGATAAAGTAGAGGTGTACGATAAAGTAGAGGAGAACGATAAAGTAGAGATGTACGATATAGTAGAGGTGAACGATATAATTTGTTACTACGTTTCCAAGCTAAAATTCTATTTTTCACAACTTGTGTCCGAATGCAAAACGGATGTAGTGCCTGCTGGGACGATATGATGCGCGCCCGGCGGATACGGATCGGGCCGGGATATAACATATTAAGAGCTAGCAGTATCGCAATGTTAAACAAACAATATAAAGGGAAAGTTCTGTATATGATAGCAATGGTTACGTACACAATAGTTGTATTTACACTGTACGTGTGCGATAAAGTTGGCTAAGAGTACGCAACTAAAAGACGACAACGGCTTAACATTGATTCCCAGCTGACGTAGAATTTCCAATGTTATGCGCACGACACTTGGTCTAACGTTATCTTGTTAAACACAACAGGTCCGAATAGTTTTGTAACTATCGACATGAGTATTTATTCCGACGTTCATTGCTGCGGTATCAGCGGTTTTCTTAAAGGAGGACGCTATTTGTAATGTTTGGAACTGTGAACTTGTCCCTGTTGTTAAAACTGGCTCAAACACACTACATTTTGACCTGGTTGTAATTCATAACCCTGCACACATAACACTGACGCCATCATGCTTAAAGAAACCCAATTGGCCGGTTTGTGACTATATTAGCCGCGCCAACGTTCCCGACCACAATCAGCATGGACATTTTGCACCAACTTCCTAGTGCATAGGTTTAAAGATGATCAGTGCCAGCAAAACAAGAAAACTAATACGGAAGCCGATACGTAATAGAAACTGAGAGATATTATGAACATATTATTTTAGTTACTCGTTCACAAAGAAGCTATGTTTGTTGTCACATGTCTGTTGATATCCAAGGATGACGACTGATACTATTGTATACTGATTTACACTACAATTGGTATCTGTGAGAGATGACTTAGACTGAGGTAGTACGAGGTTGATTAATACTAAGATTTGAAAAGTTATAAACGAATGGAAAAGTAAACTTGTGTTTGTTTTTACATTGAAGTTGATTAACTGTTTTATTTAGCGGTACATTCAATGATTCCGTTTCTATTCAATGTTAGTGTTAACATGCAATCCAATACTTTATGTGTTTGAGGCCTGTTGAACTGTTAGAATTGTTCCAATCTATTGTACGTTTACATAGTTCTGCCTTTTATAACCCTTGTGACTTTATTTGCATATGTATCTGTATATTATGGCTTCTCATACTATCGCTGAGAATGTACATGCATTTCTCAGGAACTTCGTCTACATTTTATTTGCGGATCGACCCGCATCATGCTACAATACGCCAGAATGTATCTCTATTTTGACTTGTATGGCTTACCTTTTAATGAAAGCATAAACATAAATCCTTATTATAAAATCCACAAAAAACCGTACACCTGATATTTTACTCTGATGATTTGATACGCGATTGTTGCTTTCCACATGCTTTATGTATCATCACTACACTCGACACTACATTTATGAAAACTAGCTTCCTCAACCCACTCATACTTATATGGCTCGGAGGCCCCATCTTTCCTTTTAATTTTTATGAATATCGATATGCGTAGAGGAACATACTATAATGATGGGTGGATCCTTTGATATTACTAACTAATACTGATATAATCAACATGTAGTTAGAGTGGACTAATTTGTTTTATAATTCAAGAAAAATATTGGCACGGTAAAAGTCAATACATGTATCAAATATCCGAGTCCTTGTGCTAAACAAGAGATAGGTTCGCCTACATTTAATCGGACGAGTCGTCCGATTAAATGTAGGCGAACCTATCTATTATTAAGCACAATGACTCGGATAATTGATACATGTATTGACTTTTACCGTGCCAATATTTCTATCCTATCCCCCCTAAAAAGACGCACAGATACTTTACTTATGGCCATATATATGTTACCCATGAAGGATGAGATATTGACGATTTTTTTGTCTCTTTTGTTGTTGTTGTATAGATAGATATTAATTAGTGAACAGTTAAAGTATGGGTATGAGGATATAGCAAGTTTATGATCCCCGAGGCCAGGACTATTTCCCGAGGCAAAGCCGAGGGAAATGGTCCTGGACGAGGGGGAAATACCCATGCTTCAACTGTTTTATTATACCAATACAAACACTCCCTTACAATATTCTAAATATTATTAGACAACAATAATTTGGAAGCACCAAAGAGTTGCACCAAAATAAAACAGAAAAGTTAACTGAAGAAGCAAACGAAAAATGGATAGCACAAATTCGCTAACGGATGCCTGTACTGTTTTTTGTGTGTGTTCCAACTGTCCTTTGCCTCCAATATGTCCGACAACTCGCTCTCGTCCAACACAGAAAACATGGGGGTCGCCATTTCTGTTGTCGTCTGTCAACAACACTGCGAGGTGAAGGTCGGTACAGAAAGTACAAGCTCCGCTGGCCGGACATTGCCGACGTAATTCGATTGCGCTGATTGATCAATATTCGGTCAGGCCCCGCCCACGACGTCACTCTATTTCCCGCATTTTCCGAGGGAAATAGTTTCAAAACTATCGCACCCCTCCAGACGAACTATTTCCCTGGCATGCAGGTACAGGGGAAATAGCTTGTTAAATAAGTAGAGGTATAATAATATAAATTATCCGAGGGCCTATGCTTGAAGCGTTTCAATCACCCTGATGAGTCTTGTTCATTTCTCTTCTTGTCAACATGTGTTTCTCTGATGTAAATTGTGTGTGTGTGTGTGTATGATAGCTGTTTTATGTTTGTGTTACTGTAATATCTCATCCATGCTCAACTGGATTTCAGATATCACGACGGTGAAATTTCTTTATAGCCGGATGACTGACCGATCCTTTCCTGTTCATAGTTTCCACATCGACAATGGTTAATTTGGTTTGTATTCTTATCTTTGAAAAGGTTGGTCTCCGGCTATATTTATTGTATTCAATCAAACTATATTTCGATATCCCTCATGGCTTTCGTCATATTTATTTGTATTACTTTATTCTGTTTTCTAGATTCGATAACTTATCTTTCATTGTTATATCGCATCTTATAATTATGATACGGTGTTGTGACATAGAAATAAATCCTGGTCCACTACAAAACATAAATCCAGTTCATTAAAATGTGAGGTCTCTTAGAAACAAAATACCCCTTATTGAAGCAGAGCTAGAAAATTCTGATATTGTTTGTATAACAGAATCCAATCTAAATCCTTTAATATCTAACACCGACATTCACATGCACACTTTTACAATTACATAAGACAAATATTGGAGCCCTACATCCCTAAACCAGTCAAGTGCATCTAGACATGCGTGTTCATAAAAGCCAATCAATGAAATACATTGCGTCGGGACAATTTCTTACGGTATTCCAATATATACGATTTACTTTCCCTTAACTGGTAGCATAACTCCGGTTTTTTAAAGAAAAGACTCAATCATTCGTCTAAGGTTTTTATTTTCAATAAATTAGATTTGAAGGTGCATTTGGGTAGTTTTGGGTGTTTTTGGTTAGTTTTGTTGTGTTTTGGGGGTGTTTTGGGGTAGTTTTGGGTGTTTTGGGGTAGTTTTGGGTGTTTTGGGGTAGTTTTGGGTGTTTTGGGGTAGTTGTGGGTGTTTTGGGGTAGTTGTGGGTGTTTTTGGGTAGTTGTGGGTGTTTTTGGGTAGTTGTGGGTATTTTGGGGTAGTTTTGGGTGTTTTGGGGTAGTTTTGGGTGTTTTGGGGTAGTTTTGGGTGTTTTGGGGTAGTTGTGGGTGTTTTGGGGTAGTTGTGGGTGTTTTGGGGTAGTTGTGGGTGTTTTGGGGTAGTTGTGGGTGTTTTGGGGTAGTTGTGGGTGTTTTGGGGTAGTTGTGGGTGTTTTGGGGTAGTTGTGGGTGTTTTGGGGTAGTTGTGGGTGTTTTGGGGTAGTTGTGGGTGTTTTGGGGTAGTTGTGGGTGTTTTGGGGTAGTTGTGGGTGTTTTGGGGTAGTTGTGGGTGTTTTGGGGTAGTTGTGGGTGTTTTGGGGTAGTTGTGGGTGTTTTGGGGTAGTTGTGGGTGTTTTGGGGTAGTTGTGGGTGTTTTGGGGTAGTTGTGGGTGTTTTGGGGTAGTTGTGGGTGTTTTGGGGTAGTTGTGGGTGTTTTGGGGTAGTTGTGGGTGTTTTGGGGTAGTTGTGGGTGTTTTGGGGTAGTTGTGGGTGTTTTGGGGTAGTTGTGGGTGTTTTGGGGTAGTTGTGGGTGTTTTGGGGTAGTTGTGGGTGTTTTTGGGTAGTTTTGGGTGTTTTGGGGTAGTTGTGGGTGTTTTGGGGTAGTTGTGGGTGTTTTGGGGTAGTTGTGGGTGTTTTGGGGTAGTTGTGGGTGTTTTGGGGTAGTTGTGGGTGTTTTGGGGTAGTTGTGGGTGTTTTGGGGTAGTTTTGGGTGTTTTGGGGTAGTTTTGGGTGTTTTGGGGGTGTTTTTGGGTAGTTGTGGGTATTTTGGGGTAGTTGTGGGTATTTTGGGGTAGTTTTGGGTGTTTTGGGGTAGTTTTGGGTGTTTTGGGGTAGTTGTGGGTGTTTTGGGGTAGTTTTGGGTGTTTTGGGGTAGTTTTGGGTGTTTTGGGGTAGTTTTGGGTGTTTTGGGGTAGTTTTGGGTGTTTTGCGGTAAATCGTCGTGCCCCTTTTACTTCCTCTCCTCACAGAAAAGATAGAACTACAGGTCCAGGCGGGGGGATTATTGTTTTTTATAAAAATACTATCATGATTAATAGACGAATTGATTGGAAAGGGATGATATTGAATTGATCTGGTTAGAAGTAATAATTGATAATCACAAACTTTTACTAGGATGCATATACAGACCTGATAGTAATGTTGATTACTGGAACAAACTAGATGATACTTTGACCAGAGCTACTGTTACTACAATGGATGTGGTACTCACCGGTGCGTTAATATCGATATGTTAACCCTTCTACTTAATCATCACCTTTCAAGACTCCTTACTAAGCATAATTTATATAGCCTTATTAATGAACCTACACGTATAACTCAGGAGAGTGCCACTTCCATTGATGTTATCTTTACAAACAACCGAAACATAATAAGAAATATTTATACATCGCCACCCTTCTGTAGTGATCATTCTTCTGTGCATGCATCCATTTTATTTAGTGTATTCAAACAAGCAAGTTATAAGAAAAATATTTTAAAATATGAAGAAGGTGATTTTGAAAGTATGAATAACACTCTTCTTGATGTTGACTGGGTAAATCTATCATCAAACCAGGATTCTAATACATTTAACAGTACCATAACTGATTTAATCATGGGTCAGGTAAATGACTTCATTCCTGTTAAAGTAATAACAGTAGGTCCTAATGATAAACCATGGATGAACAACAACATAAGATCAAAGATGATACAACGCAATAGAATTCACAGAAAGGCCAAATTAACAAACAGTCCTCACTTTTGGAACATATTTCGTATTCTCAGGAATGAAGCCATTGACCTGATCCGTGAAGCTAAGTCTACATATATCAAAACCCTAAAAAACTCTTTAAATAACAATAAGATTCCCCCAGATGAATGGTGGAAAATTGCTAAATCTATCTCTAACTTCACCAATAAACCATCCTATTGATAAAGCTGAGGTCCTCAATACTCACCTGACCTCCAACTACCTCAGACAGCACAACCAGCAATTCCTTATTCACTATCTTATATTAATATTAGTGAACAAGATGTTGCTGACCAAATTAATATTCTTAATATAAATAAGCTCCCTGGACCTGATGGAATTGTTCCCAAAATTATTAAAAGATTGAATTCCTCTCTTAAATTACCCCTCATGATCTTATTTAATAAAACACTAGAAACAGGAGTGATTCCCAATAACTGGAAACAAGCAAATATAAATGCAGTTTATAAGGGTAATGGATCATCTAATGATGTTTTCAACTACAGACCTATTCAGTAACTTTATGCTTTAGTAAAATAACGGAAAAAAAGTGTTTAGATATCTTTATAACTACCTGTTGGAGAATTCTATAATCACGAAGCACCAATCAGGATTTACACCTGGTGATTCAACAGTTGATCAACGCTTGTTTATTATAATGAAATTGTTAGTAATATGGACCAGGGTAAGGAACTTAGATTTATTTTCTGTGATATAAGCAAAACATTTGATAGGGTTTGGCATAAAGGTCTAATTCATAAATTTAGGGCATCTGGTTTGAAAATTATTTAACAGACAGAATGCTAAGAGTTAGCACTGAAAGATATCACTCTCAGTTTAGGACTATAAATGCAGGGGTACCTCAGGGATCTATTCTGGGACCACTCCTGTTTCTTCTTTATACTTATGGTATTACTGACAATGTTTCTACTAATATTAAACTTTTTGCAGATGACACTTCTCTGTTTGTGATCATAGACAAAAATCCAGTTCAGGCAGCCCAGGATCTCTCGAATGACCTTGTAAACATTAGTGAGTGGGCATATATATGTGATATAAATTTTAACACAAATAAAACAAAGTCAGTTGTATTTTCCAGAAAACATAACCACGTACAACCCCCAATATCATTTCAAAACAATCAAATCACTGATTCAATAACACATAAACATTTAGGACTAACTTTTACAGACGATGCATCATGGAAACCGCACAAACAGATTATATATGAAAAAGCATACAACAGATTAAATATTCTTCGTTATATCAAATCTAAGGTAGGTCGTAAATCATTAATTAAAATATATATTGCATTTATTAGACCAATTTTGGAGTATGTAGACATTTTATGGGATAACTGCACCTTACAATCTATTGAATTACTTGAATCTGTACAACTAGAAGCAGCTAGGATTATAACTGGTCTTCGTTCAGGGACATCACACAATAAACTCTATAATGAACTTGGTTGGGAAACACTGTCTGCAAGAAGGTATAAACACAAACAAATAATGATGTATAAGACTCTCCCCTCAATACTTGCAAAATGTCACAAATCCTTTTACTAACAATCATAATAGCAATCCCTACTCTCTTAGACAAACCAGACTCTTTAACCCATCTATGTGTAGAATTAATAACTATTTTGACAGTTTTTCCCCTTTATGTGTCGCAATGTCAACACTATGAATACTGATATGTTGAACTCTCGATCTCTTGCTCTGTTTAAAAAATTCCAAAATAAAGATAAAGTTAATGACAGAGAAGTAACTTCAATTTTTAAAAACGACGGTGAAAGAAGGGTAAATAGTATTCTTTGCCAATTAAGAAATTCCTGTAGTAATTTAAATTCTGATTTATATCGTGACCATTTAATAGATAGTCCAACTTGTGCTTGTTCTTTTGAATACGAAACAGCCTTTCATTATTTCTTCAATTGTCCACTGTATATCGAACAACGAAATACTTTGTTTACTTCTTTGAATAATATTAGTAATCATAACCATATGGATTTAAATATATTTTTTCAAGGTTGTCCTACATGTGATCTGATTATAAACAGACAGATGCTAAGTCATATTCAGATTTTTATTGGAAAAACTAGGCGTTTTAATTTGTATATGACGTAGAAAGCCATGATGTATTATCTGAATTGTTACAGGAATAACAAAGTATAGGTATAATGATAAATGAGATGACAGTTGAGTAGGTTTGTTATATCTTGTTTATTTTCTGTTCAATATAATAAACATAATATTATATTGCCTTTTTGTCACATTATTCAAATTTGTACTTTTTACTCATAACCAGTATTTAGTAGCAATGACCTGTGTACATAAATGCACATGGACTTTTGGTCAAAGTTTACTCTTACTGTACATATGCTATACTGACTGTGACTATGCTTTATTTAATAAGAAAATAATTGTATGTGTGTTGGATGTATGATTGTGAGTTGTTTGTGTATTGTTACTGTGATGTCCTATGATGAGTTTATCCCCTTTGTGTTTGTCATGTTGGAATTATCTCCCCTTATCCTTTAATTAGTATTACTCTTTATAATTTTTCATTTCAAAGTATCCTTAAATTAATTAATCATTATTGTTGTAACTACATTGTATATATGATCAAATTTTGAGCCACTAATGGAAAGAATTTATATAGGCTTGCCTGTCATTCAATCCATTTGACTATAACATCTGTCAATAAAATTTGTTGAAATGAAAATTGCTCCAATATCCAACTGTTAGATAAATAGCGGTTTATTCATATATCCAATAGATAACTCTTATATATATAAATAGACCACTTCCTACCAATGGTCATTCAACTTATCTTATGCCTAGACGTTAAATAGGAAAAAAGAATTCTAGCACAATGGATGATGTTATTAAAAGATTTAACTAGAAATAACTTAAGCCATTGCTTCAACGCCAACGATAAAGCCAAATAAAATATCATTTTGACATTAATCGTAACAATGTCTTAATACAATTACAAACAACGAAACACATTTCAACATTCAATTCTTGTCATCAAAATAGTATATTTACATGTCTCCCTTCTTCAGCTTAGTAAACTCTGACTGCGTATACGCATTGAAAAAAAAGCTCGGCGGATTGATACTTGTGGCAAAAATGGCGCCATTCCCGCTTCAGCGAGATAACTGTACAATGACAACCACTGCTTGGATCATTCGGGATCCGTTATGTCTAATTATACCACAAAAGAATGCTGACAAACTTCTTACTCCATGGATGAACATTAATAGTTCTTTGGCGGTAACGTCAACAATGGCGGCTTCGTTCTGACCGCGTCACTCCATGAGTAGTTTGTCGATGCGCGTACATGACGACTGTTGTAAATGAATAGAAAAGTGCGAAGGGCTTTTCACATTGCTTACTTTAAAATTTAAAACCCATGAAAGGAAAAACATAATGTTACTGAACGTCAAGCAAAGGGCAGTGAGTTCGTATTATAACGACTTTGGGTGGGTCAACCATAGATTTTAAAACTGAATACAGGTTCTGATAAAATACTACTTTTTTGTAAATCCATCTCAAGTGAATCATGTCGGAAAATATGGTACGTTGCTGACTTGAAAAGTACATGATTGATAGGGAATTTAAAGATGTCCTTTCATATCTGAATCATGAGTGTTACACATTTAAATCCATACTACCTACCATACAATATTCCTGGTCAGCAACCACAGTAATGGCTCACGAAAAGTACGTCTCACGTGTCTTTACAGGTGATATCTAGCATACCATTTATTTAAGGTATGGTGTCTGTTTTCGAATACAAAACTTTTCTTAAGCTACAATCGTCATTTATTCATTATTTGTGTCAAAGACAGTAAGTAAGGGATCATTCACATGTGGACTCTGGAAGGGGAATATGTTTCCTTTTATGTCTTTGGCGTTTTGAGAAGCTTGAATGGCTGAAACCACGTTGATATTTTGAGACATTTTATTGAACATTTCTGTAATGATGTTGCACTTCATACGTCTACTTAAAGTGTCTTCATACACGGACAGTCTTATCACGATACAACAACGCAAAACACCCCGGCCAGTCACTTTATTTTCAAACCGGGTAAACCATTTGTTGTAACGTCCATTTTAAGTTGGAATCAGTTGAACGTAAACATAATAGTTACATGACTTGCATGCCAACAAGGTAATCATATCACTGACATGTATATACTTTTATCATCTATATCACCATGTGCATTAATCATTGCTTTGCTTTGATAGATCATATTTCTGATAAGCAAAATATGAAACAAAATATAATACCAAATCAACAAAAGTGTATAAACAACGGTGCATTTAACGTGGCTAGACAGTGACCTCAGATTGTTATAATTACACCGTCACCCTTACCGAAATAGCAACCCAGTCAACGTAAACAACTTAACCCTTTTGCAGTTATATCCAAAACGAAATAAAATACTATATATACTAAAAACTCATTTGAATTTCAGATCAGATTTATTTGTTATGTATTAATTCCGATTTCATTCATTTCTTGCAACCCCTGCAAAACCAAATCGATAAAATACTGAAGTAGTAGTATTTGTACCATTTATATTGCGGGTAGATATGTCCAAGTGTTATACACTCCGGAGTTCTACGCCGTCCACCGTAGTGAAGCATTTGTAAAAAAACATTTTCTCTCACCACACAATTTCAGTTGACTACAGTAGCACGAAAATTATTTGAGGGAAATACTTCAGTGCTGGAGATATAACATTCAAGTGACGTGGCACTATCTGAAATGTTCCTTCGGTACAACGGTTTCATCTCACATACGTATTCATGCACTCATATGTAGACGAATTACGCAATGTGGGGTATGACTCGCCTGATAAATCAGAGATGGAGAAATATAAACATGTGCTTTGCGTGTACTTAATGTATGAAATATGCGCACTCAGGAGGGATAAAATTGCTCTCCACAATCAGCTCTACCTTCTAATTTATTTTTTACACTACTCCAAAATAGGTTTATTGAGAGTGTAAACCTGCAACATGTATATCCGATTACAGTTGAGCGTACAGGGCGACGAAAGAAGGTCTTTACAGAAAAGGAGGTCTGCTTCTGTCGTCTGCTCAGGGGACATCGAAGAAATTATCGATCTGCTGCATCTGTTGCTGCAACACTTGGTATCCCTATCATTGTCTTTTTTCCCTTTTTTCTCACTTTTTGGCGTTGTCTCCAAAGTCAACCAATTGAAGTTTTGCAAGAACGTAAATCAATGAATCAAAACAAGTGTTGCCAATTCGTTTTAGGAAAACTGCGTTGGAATGTTTAAGATCGAAGCTATTCTAAGGTCGGATTTTTTTGTGTCGTGTACTGATGATTAAATGAAAAAGATGACGTTTCTGGTTGACGATATCTTTGATGGGTTAAGTGGCAATTGTTTCAGTTGATAGCTACTATTTTCATAAATAATAATCGTGATCATCTCCTGGCTGGCCTTTTTTAATGTGATACTGAATTTATTGAAGAGCTTATCAAGAGTGGTTCCACATGTACCATATAATAAGAAATAATTTTACAATACTTTATTTTGATATTTTATCAATTCGCTATGTACTTGTATATACAGATTTTAAATTGTTGGTCATATTGTATATATGTGGCGGTTGCTTCCCCTGCATTAAATGTTCAGGCCGAAATTATCAACTATATGAAACTCATCCGTTCCACATAAAATCCGTCATCAACAAGAACATACGGTTTAAAACAGTTTAACTATTAGTGTGCACTTTTGGGCATCTCTTGTTTTGTTCTAACTGTTTATTCGTTTTTCAAAATATATTTATTTTATCAATTCTTGTTAGTTCCTACTTATAACAAGTTAAAAGTAAGGGATGACATTCTATTGTGCCATAGCACTTTATAAATGCCCTTTCGTGTTCTCTGGTCTTTAGACACTGTCGTCATATGACCTTAGTCCTAAATAAACAGTCATTCACCAAATCTAGGTCAGTCGTGCCCACGTTTTGATGTTTGACCTACTTTACATTTAGAACATATCTGCGTTACTATAATACACAAGGTATTCGGATAGTTGGGTGACGCCTTGTTATGCAGCAGCGCGCGGTATATTACCTTGGTATTGAGGTATATAGTATTCGAATCACACTCTGCCTATGGTTTTAATAAGACATTGATTATCACATTCCTTGTGTACTATTTTGTGCTCGTATAAACTAAGGTCATATAAACACATGACGCACCATCTCATCGAACCTTAGGTTAACAATACATTGGAAAAGACTATTTTAAATTATGTCGATTATGCAAAGATGGACTTGTAAACCTACAGAATCCTTTGAAGCGGAGAAGCATGTAGGATATACGGATGTAAATGTGAAACATTGTCAAGGCAATACACTGAGAAACATTCCTAATTTTATTCAGACTGATAAATAATGTCGATGTACCCAAAACTGTTGAGTATCCAAAACGGGACACCTGTGGGATATTAGACCAGGAAAGAGACATGCAATTCAAAGATGTATTTCAATTCGTAATCAGTTTTCTCATCATGATACTTGTATGTAAATTAAACTGTATGTTGGCTTCATTGGCTGTTTGTTATGGCGATATGGACGGTTCCAGGATAGAAATAATTTTGAAATCGTAATTTAATTAAATTGCGATTTCAAACTATATTTTTGGATATCATTTTCAGAAACATTTTTTTTTTACAAACGAATGCTTGTTTTGTGAAGAATTTTCAATCAGAATCCCCTTTGAGTCCATTATATCTAACTCTGCGTAATTTTATGCTTATATTGATCGTTTATCCCACAATATTAGCCAAAATGACAAAATGTCCATTTCCGGGCACATTTTTACCTGTTCGGTTTGGTTAAGTTTTGTTTAACGTCCTATTTACAGCTAATGTCGGTTAAGGACGTGCTTCCATGTGTGTTGTGTATGCGTGTGTGTATGCAGGAGACTGGGTTTGTTGGAGTACTTGTCTACTTGTGATAGCGCGGATATGATGTGTTACCTGTTCGAAAACATGCGTGACCCTAATAGTATGTTGCGTTCCATTGATGTAACCACGCGCCGTAAATATCAGCTTGTAATAGAAAAAAAAAGTGGATGATATCTCTTCATGAAAAAATGTCAAACATTTTTTAGAATTGATGCTATTGTACATTGTGTAAATCCGTCAATATTTAACTAGAAAGTGCCGGTTTTGGGTACAATGTTGCAAGTTTGTTATATCCCTACACGAAACAATCCACTCCTTATATGGTGTTAAAGATGCTTACTTGGTTTGGCTTTCTGCATCCACGATCAAGATTTTCGATAGATTCTGTCTTTCTTCGTATATATTAAGGTAATACAGTTTCTATCCATTCTTAGATTGTATACTGACTAATACAGCCGTCACACCGGACTGGCGTCTCTACGGCGTCCCTACGGCGACCCAGGGCGTGGAAGGGACGCCATGGACGCCGTAGGGTCGTGGTGAGAACGCATCAAGACGCCGTGGGGACCCCAAGGACGCCGAAGGTCGCAGAGCGACGGCGTTTACTTTGGACATGTTCAAAGTAAACGCCGAGGTTCGGCGTCCTGAGCGCGTCCTGGCTCAGGACGCCGTGGGATCGCCCTGAGGTCGCCATGGTCGCCGTAGCATCGCAGTAGGAACCCGAACAACGCCAAAGGAACGTAGTACAGACGTAGTAGAGTCGCCATGTAAACGCGGAGAAAAGGATCGGGGGAACCAATGGCGACCTTACTGCGTCCTTACCACGTCTATGGGGTTCTTACCACGACCCCATCACGTCTATGGCGTCCTTACCGCGATGTCAGGGCGGATATTTCGGGATATGAGCTATTGTCCGCAACCTTACAACGTTCTCAATGCGTCCCTTCGGCGTTAATGGCGTTTCTACGGTGTGCCTACTACGACTATTGCGTTTCTCTGGAGTTTGCACTACGTTCCTAGCGCGTTCCTACTGTTCGCCCTCGAAGAGCTATAAAACCCAATATTCCATCCTATCTTTATCAGTGTATTTCTCGTACTCACCATCATGATTCCGCTACATCGACGCTGGAGTCCCTTTCAGGAGACGACGCTGGTGCTGGAGATATTGAGGCTGTCCTGGCTGCTATACCTCGCCCACGCCCACGGCCCCTGGTTTTCGGCATAACGTTGCGTATAAGTTTAAAATGCGTACACGTTAAAATGCGTGACCTCAACGGATGAGAGTAAAATAATGAATGAAGCTTTCCGAAAGAACAGTGGAGTTTTATACTCGCAGCGAGGACGCCGTTGGGTCGCCCTGCAGTCGCCGTGGGAACGCCATGCACGCGGTAAGGTCGTGGTAGAAACGCTAAGAACGCAGTGGGGTCGCAGTGGGGTCGCCGCTGATCGCCGTATGGACGCCGCATTGACGCCATGTAAACTCAATAGAAACTCCAAGGACGCAGTAAGAACGCGGTAAGGTCGTGTTGGGAACGCCGTGTACATACACAGATCGCAGAGCACAGAACTCCGGTGTGACGGCTGACTCGAAATCTGGATTTATTTTAGAAAAATCATTGGCGTTCTCAATGCGACCATCGGCGTTCTCCAAAATATGACAGTTTAGGACGCGGTAAGGACGCCAGTCCGGTGTGACGGCAGTATTGAATAAGAGCGATGAGAAAACAGTAATTGTGGACGAACGATAAACATACACAGTTGACTTTTGGTAGTGACTTAATAGTTTCAAAGCCACTAAACAGTAACGGCAATTTTCATGAATACTGACGGTATATCTCTACAACATTATTTTAAATATAAATTTGAATACAAATTTCAGACTCTACAATTGGCGTGATGAACTGTTCATCACCAAATTACATTTAAAACATATCCATAAATGTGCAAAATATAAGGCAATAGAGTGTCGCTTTTTGACTGAAATTTTGGAAGAACATGTTACATTTTTCTTAACTCGCAATAATTTTCCTTTCCTTCTCAAAAATTAATGTCACGCCTTCATCAATTCACGCACTTTACTCATCTAATTGGGTTCGTTACGTACGGCGATGGTCTTCTGTTCCAAGACAACCCGTGCCTGCACCAGTATTCCTGATAATCACAATACTTAATGACTACACAGGAATTGTATTCGCGTTATTACATATTACTTGTGCTGATTGTCTTTGTTTTTTGGGTCGATCCCTGCTCTCACATATAAGATTATGACTTTTGAAAACATGACGACACAGGAATGATACCCATGGTATGTCCTGTACATTTGGTATGTCACTTTGAACAAGACAGATCCTAACCTGTAATATAGAGAATTTAGCAATTCCATATATAAATATTTGGATAATTTATCTTTGACGAATTGTCCGTTAACGCCTCCTACGTCCTTTGAGAAGGGTGTCAGCTTCTCTTTAATTAAACTTGTTTTTATAGTTAACATTCCATTATTAATGCCTCTGTATTTTCGCTATATTTTCATAATTTTATTTTGCATTGGATTATATCGTTGTCCTTCCTCTATTAGGTCAATATTCCGGATGGGAATGTACAGGGCTAAGTTGATAATTTTCCACAGAACACTGAGACATTTCACCGCACTGAGAGTCTATACCAATGTCAAGTTCACTGCCGATCTAAACCGCTATTATTTCCTCTTGATTTGGCTTGTTGAAGTTATTCGACATAGACGGATCATCTCGCCTAGGACGACATATTTGATAATTGCTGGCCTTACAGAAAGCTCTTACGATGCTGTATAAACTCCCGGCGGATTTCAATCTCGATTGTAAAGGTTCATTACCTTAAAAGAGATCGGGTAAAAGATGTTATTTCCCAAAAAAAACACATTTTAACAGCATAAGCATTCATACCTTAATTTTAATTTCCATACTGTTGACATATTTCATATGTTTATATATCTAGAACAATATAAGGTACAAATCAGAAAGGAAATCCCCTGCAGGTTGGGAGTAGTAATAAAAGAATGTCACTACATGATCATTCTCCTGTTGTTCTCCACCTGGTCTAAATATAGGACTACCAGTACTCTGGTAAATGCAGCAATAGAGGTATCACCTGAGCGTTCCTAGGTCCAGGTGTATGTACATGTAGGTACATGGACAATGGTGAAACAAACTCTGAAAAACATTTGGGTCCTTCGGCAACTCCTTGTCGTTGTTCTTGCGCCGTTTTTTCTCCTTCCAATTGTATTTGCTGTCGAGGGGAAGGTGAGTACAGCAGGTTCTTTGTGTATTCTATTTATTTTAAACCCGGTTGTTAATTAAGTAATGTTATTTAACGTAAACAACATGTGTTAAAGTAATTATGACAAATAGGATACCCACTATGATATATTTTACTAGGTTAGCTTTGTAGCGACACTTCTCACTGGTTAATAGTCATGTATCCTTTGATAAAATGTCCGCGTAATGATGTGTTTTTTGCGCAATATACCATGCACATGCAACGCTCTTCCAAAAGTCTTCTAATTTTCTAATTTTCAAATTGTGCACATGTTAGGCATGCTTGGTCTTGGACAAATTAGTTTTGTCTTGAGAATGTATACTTATGCATTTATCTATTCATCATTTCAATAAATATCCAGGTAGAACAGGACAACCTGCTGGCAGTCCAAAAAATATAACATCTGCTGCAACTGAACTGTGATATCGGCTTGACAGTCAAAATAATACATGGCTTTATTAGCGGCACTTTTTGAGAAAGAACATGAAAATGATCCTGTTGAAAGTTACACCTCAGCTAGATTTGTGAGTCTTTGCACGTGCACAGGGGATTTAAAACACAATATTTCTACCTATTAAATCATATAAACATAACTAAATGAAAGCTGTTACAATGTTACATTTATTTATTTTTACGCAGGAATCAAAATGTGCCTACATCATTTTTGTAATGGCCATCTTCTGGATCACCGAGGCTTTACCTATTGCCGTGACAGCTTTGCTACCTGTTGTATTATTTCCTGTGGTTGGAATAATGAACGCCAAAGACATATCAACAGCATACGTTAATGTAAGTAGTCTACAGTAAAGAACACATCGTGATATCATGAGATTTTTCTCATAACTATGACCTCGGATAATAAGTTGTTGCAATAGGTGCAGCAAATCAATTTGATTCCTTAAATGTCTTCTTAACATCGGAAAGAAAGGTACACCCCCCCCCCCCCCCCCCCCCCCCCCCCCCCCCCCCCTATCTGCAGGGAGGGTGATGTTACATTTTACGATAACACCCAGTAGGATACAGCAGGTATATTCCTCCCCGAACATCTAGGCGCGATTTGAGCATGTTATTCATACCAGTTATGAAGAAAAATTCGATCAATATATTGGAAGCTATTTCTGAAAATCGTGTTTGATTTTTAATAGGATACGTCCATGCTATTCGTAGGCGGACTTATCCTCGCACATGCTATTGAGCACTGGAACATCCACAAGTTATTTGCACTGCGAGTTCTGCTTTGGTTTGGATCTGAACCCCACTGGTAAGACCTAGCATAATACTGAACATATTAGAAGTTTATCAATGGAAGACTTTACTTTTTTTTGTGACAAAAACACAACAAAAATGTGTTGAGGCATCAATGATATCGGTACAAATAGCAAATGCTGATTATTTTGTATTATTTGTATGATTCATGGATCCTTTTTGTAAAACACTTTTTGGTTGATTTTATGTTTGTCAATCACTAGGTTTAACTAACAGTTAGAGTAATGACAATTACAATTACTGAGTAGATTACAAATTAATGTTATTTTAGTCAAAATATGGATTCTAGTCCTTACAAAGGACTATGTAAGTGGTCCAGATTCAGCCTTTATATAATATGTTAAATGCTGTTCATGTGTGACTCAACTGGAAAAACAGCATCTGGAGCGAAACAGAAAAGAGTTTGATCTATTAGGGGCACAACAGTTATTTGTAGATTTTTTAAACATTCTTTCTCAAGTTAGATACATATTAATGTCAATGGTGTAATTATCATTTCATAGATGGGCTATATTTGCATATTTATGTTGGTTCAAAATAAAATCTTTAAAACATGACCTGGTCAAAAACCTTTCCGGACTTTATAATGACCCTTGAAGGAACCACTCATTTGTTGACATATCGTTTGTATGACCTTGAATATTGACATTTCCACGTGCAAAAAGCCGACTGGAAAGGAGAAATATATGTTGCCCTTAGTAATGAAGATGTATTTTCCTAGTACAGGCTAATGCTTGGGATGATGATTCCGACGTGGTTTCTCTCAATGTGGATGAGTAACACTGCCACTGCCGTCATGATGCTGCCGATAGCAAATGCTGTTCTTTTACAGCTGCAGAATATTCATTCCATCGATCAGGGCACTCACGAAGGTACTGCTGGCTAGATTAATATAATCAGTTACTGTCTTACCCAATTAAGTTAGTTTATCACAATTCATCATAAGTTTAAAATGGGGAAGTTAACTTTCTTAAGTGCATTCATATATGACAATCGTGAATTTATATGAGAAAATCTCAGTTTGCGCTTAGCAATTTAACTACTGCTACTCTTAAATGAATAATTATCCTGATAGTCCTTCACGATCGTCTTAACATCTAACACGTGTTTCCGTTACAATACTCAGCAAACTAGTAGTTACACGTACCGGGTCTTATTGATCATGTTTCGGTTAAACCCAAGGTAAGTGACTGGTGCCAGACTCTCAACTACCAAAGGGCAAATTTAATATGCAAATGTTCCAATACTGTGTTTTTGGGCACTTATTGCCGTGCTTAGTTTCTTAAAAAATGTCAAATGTTTATAAGTTTCGTCCTTCAAAATGTTCACAACAACGCAACAAGATCATGTAAATGCAAATAATGTGTTACTTAACATTACAGAAGATGTCGACCAGTCAGATCCTGATAGTAAAAGTGTCGTCATTGCTTCAGAACAAGCTAGTAATGAAAGGCATGTATTTATTTGGAAAAGATCAATTATGATAAATTTACCTTTTAGATAATTATCAAGTTTCCTAGATACTGAGTAACGAGACAGGAATGCTACCCTGTTGGTTGTAGTTTCCTGGAAGTATTGGAAATTAATTCAGAAACTATTTTAGCTGCTTAACCCTTTGAGTATCGTAAGAGGTGGCTATTGTACATATGTAGGACCCCTGTACCTGTAGGTAAGTGCCCCCTTTTCATTCATATATATCATTAATAGTACGTTTTTCTTAAATAGTGATAATGGGCTTGATCAAGAAGCATACATGTACGATGATGAACAGCATCTCAACTTATGCAAGGCTCTGTCGATGTCAATTTGCTATGCTGCAAATATAGGCGGCATTGCCACACTAACCGGAACAGGGGTCAACGTTATCATGAAAGGACAGAGTGATTTGTAAGTTGTTGATTTACTTTCATTATATTTTATTTTATTTCGTCTTTTTTGAAATCGATAATTTGCATGGTCGTGTTGTCTGTTATTTTTTGTGTGTTAATGTGCCGCAAAGAACTGTTCAACCTATGTAATGTTTGCTTGATTCTACACGTAGATACAAATGTATATTGTTTTATTTTATCAGTTACAACCCCCCTCCCCAGTTTCATGGTATTCCTATGCTCGAATCTGCTATTTGTTAACGTTTGTATTAGACAGAGTATATAGATGATCATGAAGCCAAGAATTTATTTGAAAGGTAGTGTATTTAGTTGCCTTTCCATGAATTGAGAAATGTATAAGATAGTGGTATTTATATGATTACTAAAACACACTGTTTTCATGGGTTTCCCTATCGCGGGCATGTGGATAAGAGAAAAGGTCACCTGAAAACACACAGTGATAATCTTTAGTTTTCACTATTTACAGATACCGTCAAACGATGTAAATGTTATTTACGATTTAGAATTTTTCAGAAATATGATGTGGATAATCCAATCACGTTTGCTACATGGATGCAGTTTGGTGTTCCGATCGCCACTATTCTGTTGTTTATGGCTTGGACCTGGCTGGTTATATATTTCCTTGGATTGAGGTACTGTTTTAGATATTCTTCTTCAAATGCATGCATTTCAGACTGCATGAAAAACAAAACATTTCAAATATCAAACCAAAAGATCATTTGTCAAAGTTTACTACACCAGATTACTAACATTACAAATAAACCACACGATGTTAACCTTCAATCTGACGAAGTAGAGCTGTATTTCACATGTAATTGAGCGGTTGGTTTAGTTAGGTTGATAGGATTTTCAGTTATATTACAAGTATGCTCATTCTATTACGAACCTCCTTCTGCGTGATCTGTGCATTGTAATGCAGGCTGTATGTTGGAATATTTGCATCCTTGCGATAGCTCGGATCTGTTGCCGCCTTTCGAGTGTTACCTCTCTGAATACCACGCCGAAGGTACCCAGCTGTTCGTATATATACTGACACATTGTAAACAAGCATCGAGCAGGAATAACAGATTGCTTTTTAATGACTTCAATATGTCCCGGGCAGGGAATAAAACCATGTATCATAATGGCACATATGAAAATCCCTAGTTTAAGAGATTTAGTTAGATTACTTGTAGTCTAGTACGTCCTCTGCGATCAGTTTGGTGTGGTTTTATCTATCACGAGTAGCTCTAAGAGTCATCTAAACGCGCAAGCTCACAGACGTCATGAAGTTGGCAATCGATCTTGGTGAGGAAGTTTAACCAGTAGCAATCTGTGACTCAAATACTAATCGCGTGTGAAGATTAGAAAAGTTCAAAACGCTAATTTAATGTCAGAATGTGAACACTCGGATTTGTATTATTAATTTGCATATGAAGTTTGATTTATATATTTCTATTTATTTTATTTATATATAATTATTACTATTTATTATATATGATTTTGCAATGGATCTTTATCACGAGACATCAAATTAAAAAAAAAATGTAATAGTGCTACTAATTTTCATTTCGCTGTTTTTGTATATATGCACTTCCAGATGTTAACGTTTATTCGTTCAGTTAATTTTGGTGTATTAGTTAGATAATTATCACTCTAGCGAAGTGTCACTCTAGCCACTCTAGCGAAGTGTCACTCTAGCGAAGTAGTGAGTCCCGTTGTGGCTTTCACCAATATTTTCAAATATCAATTACTCCTCGTCAGTATGCAAATATCATTTCTATTATAACAGTTCGATTTGCAGACGACAACCACGAGAAATATCTAACAGGATAAGAAAAGTTCTCCGAAGAGAATATGAAGAGTTGGGCTCCATAACGTAAGTAGTGTTAAATTACCTATACCTACTATGCAAGCAAAAAAAAGGAAAATAATTTAAAATCTTCAAACAACCCCTGAAATGGAGAACATAATGATGCTTTGCATTGTACTGTGAGCTTCCTTGCAACCGATGTTTTTTTTTATATATAAAATTGACCACGATCCATTTTGACAGAAGTAAACTAAGTAAACTTAGCTACACGTAAGACTGTTAAATTACAGGTTTGCTAAATTGTTTCATTTTCGATTTTGTTTTATCTTCTGACGATTGCGTGTGTAAGAATCAATTACATAACTGAATTTAGCTTTTTTAGAAATGCATAAATGTATAAATCTAACTTACTGGTTTACAGATTTAACAAAAGCAATATGCATAAATATAAATAACTGCTGAAACCGCAACTATGTGTCTTGCAGATTTGCCCAGGGTGCAGTGATAGGACATTTCATAACAATGTCTACACTGTGGATCACTCGCGACCTCGGTGGTGTAGGGGGATGGAAAGACCTGTTCCCTGAAAAGTAAGAATACAATTATTCAATCAGCATTAGAAGAAATAGATATACATATATTATGAATCAATAAAGAGAAATATTCGTCTGGCTTAAATTCATGCTGAATATCAAAAACATAAAAAATACATTTTGTTACATGATTGCTTTCAACTGATAATTTGCAGTCAGTAAACTAGTCAATTTGATGTTTATTTCTGTTTTGTAGAACAGTTTCAGACTCCACGTCCTGCATTCTCGTTTCCTGCAGCCTATTTTTCTTCCCTGCCAATCTACCGGAAATATTGCGCTGTGGAATGGGTACTTATTTTAGAAGTAACGAATGTTTTAGAAGCGTTAAGGTTATTTAATGAATACATTTTGCACCTTTAGCGTATTCTATCTTCAACTAATATTCAGCTGGCTATCTTCTAGCATTGCATTTTGTAGTGTAAAGGTTTCCAAAAATATTAAATATGTTTCCTCATTATAAATGTGCTGATTCGTAGATAACATTGACCTGCTTTGCCCCTCTGCATGATCTTATGAGGCAACTTATGTGAATATGTTTTCGCATGACCGTGGTTGTTGCGAGGAGGCTAAACCCTGATCCAATTTCAAAAACCCATTAAAATCCTGGTGTTCTTCCATGTCCTCTGCTAATATGACATTTGAGAGGCAAAATTTGATATCTTCCTCTATTGCACCACTTGGGATTGTTTTCTTTACTTGTTGATCTGATCCTATCAAAGATCTTATCGTAAAGCACACTTTTATCATGAATATCAGTCGTATCTGCTCACATGAGTAAAACCATTTTTACAGAAAACATTTGACATTTGAATCCACATATGTGACGTTTGTATGTGCTGGTATGTTGGAGTTGCTGGTGTGTTTGTGTGCTAGTGTGCTGGTGTTGTTTGTTACACGCTCGGCTACTGTAGTAGCCACTATAAAACATGACTTTGTCCCAACGTGGAGACATGCCATGTTTTCAAAACTACATATCTATCCTTGGCATTGTCAGTCCATGATCTGATAATGTACTATTACACATAGCTGAAGTACTGGAAATGACACTAAACGCAGTCTGGCATCATATATGGGCTCGGTACCGATCCTTATTAAATATAACTGGCATGCACCTTGATCATCTACATAAGTAAAATAACACTGAATATTTACTAAAGATTTGACCATTTGTTTATGAGAGAAGAAGGAAACGAAAGATTCTATAACTTCACGTGGGCTTAATACAGATGTTTACTTCTACAGGTGGTACCCTAAAATATCAGCCTCTTCTTAGTTGGAAATCAGCCGAGAGGAACATATCGTGGGGCATTATCTGGTTATTCGGTGGCGGTTTTGCATTAGCCAAAGGAAGTCAAGTATGATTCTTCGTTAAATGATTAATCTTAATACATTAGAAACGTATGTCTCTCGAGGCAACATTTGTTCGGCAGTTACCCGAAAATGTGACCGATGTCACCCTTCCATTTTGTGGTGTCATTACTCCGGGATGGTACTTTAAAGAGGTCAGTGAGTGCATTGAACATATTTAGACATCATTTTCAAATTGTTCTAGTCGTTGCGACCTCACTACCACACCCCAACCCCACCTCCGTGAAAAACTCTCTTAAGAAATATAGTTTTTTTTATGGTTATGTTTTTTTTTATAGTTTTTATGTTTTGTTTTTAAGTTTTGTTATAACGACACTGTTGAAAGTTTCGCCGCTCGTGGGCTACCTAGATATCATCTCAATGAACTGCCATTGCGGTTGGAAAGAGCAGGCCCGTTCTATTATATCTAGGCCTGCAGGGGGCCATATTATGTTCCTTAACGGGGACGTTTTGTATAATATGTACGTTTACTGATTACATTACAGGAAACAGGACTGTCAGATTGGATTGGTGAACAACTCTCGGTATTCAGCGGCCTCGAAATCTGGGTATTGAACTTAATTTTATGTTACATTGTGGCAGCCTTTACGGAGGTTACCAGTAACAGCGCAACAGCCACATTGATACTGCCAATAGTGATACAGCTCGTAAGTATTCCGGCAACCATTCACACACGCTTTTGATGTACAACCTTCCTATGACTAGAATTTTCCATTGTATTAACAACGTATATTTGGAAGATATTACCGATATACTGCTACAGTTTTACACTATATCAAAGTATCGACACAGAAAAAACACGATGTAGCAAAGCCTTATGGACATCAATCTTTATTGAATTATTATATTGATTTGTACATTATTATTGTTTACTTCAAGCAGTAAATAACTAGGTACCGAAGGATTTCATTATATGGTTACTGCCTAGTAAAGGATATAATTTCTGGTTAGTATCAATAAAAGCTGTCGTACTAACGTCATCAAACAGAATAAAATAATGGCAAAAATGTTGTTCATCAAATATACTTCACTTTGTTTTAACAAAGTTCATGGTATATTTTGATCATTGTATCATTGAATCTAATTTATTTTATTAAATCTGCAATTAAGTTTGCTCAGGTTGATAATAATGTAATTTGTTAATAGTATACTGAGACTGCATTACATTTTTCTTTAGGGGTTAAAGCTAGAAGTGAATCCACTATACGTGACGCTCCCCGTTACTATAGCAGCGTCGATATCATTTATGTTACCAGTGGCAACACCTCCAAATGCTGTGGTGTTCTCCTACGGGTATATCACAGTTATAGACATGGTACGAAGGATTGCTCTCTCACATTATTAATATGCCATTCAAGATGGATACATACCCTTACTTTATCTGGGCGTTTAATTTATCGAAAAGAGAAGACATTTAGTACAAAACATTAATTTCAATGTTTATAACCTCTCCGGTATAGTTCACCGGTTGGTATAATGATTACTAGTATAAGATTCATATTTACACAATAAAGGAATACTCTATACGATAATCAATATTGCGATACCACACTGTCCGTATAGCTTTATATATATATTGCACAAGTATTATAAAAAATATATTTTTGCTTCTTTTTCAGATTAAAACTGGACTGCCGATGAACATTGTTCCGATTCCTATAGTTGTACTCTTGACAGAGTTTCTTGGAAATAGCATATTTGATCTGAAAACGTTCCCTACCGAATTTAGAAATGCAACAATATCAGTTTAGCTTGAGTAAGATGAATACAACGCTAAAATAGTTAAACGATTTCTTCTTCTAATTAAACAATAATTCATAGTACAAAGGACAGGACAGGAAGCACTTGGTGTTTCAGTTTCTGGATGTTTGCTACATGGTTTGAATCATTCGATCAAATTGTGCTGTAAGAACTTGTAAATCCATGGTCCGTTTTTGAGAATCTTAATACAGATTTACGCTTGATGATTTTTATACCGGCATAAACATTTGAAAAATCGAATATATGGCGTTTATTGTCCTTCACATAATATTTCGATGATACTTGTTTAAAATGTTTCCTTAGGTACCTGACTTCAAATGACATTAGTTTATATGAGAAACTAGAAGAAAACAAAGAAACAAATATCCGAATCGATGACGTTACGATATTTACAGAGCGACAATCTAGTTCAAACCAGATCACGGGTGTCCCGCAATCATGTATGTTAATATATGTGCAGATTGTTGTATCAAATAAACAGTACACACATAGGATATTCTAGCAAAAATGCATCCATAAACTGCAATAAACCATACATGAAGTTAATCAACTCGAGCGACACGGCGCATTGAGTTTACGTAAACAATCATCCATATATTTCTCTCTCTATTCCTCAGAGAAGTCCAAGTTATATGATTCAAAGTTATATAATAAAATGATCGCTAGTCTCAGATGGGTTTTCTTTGCGTTTTAGAATGGATCTCTGAAGAATTACACTTCGTTAATTTGTTTTCTACTTATTATTTCTTGTACTTATTAAACATTTTGCTTCGGCCATTATCCGAAACACGTGCATTGGTAACATGCATATTGATGTATATTTTCTAATATCCCTGTATCACAGTAACCAATGTAGAAATAGAAAGCAATAGTGCTTTGGATATAGGGAATAAATGTCTAAATGTATCAAGATTGTTTTCATTCTAGGTAGACAAAACAATGCATTTCGCAATCAATTATTGCCATAACGTCCTTTGCGATGTTGCATTTTCGAATTTCGATATTCAAAGGTAAACTTTACATTTGCAAAGATGCACGGCTTGTTCTGTAGGACTTTGACTGAGTTGTATTCAGTACAACAGAACGCCTCTTCAGTGTGCACTGGGGCAAATTTAACCTCACTTTAATTGGTGCATAGCTTATCAGTAATTTGATATAACGTAAAAAGAAACGTGACACTAAAGCGTCGCAATTATGTCAGTGCCAATGGTACCGACCTCATGACAATGAACTTAAAAAATAGAAAAACCGGTACGGCTGCAAAATCTTTTACTTTTTATAAATGTTACTAAACATTATTTGGGTGCACACTGACCATAAATTTTCCACGATAATGGCTCTACTGAGATTTTAAAAAAAGTTATTTTATTTCCTGAACACGGAAGTATTGATTTTTCAGAATATTACCTACATTACGTAATGATATGTGACACATGCTGTGCATGTCATACTTATTTGTTTGTTTGTTTGTTTGATTTTGTTTAACGTCCTATTAACAGCTAAGGTCATTTAAGGACGGCCTCCCCTGTGTGCAAGATGCTTGCGTGTAGTGTATGTGTGTGTATTTTGGGAGGCTGCGATATGTTCGTGTTTATCTCCTTGTGATAGCGCGGAACTGATGCCGACTTTATAGTGCTACCTCACTGAAACATACTGCCGAAGACACCCAGCAGGACGCCTCACCCGGTCACATTATACTGACAACGGGCGAACCAGTCGTCCCACTCCTAATTTGCTGAGCGTTAAGCAGGAGTAGAAACTACCATTTTTAAAGACTTTGGTATGTCTCGGCCAGGGGACAGAACCCAAAGCCTTCCTCACAGGGGCGAACGCTCAACAAATGGCCAAAAGTGAGGCATTGTCAAGGGAGACATTAGGAAGAAGAAAGTTATTTAGAAAGGAGAGAAGAGATAAGGTCCCAAATTTAGTCGCCTCTTACGATCATGCAATTGGGGGCAGCATGTACAATTCTTACGCCCTACCTGCAGGGACTGTCATACTTAGGTAAACGTGGTACTTGCATGGTACTAGGTGTATCTAGTCACTGCAGATAGGGCGTAAGAATTGTACCTACTGCCCCCATAGCGTGATCGTAAGAGGCGACTAAATTTGGGATCTTATCTTTGATCTTATTTCTAAACAACTTTTTCTTCCTAATGTCTCCCTTGACAATGCCTCACTTTTCCCCTTTAGTCGAGAGTTCGCCCCTGTGAGGAAGGCTTTGGGTATTGTCCCCTGGCCGAGATAAACCAAAGTCTGTAAAAATGGTAGTTTCTACTCCTGCTTAACGCTCTGCAATTTATGAGTTGGGCGACTAGTTCGCCCGTTGTCAGTATAATGTGACCGGGTGGGGTGTCCTGCTGGGTGTCTTCGGCAGTATGTTTCAGTTGGGTAGCACTATAAAGTCGGCATCAGTCCCGCGCTATCACAAGGAGATAAACACGAACATATCGCAGCCTCCCAAAACACACACGCATACATCTTGCACACGGGGGAGGCCGATAGGGCGTTAAACAATACAACACCAAACAACACCAGGTGTATCTAAACAACGGCCTTGACATATTCATATTGGCGCATAAAAGCGACATCACTGCCAAATTATAATAAGTTTACTGCAACCATCTGACATTACCTTTTCACAAATATGCAAATGATGTCACAAACAGAAACACCTGTAGTAACTGTATAGCGACTAACGACTGAGTAGAGAAACAGTCACCACTGATGTTATAGCAATGTATCCATCATGTATCCAAATAATTTGTGTAATGATTTTTAATGAAATAACAGATGAAGTAAAATTAAGATGCGTAAATCACTATACAGTCAGAAACTGAAACAGTGAGGTATTTATCATGGGCAGAATTTGGTTTTACTAATTTTCATTCTCTTTCTGACCGGTTTCAATGAGCATTATCAATATTATATCACGCCTAAAATGAATGTCATGCTACCGGTAATAGTTGTATATTACCTGTTGACATGTTTCTAGCATGGCTGTATCTGTACTAACGTATATACTATATCTGTATTTACGCACACTCTCAACTTAACCACAAACAAACATCCGTGAACAAAAAACTATGTTATCGATTACTTTTCTCTGCATTTGTGTTACCGTGTTATATGTATGTTACATAGATAGACATCAATAAGTCGCATACAAACACTTATATTGTCCACTATGATTCTCCTTCAATTCATTTCTATTGCCCATTACTGTTGATACAACTGTGATATTTGGTTTCAATATAAAGTGATCTAATCAAAGCAAAAAACAATTTTAAGCAGTATAAAAGACCAACTTTTTATATCTTTTTTTTATCAAACACGCATATTATCACTTTAAACAGTATTCTTCTGTTCCGGATCGAGGAAAACGTCATCGGAGCCGTTAAATATATGGTATCCCAAAACAAAGAAACACATATGTCACCATTGTTTGTTTGTTTGTTTGATTTTGTTTAACGTCCTATTAACAGCTAAGGTCATTTAAGGACGGCCTCCCCTGTGTGCAAGATGCATGCGTGTAGTGTATGTGTGTGTATTTTGGGAGGCTGCGATATGTTCGTGTTCGTCTCCTTGTGATAGCGCGGAACTGATGCCGACTTTATAGTGCTACCTCACTGAAACATACTGCCGAAGACACCCAGCAGGACGCCCCACCCGGTCACATTATACTGACAACGGGCGAACCAGTCGTCCCACTCCTAATTTGCTGAGCGTTAAGCAGGAGTAGAAACTACCATTTTTAAAGACTTTGGTATGTCTCGGCCAGGGGACAGAACCCAAAGCCTTCCTCACAGGGGCGAACGCTCAACAAATGGCCAAAAGTGAGGCATTGTCAAGGGAGACATTAGGAAGAAGAAAGTTATTTAGAAAGGAGAGAAGAGATAAGGTCCCAAATTTAGTCGCCTCTTACGATCATGCAATTGGGGGCAGCAGGTACAATTCTTACGCCCTACCTGCAGGGATTACATATGTCACCACCCACTTACACTACCCACTTACACTGATTATAACTACTTTGAATGTCGATAACGTTAAAAACATTCATCAAATTTACATTTCCATCAACAGACTATACATAAATTTATACAATGAGAAAATGACCGAAATTTATGATTTTTTGATGATAGAGTTGGTTTGGGAATTTCAGTTTACTTAAATTTGAACTCATTCAAACCATTTTTTTCTAAGGAAGTTTATGGTTGTGCATCAGACACATCCTGTTTACATGCAAAATATTTAGCGGGGTTTTTAATCTCATTCAAATCCTCCAAATATCACAGCCTTTCATTTCCAGATATGGCAAAGTCTATGCATGGATCTAAACCGTAATACCATTAGAGGCGACTAATGTGATGGCAGCCGCTGCAGAATCAAGAGGATTGTCAGGCTTCCATGAGAGGATACTTTAGCGTATTCTTATAATTTATGAGCACTACCTGTATAGGACAACACATTTTTGACAAACTTACAAAACAAACCTAGGGAACATACTAAAAACTGAAATTATTGCTTGGGTTAACGAACTGTTCTGAAGTGTTTTTTTCAGAAGCGGGTTTTCATACACTAATGATTTGTATTAGTAATGCAAGGATGCCAGCGCCAACAAGACGTAGTTGTAACCATAGTCTCGCTAGTCTGCCAGGTTATGAATGGAAATAGCTGGTCGACATTTTTATAAGCGCAAAAATGGCATCTAGTGCGTTTAAATGGCAGTGTAGTAAAATAACGTTCCTTACGTTAACAAAAGGAAATACCATCGAAACATTTAGGTTGTATGGTATCACCAAAACAAAACAGTTTAGGCATGTGGAGGATGTCTTATAAGAAATACATGTTTAAAGGTTTTGTCCTGTAATATTGTGGTTTGAATATGGAAAGTGGGTTTGTATGGCCGAACTTCTCATAAACATTAGGACGATTTGCACAATATATGTGTTTAGATGTCACATGCATTGGTAAATAATCTTTCAATAAATGACGTGAGGCTCAATTTTCAAAATTCTAACATAAGGATTGAACGGTAATTTGGCAATTGACACACCATAGATTAGAGTGCGATACATAACTTAACAACCTTTGCGTATTTGCACTACACTGTAGTTTGTCGATTCAAACAAGGGGACTGATTCATTCCTATATCAACTTTAATGAAGAAATTTACTGTTTTGTTTCATAAAAGTACCTAAGCGTCGATATTTAAAGTGTGTATGTCCTTTTCATTTTTATTTGATACATTTATGTTAATTTAAGTTAAATACTCTTAAGACAACGATGGAAATATCAACACAGGTTAAATATATTATGTAAATAAAGTAGGAGACAATCGGCCATGCAAAACTAGGACGTTGCGTAGTACTCATGTGTATGTCTAAGCATATCAACATGTCACTTACTCAGCACATTGTTTACCGTCGTCTCTATTGGCCCAAACTTTACCTTACACGGATATGAGAGGCAGATAATACCGAAGGGGCACTTCTGTCTGTGCCAGGATACCAGACGGGCAGTGGTCGATAGGATCTGTTTGAATACTCAAATTTAAATTAACATCAGTATATCTGCATGTAGTGTCATCTTCACACTAAACAGGACAATAATTTTCTCGGCAAAATGGGATATACGTTCCGCGAGTTTTTACGTGACATTCTTGCGATAAGAAATGTTCTCATTGTAATTATCACACCTATTGTGTTGTTGCCTATTCCAATCAGTATCCAATCAAAGGTAGGTTTATGACTTTTATTATATTATATGAAGTTTAATAATTACACGAATATTTGTTTATGTCGATATCTGTTTTCATCCATAGAGTGTTAGATATAAAATTTCACTAACCACTTTTTACTTATTATTTACGTCATTCTGTTTCTACTGCTGAAATAGTTTAAAGATCAAAATGTGGCCGTTTAGATAAATATCATTTACCCTATATATATTCAATATCAAATATTGCGTATACATTACACAATTTTACTTGAAAATATTCAACTTTACCTTATTACGCAAACAATGTACGTGACAAACGTGTATAACAATAACATATATAATCCCGCACATCACTGAAAATAAGTTTATGTTTGATGGATGACAGAAAACGTCTACATTACACACACGTTTACGTAGAATAGCCTAAGGGAACTCACCAAGCCATGTCTACGGTAACGTCCCTGTCACAGTGTGGACGTATAACGTACCTGTTACCTTTGGTATATTATCGTCTCACCTACTACCGTTATAATGTTTTGTTGTTTACTACGTGTACAGCCTTCTTAATTGTGATATAGTTACACTCGTTACATTTTAAATTTGTATCGTGTTTTCAGTCATCTTCTCGTAGCATTAACACGCAGGTCACCGTCTTGAATTTTAGGAGAAAAAAGGACAAAAATGACTGGCAGTATTTTTACAATTAATTGTCAAACAATGTTATCATCTGGTTTGATTTACGGCAATGTTACAAGAAACAAGTACATGTGTGCAGTCATTTTTCCTAAACGAACATGTAACACGAGACAATCTTATTATATGCTGAATTATATAATTGAGACATACACAATGAATTTACGAAAGTATTGAAAGTAAGCATTCTATTTACTTCACAAGTACCAAAAAACCTAAAAGTTCTATTTCGTTTTGAATGTTTGTGCTTGAAAAACACTTTGATCCATGTCCTTCTTGATAAAAGCGTTCCCTACAGATTAGAGATCGATAAATGATTTACTAGCTGTAACACACTGCATGATCGTGAGAGGCGATTAATGTAGGAACCCCCTTGCAAATTGTGGGCTTCACGTGGTGCTCTCTACTTTAGAACAAGAATGTCATCAAAATACTAAAATATTAATTGCAACATTTTTTATCCGTTCAATTTCTCTTCTCAAACGGATTTTTTTAGCAAACGAGAGAGCGTCCTAGTATGTTAATGGTAAATGTTTTTTTTTGTAGTTCGTTTAAGAGGCAATTGAATATTTATTCGCAAAGTAAAGTTGGACAGTTATTACTTATTCGTTACCCGGATTAAAGAATAGCTTTCTAACTTTGCTATTGTTACTCAGTTTTTGAAGGACAAATTTCACAAATTTCCTAACACATTTCTACACTTTGGTCACGTTTAGCATTTCATTGACAATCCAAATCTGGTGATTTTTACACAAACACTGTTACATAGCCAACAATAAAAAAAGCGGAATTCAAACAAGCAGTACCCTAGGAAACGAACAAAGCAAAACAGACGAAGTATAACAAAGGTTGGATATACCAGGTTTGTAGAGCAAACCGTCTCTAATCGGGTTTAAAGTGTATTTATTGTAATTAATCTCCGAACTGACTGCTCTCCGGTTAATAAAAAAAGATAGTTTAGGATTTAAACCATGTCCATTTAAAATCATGATTTGCTGTTATAGTAAGTTGTTCCACATTATTGAAATAACTATGCTAATAAGACAACGGTGTCCACCGATGAGATTGTCCCTTAATCTAATGTCGTTATCTGGACCGTCATAAAACGTGGCAAAATTAGCATAATGATATTTATTCATATCCCGTACAATTTCTAATTTTACGTCAATATTTGATAATCACTTCATACGAAATGCGTAGTAAACGTTATCATTCTCTATAAACACAGGCTGACAGTTTACCTGCATAGACCTGTCTGTTCAAAGCTATGTAAGCTTAATTGGTTTCCCCAGAATTGATCATTTTGATTTCTTAACCAGGAAACTGAATTTCTTTATATTTTTACTTTATAAAAAAACCGTTTGCACTTCATTTTGATTTTAAAATAATCACGCATTAGACAACAATGTCTTCAAGTACAGGTACACCTCCAGTTAATACAGGGATCAGCACTTGTTTTGTGAATTACTATGCGGTGTGTCAAGTTAAAGTAGCTAACATCAAACATAGTGCAGCCAAGGAGAAACAAAGGTCAACGGTGGGTTTTCGTAAATACTAAAACGTAAAAACGTAAATTCAAGAATAATGTACAACCCGAGCTAATATAGCTACTACCTCAATCATTTTGTTAAATCATTACAGAAAGAATGAGGAATAGTTAAATCCAAGCTTGTTGTTATCCACTGATTCATACACTGTACATGTATGTTGGGTCATACACTGTACATGTATGTTGGGTCATACACCGTACATGCATGTTGGGTTATACAATCTATATGCATGTTGGGTCATACATTGTACATGCATGTTGGGTCATACAATCTACATGTATGTTCGGTCATACATTGTACATGCATGTTGGGTCATACAATGTACATGCATGTTGGGTCATACAATGTACATGCTAGTTGGGTCATACAATGTTCATGCAAGTTGGGTCATGCAGCTCAACAATTGTGTTAAACTGCAATATATCCATATATAACAAACAAATAATTGATACACTTTGAAGGGAGCAGAAAAACTATTCTTGTAAGTGGTCTGCCACAAGACTGAAATATGGTTTCTATTGCAACATTATTCAATTTGCAATTTTTTAAACCGCGTATTAATGTGGGGTTTATGTTTCGTAGCAATTGTCTTCAACAAAAAGACCCTTTCAAGACCTATTTTTCTACCCATTTCATTATCAGAGGCTCAGAAATAACATTAGTTTTTTTTATTTTTATGTTATTGATTTATGTTTTTCTTTTTTTGGGGGGGGGGGGGGGGGTAGGGCATTTTCGTACAACACATTTATGATCAATTAGCTTCTCTGTTGAAGCTTTGGAAACAGCGCTCAGTGTTTTGAGACATCAATTGTCTGCAATTTGCATGTTCATAAGAGTTGGCAAATGGGTGAACATGCAGAGTGTGCAGTTTTCTTTTGTTAACACATCCCTGTATGTATGGGATTTTACGTGCTCCTCATACCGAAAGTCATACACGGTGTATGAAAATGGCGTCCCTAATAACTGGGCCACTTTATATCCCCTTTTATGTGCAATCTGAATGATACATAACAACCTTGTAACTTAATTAACTGACAGCAATCCAATCAGTCCTACCACCATCCATTCAAAGGCGACCGTGAAGCAGAGAGTTTTGAGCGCCAGTTTTTAGGACTTCGATTTATATCTCGATTAGAGAACAGAACTCCTAACCGTCCTCCCTTTCCTTTGGACGAACGAGTTAAAAAAATAAAAAAATAGTATAGATGTTTGTTTCTTGATGAACACCATGAAGCTTTTCGTTACCATTATGTTTTATCGATGCAATACATACATGTGTTACCTTATTAGCCTAGGTCTTCAATGAAAAGGCATAACATATACATATAACAAGAAATGTGCTAGGTGGACATAGGAATGTACGTAGCAGGTTACAGTAGAGTTGTTCAAGATTATCCCTGTAATGCATATGCGACAAGTACAACAATAGTCAGTCTGGCCAATATATGTATCAAACCGTGTATATAACCAGTAGAAGCAACACCTTAATGTGAATGATGTTTTGTATTTCATTCCTAGGAATCAGAATGTGCCTATGTGGTCATCATCATGGCGGTGTACTGGGTGACAGAAGCATTGCCTATTGCCGTGACGGCATTGTTGCCAATAATATTATTTCCTATGGTCGGAATGATGTCTGCAAAGGATGTTTCTTCAAAATTTGTCAACGTGAGTGTTGATGGTGATTTTTGTTATTTTTGTTATTTTTTTCTATGGACAAAATCATAAAATATCGTACAAAATGTAGCCTTAGCTAATGTCTGCATAACGTTCTCTTCGCGAATGCCCAATAACCAAATGCAAACTGCATTTAGGAGAAAGATATGTGTGTATATTTGTATATAATTTGCAGTGGTTTGAAAAACGTTTCATTTAAACTATTAACCTGTTCTGTGTTTCTATTCCAAAGGGAATAAGTTAATCAAGTTCACTCTATATTTCTTTTATTCAATGTGTCCTTTAATTGTTATATTTTTCTCTCTCAAGGATACAACCATGTTGTTTCTTGGCGGTCTAGTTATAGCAGCTGCCATTGAACACTGGAACATCCACAAGCGAATAGCTCTAAGGATCATTCTGATAGTTGGATCCGAACCTCACTGGTACGATATATGAATAGCTATATATAGTTCACAATCATCCTATTCACTTTGGTGTTTCTAATGTTTTGTTTTTCTATCATGTTTGTCAAAAACATTAGTCCAATCCCATACTAGCTAAGCTCTATTTGATACTATTTTAACACTTAAAAGGTTATGTTAAAATCATTTGTAGATACAGAGACCAAAATTCTAAACGATTCCTCATCGAACTTGCTGATATGTATCGACTGGTCATATTTACATGTTACCCATATTTACATGTTACCCATATTTACATGTCGATGGTTAACTCTATTCTGTACATAACAATGCTTTTCGTTATATCATATAAGTGTTATAAGGAAATCCGTTCTTATCAGAAGCATATGATGTAACAGTCATTTTGACGTTCATTGTAAGGTTGATGTTGGGTATGATGTAACACACATATATATGTTGACTTTCATTGTAAGGTTGATGTTAGGTATGATGTAACACACAAGTTGACTTTCATTGTAAGGTTGATGTTGGGTATGATGTTACATACAAGTTGACTTTCATTGTAATGTTGATGTTAGGTATTATGTTACACACAAGTTGACTTTCATTGTAAGGTTGATGTTAGGTATGATGTTACACACAAGTTGACTTTCATTGTAAGGTTGATGTTACACACAAGTTGACTTTTATTGTAAGGTTGATGTTATGTATGGTATAACACACAAGTTGACTTTCATTGTAAGGTTGATGTTGGGTATGATGTTACACACAAGTTGACTTTCATTGTAATGTTGATGTTAGGTATGATGTTACACACAAGTTGACTTTCATTGTAAGGTTGATGCTAGGTATGGTATAACACACATGTTGACTTTCATTGTAATGTTGATGTTAGGTATGGTATAACACACAAGTTGACTTTCATTGTAAAGTTGATGTTGGGTATTATGTTACACACATGTTGACTATCATTGTAAGGTTGATGTTGGGTATGATGTTACACACATGTTGACTTTCATTGTAAGGTTGATGTTAGGTATGATGTTACACACAAGTTGAGTTTCATTGTAAAGTTGATGTTAGGTATGATGTAACACACAAGTTGACTTTCATTGTAAGGTTGATGTTGGGTATTATATAACACACATGTTGACTTTCATTGTAAGGTTGATGTTAGGTATTATGTTACACACATGTTGACTTTCATTGTAAGGTTGATGTTAGGTATTATGTTACACACATGTTGACTTTCATTGTAAAGTTGATGTTAGGTATGATGTTACACACATGTAGACTTTCATTGTAAGGTTGATGTTGGGTATGGTATAACACACATGTTGACTTTCATTGTAAGGTTGATGTTGGGTATTATATAACACACATGTTGACTTTCATTGTAAGGTTGATGTTAGGTATGGGATAACACACATGTTGACTTTCATTGTAAGGATGATGTTAGGTATGATGTTACACACAAGTTGAGTTTCATTGTAAAGTTGATGTTAGGTATGATGTAACACACAAGTTGACTTTCATTGTAAGGTTGATGCGAGGTATGGTCTAACACGCATGTTGACTTTCATTGTAATGTTGATGTTAGGTATGATGTTACACACAAGTTGACTTTCATTGTAATGTTGATGTTAGGTATGATGTTACACACAAGTTGACTTTCATTGTAATGTTGATGTTAGGTATGGTATAACACACAAGTTGACTTTCATTTTAAGGTTGATGTTAGGTGTGATGTTACACTCATGTTGACTTTCATTGTAAGGTTGATGTTGGATATGATGTGACACACATGTTGACTTTCATTGTAAGGTTGAGGTTAGGTATGGTATAACACACATGTTGACTTTCACTGTAAGGTTGATGTTGGGTATTATATAACACACACGTTGACTTTCATTGTAAGGTTGATGTTAGGAATTATGTTACACACATGTTGACTTTCATTGTAAGGTTGATTTTGGGTATTATATAACACACATGTTGACTTTCATTGTAATGTTGATGTTAGGTATGGTATAACACACAAGTTGACTTTCATTGTAAGGTTTATGTTAGGTATGATGTGACACACATGTTGACTTTCATTGTAAGGTTCATGTTCGATATGATGTAACACACATGTTGACTTTCATTGTAAGGATGATGTTAGGTATGATATTACACACAAGTTGACTATCATTGTAAGGTTGATGTTAGGTATGATATAACACACATGGTGACTTTCATTGTAAGGTTGATGTTAGGTATTATGTTACACACAAGTTGACTTTCATTGTAATGTTGATGTTAGGTATGATGTTACACACAAGTTGAGTTTCATTGTAAAGTTGATGTTAGGTATGATGTAACACACAAGTTGACTTTCATTGTAAGGTTTATGTTAGGTATGATGTGACACACATGTTGACTTTCATTGTAAGGTTTATGTTAGGTATGATGTGACACACATGTTGACTTTCATTGTAAGGTTGATGTTATACTCATATTGACTTCCATTGAAGGATGATGTTGGGTATGATGTTACACACATGTTGACTTTCATTGTAAGGTTTATGTTAGGTATGATGTGACACACATGTTGACTTTCATTGTAAGGTTCATGTTCGATATGATGTAACACACATGTTGACTTTCGTTGTAAGGTTGATGTTAGGTGTGATGTTACACTCATGTTGACTTTCATTGTAAGGTTGATGTTGGATATGATGTAACAGTTGATGTTAGGTATGATGTTACACACATGTAGACTTTCATTGTAAGGATGATGTTGGGTATGGTATAACACACATGTTGACTTTCATTGTAATGTTGATGTTAGGTATGGTATAACACACAAGTTGACTTTCATTTTAAGGTTGATGTTAGGTGTGATGTTACACTCATGTTGACTTTCATTGTAAGGTTGATGTTGGGTGTGATGTTACACACATGTTGACTTTCATTGTAAAGTTGATGTTAGGTATGATGTAACACACAAGTTGACTTTCATTGTAAGGTTGATGTTACACTCATATTGACTTCCATTGAAGGATGATGTTGGGTATGATGTTACACACATGTTGACTTTCATTGTAAGGTTCATGTTCGATATGATGTAACACACATGTTGACTTTCATTGTAAGGTTGATGTTAGGTATGATATAACACACATGTTGACTTTCATTGTAAGGTTGATGTTACACTCATATTGACTTCCATTGAAGGATGATGTTGGGTATGATGTTACACACAAGTTGACTTCCATTGAAGGTTGATGTTAGGTATGATGCTGCCCACGTGGTTCCTGTCCATGTGGATTAGTAATACTGCCACTACTGCCATGATGATACCGATAGCCAACGCAGTGCTGGTCCAGCTCCGAGATGCCAAACAAACCAAAGATACGACTACTTTTCCAGAGGAAAACGGTAATAAATACGTATATACTAAGTGTACGGCAGTTGTATATATTAAAATTTAATGATGATTGCATAGAATATTACTTATACAATATGATTGCATAAGTGCAGATTCTTTGATTTTTGTTTGTTTCAAATTTACGAAGTTTTAAGTAGAAGAGAATCCACCTGCTATAACCAATTACATGACATTAAAAAGGCGACAAATATGGGGACCAGTAGAACGTTAATATGCGGAACATACTATCATATGAGCCCTTTTAACTGACACTCTCTCGTAAGCCTATCATTTTAAGACGATTCTTTCCTGTCTTTCTTACTCTATTTTACGGCGTTGTCTATTTAGGCACACGTACTTCATATGATCTTATCTAACGCGAGGACTTTAAATCACAAACAAACTGATATATAGATTCTTATTATCTGTTGGCATGCAAACCTTAGGTACCGTAATATGACTGGGTGAAGTATCATGCTTCCGTATCGAGGATATGACGTTTTAGTGATTTGACACGTCAAAGTGGACACAGTTTGTATATGACCTTGGCTGTTTCGCGGAATAAACAGCGAGATAAAATATAAGTAACTCCTTGCTCCACAATGAAAAGTGCAATATGACGTACTCCCTGTTAACCACCAAGGCATCTGGTAGGTCAGTAGTTACCTCACTTCTACGAATGAAATGTTAAATAATTGACACCAAACAACGATCGCTACTCATTGCTCCTCATCGAGATATGAATTTTGACTTATTTCTCATAACGTGAAATGCGATGTTAACTCCAGCCTGACAACACACAGTATAAGGTAAGTTACTTGGTGCTATAAATGTGTTTGAGTTTGACAGCCCAGCGATAACTTTTGTCTTTTTATGCTAGAATAATCTTTTAATATGGGGGAACCTTTGGGGAATCAAATTAAAAATCATATACAACGTCGTATATCTTATAAATTTGTTTGAGTTTAACGGCCCAACGACAACTATGATCATTTTAGGCCAGACATATATTTTAGTATGGGACAACCTTTTGAGGAATGAAATTTAAAATCATATAAAACATAGCATATCTTATAAAATGAACGGCAGGCAAAGTGTAAAATATGAGAAGTTAGTTTAAGATGTTGGGTAAGGATTGAAATGGAAAGAGAGAGATATAAATGCCGTAAAAGGGAGTCCTAAAGTTTAATTGAATCTTAGTTTATAAACCAGACCAATATATGTTATACTATGTATAAAGTTGAATAATGCCTACGGAAGTAAAAATGGTTTTCATTTCCGTGACATTTTATTACGAATGTTTCTAAAATCTGAACATTTTGTTCAAATATGCTCCACTGTAAAAAGAGAGTTACGTGAGTGTATTTTCCCCTATTTAGGAGATAAGCATGAGTGAGATAGAAATTACCAGTACGGAGTCGAGAAGGTTCTGTACATACACTAACCTCTCAAACATACACACAATTTATCTCTCACATACCAGCGAAGTAATATGAGTAAGTCAAATAAAAAAGGCAATACTTTTTCCTTTTTTAATGATTTATTGATCTCAATGTTTCCTCCTTCAAAAGGTATTGATAACAAGGCTTTGGAATTGGAAGAAATCGCCATTACAGAAAAACAAGGTGAAGTAACGCTAAAAGAATCGGATAAACTAGACGCGGAAAGGTAGGTGCAATGCATTGAAATGTTCGTTTCCGACCAAATGCAATAGAATGTGACAAACTAATATTTATGATCGATAATCACCAAATTCATCTGTGTTTTCTACGAACGACCAGTTAAATAATAATAAATTGGAAAAAAACGTAATTTCGACTATGAATTCCTTTTCGAACCTCTCTATGGTTTTGGTTTATATTCCGTTGATGCTTCATGAGTATCATTGTTATGTCTAACATAGCCTAGACTGCCGATGAGTCGTAAAGCTTTTCCAAAGCAAACAGCTTTCCTTTGAGATTTTGTAGACGAGTTGGTTGCATATCTAATATATATATACTGTTTTTCGATTTGTTATGACTATGTCTGATTATGACATAGTTTTGAGTTGCTTGTATGTTCCCTATGTATTGTATCTTACCTCAAATATACAACGACTGTGCATCGTTGTAATGTTTACTCAATGAAATTTATATTTTACTCAAACCCAGGAATTCCGGATCTATATATTATTTTCTTAAATGCGCTTTCCTTCAGTCCAGAATGCGATGACGTTTCGGAAGACAACAAGGCCGAGGCTGAGTATCTCCGAATGTGTAAAGCCCTGTCACTAGCCATCGCATACTCTGCCAATGTTGGGGGTATCGGCAGTCTCACAGGAACGGGGCCAAATATTGTCATGAAGGGACAAAGTGATATGTGAGTCAGTAAACTTTCAATAACATTATACACTGTGATTTGTGATGCTTAAAGCACCAAAGACAATTTGCTAAGTGTTCGCACCTTTAAGAAATACTACAATTATATGCTTTAAATCGTTGCCGCTGTTTAAGTAAATAATGATATATTTTCCGCAATATGTGTAAATATAACGACTCATTCGCGCGGATGACAAACAAAAAATATGTATCCCACTTAATTAAGTATGTCAATTCGTCTGACTTGTATTCAGTAGAAACCATAGTTGTGGTTGTTATTATGATGTTACTTGAAACGGAGATAAATTTGGTAACGTCACTTTATCATCATATTGTATAACTGGTAAGGCAGTGACTAAGTTCTAGAAACATCAGTGAAACATACAATATAATCCATGTTTATGTATCGAAGATGTATCTTGCATGTTACTACCTCAAACCTGACTCTTAATCAAATGTAGGTATATAAGTTAAATCCGGGCCCGTAAGGGTGATGGATACAGTAAATAAAACGTGTTTCATAATTAATGAAAAACAATCAAGCTTATTCATTTATTGATTAAATATATTTCCAACCATTAGCGTATTTCAGAAGTACGGGGCTGAATCTCCCGTGACGTTTGCCACGTGGATGCAATTCGGACTGCCACTATCGGCTGTGTGTCTGGTTATCCTTTGGGTATGGCTACAGATCTACTTTATGCGGTGCAAGTAAGTATACGCAGGTATTATCAATGGAATCAGTCCTGTGATATAGAAGGTAACAACAATCTGAGTAAACATGCTCTAAAACTTTACAGCTTTCTATATCAATGTCGCAATATATTAAGTCAAAACACTTTGTCATAGTTGTGTGAAGGAGATTCTCCCAGATATGTTCACTCTTTTTGTTTGGGTTGGTATTGTCTTTACAAAATCCAATGAATATCAAGACAGTGTGCATAGGTGTCAGTGAATCGTAAGGGTCACGTTATGCACCGTTCTTAAGTACCAATAATTCTTCCTTTATCGAACAGCACGTGGGACAAGGTACGTTCTGTCATTCGCATATGTAAACGCACGGTATATAAGTATATAAAATGGAATTCAAAAAAGAAAGACATCATAAAACAGTCGTAGCTGGCTGGAATGTAAAGTTAACTATGTCAACAGACCTTTTCAAATAAATATTTTACAATACAGAAGCAATTTAATATTTTCAAATATTTTATGATAACAATGCATCGTATGACTTACTTAGATTACATGAACAATACAAATCAGATATCGATCGACCTGTTCCAATACTGATAATGATATTAAATAATTACTACAATGTATTATAATCCCGATCATTTTTGTTAAATATAAATGTATTAGAGGTTTTGTATTTTTCATTTCATTCTAAATCCCCAGGTATTATTATCAAAATATACAAATCCCAGGTATTTTAAAAAGACAATTTTATTCTTTTTCTTACCAGTTACTAAGGTAGTAAGGTAGAAACTGACATTACTAGTAGTACAAATATTGTCTGTTTTAATAATCAATATTTTCTCATTGAATGTTGTAGATCCTGTTTCAGCTGCTTTTCAAAACAGGACAAATCCACGTCTAGACGAGTAACTGAAATGTTGAGGAAGGCGTATGATGAGTTAGGACCTATAACGTAAGGACTAAAGTCATATATTTTCTACTCGGGCATAGTAGAAAATACATATTTAAAGTTTGCTGAAAATCTGTAGCAAAATACATTTGAATTTTGTTTTGGTTAAATTGAATAATTTGTAATCTTGATAACTCAACAAAATCCTTTGTACATGTTATTTATGAAGTTCGTTTTTCCACTTACGTTATTTTAATTAAGTAATTATTTTTTGTGTTTTCATCAGATTTGCCCAGGGCGCTGTGATGGCCCACTTTCTCTTACTTGCCATTCTGTGGATCTCGCGTGATCTAGGAGGAGTCGGTGGATGGGGAGATTTGTTTCCGGAGAAGTATGTACAACATAACATAAGTAAGATCTGCAATCCGTGTAGAACGATTGCAAGGTTGTGTTGAGGTAGTGTGCTGACCTGTTTCAACGCACCTCAGTATATATATCGCGAGATAATGGAGTTCATTTTCCTCACAGATTGACGCATGATATAAAGAATTAAGTATTTCATCTTTACATGATACGTGAAATTATCCATAGTGCAAACTGCGTTGTATGTGTCTCCTTTAAATCTGTTTATCCAAAACATGCCATGTCAATATTTTGTTCCAGATTTAAGTGTTGGTATTAAATCGGAGATAGGCGGGTTCCCCATCTCGAGAAGTAAAATCCGTGTGTTTGATACCCCTGGTCCCACGAAATGTCCATTAAGTCAACTAAAGCTTATCAGTTTGCATAATGCTTGTTGACGTGCTTGGCAATTTCTGTAACTTAGGTTTATGGTACGTAAGGTGTGGTATATGTATTCACTACAAACTTTCGTCCATAAATTGCACAACGTAATATTTAACGAAGGTAAAATCGGTCATATGTAAATTAAAGCGATAAAACCTGCTGCAATAATGCAAATCATCCTAACTTATCAATCTACTAAAACATTACTTGTGAAGATGTGTTAGATTTAGAAATTACTTGAGCATTTTCTTTTTTTATACCGGATGTTACGTGTTTTCGTTGTATCTTTGATACGAATTGTTTATACTCTTCACCAAAATGCTTTTACGTTCACATAAGCGAGAAGGTTGTGGGTTCTACCCCCTGCCCGAGAAAAACTAACGTGGAAGTTAGACTTATAATTGGTGTCTTCAAGAACTGTTTAGCCTGTGTCGTTGTTAAGTGAAAGGTTGAATGCTATTTTACAGTGCCCAGTTTGTGTAATTTCAGTGATACATTGTATATAGCACCTTAAAGATAAGCATTGAGTGGCGCTCATCATCCATGATCCAGGACATAAATTTGACCTCATCATGTTGCAAAAATAACGACCCGAAATAACAACAACAACAACAATAGCACACAAGGTTAGCGCATCACACCTTAAATGTCAATATGAAAAAGTTGTAACTCGATTGATGAAACACAAAACAAAACAAAATAAGAACATCATAGATTTCTATAACAACCGAAGGTTATTAGGTGCGTTTTGTGCACCAGGATACTGCCTTTGTCATTATTGATCTACGATACAGCAAACAAGACTTAACAACATGAATAAACTATCGATATTTTAAACTTATTTTTCATATTGTACCCCCTTGCACTATAGTTACTCTATAAGCCTATCCTGTTGGTGATTTTATCAGATATACGACGTGTCATGTGACTAAAATAGTATTCTGGCTTTGAATGACTATATATTTGTCGATGGGTCGTTAAACTCAATAAAACAAACGAAATAGCAGGTGGACATTTGATCATGATATGTCTTAAGCGAAATATTGAACGATCTTCTGTAGAAATTCTTAGCCCGTAGTTCTTTGGTAAATGTGATTAGAGATGAGAATTCCTTGGTGCGTAAAACATGCATCGGAGACGTAAATAGCATGTGATGTAAACCTCACAACATGAAAATCAGGTACATCATAACTTGGGATGGGAAAGTTAACTACCAAGAAACAATTTCTCCTCATTTTGGCAGTAACATTATTCGGTACTCAAGATAATGCTCCAAATATTATGAATAGAAGCTTCGACTGTTGGTCGACAAAGTTATAACAAGAGATTTTCAAAAGATTTCAGGACAATGAGGACTTTATTTAAGTTTTATGGTCACCGTAACATTTTTCATAGGGGGATACTCTATTTTGTGATCAAAGGTCGTATTTAGGTTTTTCTTTTGCTCAAAAGTGTCACTTGTAGTGTAGTTGCCACTAACCTTTATCCTTCTTTGAAAACGTGACATAGATTTTGGATTTGACCCAGACGGAACAGAAGACGTTAACTCTTCATGAACACATGGTCACAATATGTTTGTTCTTTTTAACATATTTGCATGCAAATCTTTCTGATTCCGCATAATTTGCCCTGTTTTCGTTCGATCTATGGTTTTATAATACTTTGGTAGTTTTCCTTTTCTTCTTTCCCGTATTTTACAGGTAATTTCTTGTCCTGACGACAACATGAAGGCATACTACGTGAAACCTGTCTAAATGAAACAGGACATACTACATATTCATTTGACATTTTATTTTTCAAGTACAAAAAAACCTCTTAGAGTTAAAATGCTCTTGTTATTTATTCTGTTTCAGAACCGTTACAGATTCAACACCGTCCATTTTGATATCAGCAAGTCTTTTCTTGTTTCCGTCAGAGATTCCGAGTATTTTCAGGTGTGGCAAATCAGATGACCTCTCGACAGGTCAAAACAAAGGTCAGCAATAGATCATGATCTTCTAATCGTTTTCTTACTTATGACGATACGTTAAATAATACCACTCAGATTATATATGTTTTTATTGTTATTTTTCCTATGAACTCCATAATATTCCCCAAATTGAACATGAAATGAAACCGTATTTAATAGCATTTTCCCTATTACTTATATAATAATACATATATAAGCTAGCGGTGCGTTTACAAAATTAAAGACTGCGTTAATTATAAGTTATGTGTAAAGCTCAAAAATCATCATTTGTTATGTATTTTGGACTTTTTTGTGTATTTAAATCATTTTTGAGAGGCAGTAACATTACATGTGTAAGCTGGTTGTTCAGTTATTTAGTCATTAGAAATATCAGAATGACATGTCTACAATGTCAACTAACTACCTGTTACAGCTTCGGAAAAGGTGGCGCCATTGCTGTCATGGAAAGTGGCAGAGAAGAATATACCATGGGGAGTCATTTGGCTGCTTGGAGGCGGATTCGCTCTCGCAGAAGGAAGTCAGGTAAATCCCCACAAATTCATGATGTATGCCATGATACAGGTCACTATTGAATAAGTAAATATGCTATGTGTTTACGTTATGGCCTACATTACGTGTTTATAGCATGCCCTTATTTGACCACCGTTAAGTATCAGGGCTATCTGTCTGACTCAACAGGCCAATCGTGCTTTTGTGTATTGTAGTAAATTCGTTATGTACATAACATGGAAATAAACATATCTTGCCGATAATTGTGGTTCCTGGCTTGTAGTATATCTTATATCATTCTGTTTGTCTACAATTAGGTGTCTGGCCTGTCTGCCTGGCTTGGTGATAAACTCGCTGTGTTTAGTAGCTTTGAGCCCTGGGTAATGAACCTGATCCTGTGCTACATCGTAGCGGCTGCAACAGAAGTGACTAGTAATACTGCAATCTGTACACTCATGATGCCCATTATGGCCGAACTGGTAAATGATGACGTCACCATATGAATACTTGAGTTAACATTACATTGGTTAATGGTTATATCGTAATGCTTTGATAGGCAATCGAGTTTCATTCAGACCCACATAGAGTGGCAATTTTTGTATGTATTCGTGTAATATAGACTATTTCAAACATATTTGCACACATTTAGTGCTAAGTTTAATATCAAAAAAAGAAATATTTTAAGTACAGTATGCAATTTGCGTACGATGAACATCCCTTCAATAAATATATATCTATTTATCAATATATCAGAATGTGGAACTGAAATTAATAAAACATGTATAATAAACTCTTTTTTTCCAGGCACTCAAACTGGGAGTAAATCCATTATACTTAATGTTCCCTACCGCCATTGCCACGTCCTTCGCCTTTATGCTGCCCGTAGCCACGCCCCCTAACGCTGTTGTCTTTTCCTACGGCTACGTCAAGGTCATCGATATGGTGAGTTTGATACAGTAACTGTCAGCTGAACTCTGTATCACCAAGTCATCATTGCGGATACATCGGGTACGCGTGACCAAACACTTAAAACCTCTTAATCAAACGTGTCTTATTGTCCGGGTAAAGTATCCTGTATGATGTAGCATATATTAATCAGCTATCTTAATAAATTATTGTTATGTCCAGATTTTTTTTAAGGAAAGTAATAACACGCAATGGTTATTATGCTGTTGTTTATTGTGCTGTAAGATGTAAGATGTAATGGAACAGAAATGCTATTGAAACTGCATTCAAATTACGCTTTATATACATTTTATACGTGACCTTACTTTACTGGACGTTTTATTAGTAGTTCGAGTCAAAGACAAAGCATATATAGTTTATGGGTTTACGTATAATTAATTTATTTAAAGAAAGTATCTTCAACAATAACCTATGTTCCTTAATTAGTAATTATTCAAGTGTCTTCCAAATGAACATGTCATTTTTCCCCAGACATTAACACTCATATTGTATCCTATTACAGGTGACGGCAGGTTTCTTCATGAACATCGTCGCTGTGTTGGTTTTAGTGGGAGCGACAGAATCATGGGGAGAAAGTATATTTCATTTCCACACGGAGCCAGATTTTTTCAAGAACTCTACATTAACTCTTCTTAACACTACTGTAAACTCAACTTTTGCCTGCCTTTGTCCAACAACAGCTCTGCCAATTAATACAACGTAATCTGACCTTCGTTTTGTACTGTTTCTATGATATCGTATATTTTTACTGCATTTTGTAGGAATTAACAGCTTCGTTTATGAAATAAGTAAACTTACCTCACACTGCGTTATATAATTATACATACTCGCCGACGGAAACGCATAGCGAAGAGCTTAATCCATTGACAATATGGTCTCATAACGTTTGGTGTGCAGACAGTTTTATTAAAACAGAACTAATCTTAGTGTTGTTCGATGGTTTATGGTTCAGCACGTACATCGTATCTATAATAATGCTCCTTCAGGGGAACTATATGCCTTCTGTATAACACCGTATTTACGTACGTCAGCGTACAGTGAAAGAGGCCACAAATGTGTGTCCGTGTATGCTGCTTCATGGCATTTTTGGAAATTAGAACGTCTTCACATGACCCGTGCTTAGAAAACGTTCACGTGTGAGCAGAAGTGAAGAAGTGACCATTTACCGGTTTAGCCTTGGAACACTTAGTTATGTCTGAAATGACAACTTAGTTTATGTAGCATTGATCGGGTTTAACGATAATTTCAACGTTGATCCTTTATGACAGACTGTTTTTATTTTCAACACATTTGTACCCATGCATGTGAAGAAGAAATTAGACCAGCTGCCTCCTTAAACAAAGTTTGATTCAAAAGTATTTTAGTGTGCATACATTTTGGAAAGTGTCAGGCTATGCTGGATTGTTAGTTAGATGTGTCTGTGTGTGTTTACATATATATAATGAGGCTATAAAATTCACATATAAATGGTTTGATTTGAACCAAGTTCGATGTATATGTACTGTTAAGTTTTAGTCATGTTATGCCTTAGACTAAGTTTGTCAGCATCATCATAATAATGTATTCATGTGGTCATGCATACTTAATATCTTAATGTATCCAACCACAGAGGAAATCATTCCAGGCATGACTCATTAGGATTCACCATCGTATTGAACAGTTTATCCTCACAAAACCACATTATAAACAGCAGAAATAGCATGACCTACAAACGGGAAATATTCATTATACACAAAAACGCCTTCTAACATCTAATCTAAGGGTAAAATAGACAAAAATATACCAAGGGAGCAATACCCAAAGGTGATGTCCGAGCTCAACGGTGATAAAATAACGCATTAATATGAATGGGGAAAGCAAGTGCTAGAGCAGAAACCCTTTACATATACTCCAGAAAGGTAAGCGTTCATGCTCTAGACGTAACATTCGACCATATGTTACATATAATGTATATACATAGCTACGAACATAGCCCCCTTAGGGTGCCTCTCCACCCTTCTTGGTGCCTCCGTTGTTTTGAGGTATTTGATTAGCTAAAATCCCACGCTACAATCTGATTGGCTGTATGCCTCTTTCTTCATCTTTAAGAAAAATTTCAACGGCGCCATTTTATAGCAGCATCTTTTTAGAAATTTATCACAAAATTGCCTTATTGAAAAAAACACCCTTACATGCTACCCTTTTAATATTGTTAGTTTTGTGATCTATATATATATGTACTGGTGTGGCGTAATTCTGTCGAATCCCCACCTAAGGATGTAAATTGACAGTAAACATCATTTTCATAGTTTGTGTCATAGTGTCGTTATGTGGAGTAGACATACAAATATCTTTGGTTATATCCAGGAAAGCATGTGGATAACCGGCAATTTCTAGGCACAACAAACACTGAATCTGGTATTTGCAGTTGCAAATCAGGTCATCGTGAGTATCGTACGATTTCACCAACCTAAATGTAAGCCTATTAGATAGACGAATAACTGGCAGGCTATCAAATACATTCGTCATTATTAAGTATAGTCCAAGACCCACTTGAGGCTTAGAAAACGCTCTGAAATAGCGATTAAGCTTTGGCATGAATCCTTGTTCTGTTATTGAAGAAATAACCTGTGCGTTAATATTTAGATATGAAACTTGAAAAAGACCATCATTCCTTTGAACCAGTCTTCATTACACCTAAGGACTTCTGAGGTAGAACAACTCCCAACAAAAATACATCTCTAGAATAAGATTATATTAGCCTTCATATTACGCAACATACACTCTAGTACAAGGTGATAGATTAACTGATCCTTCATATCTCAAATCTCACACTCTAGTACAAGGTGATAACCAATCTGACCCTTAATATATCAAAACACAGACTCAAGTACACTCACACTCTAGCACAAAGTGATCAACAATCAGTTCCTGTAAAACACACACTCCACAACAAGATGTTCCCCAAATATCACGCGCACATTAAAAGCCTTATGTTAATGTCATAAGACGCATCTCGCAACAGAATTACCACTCAAAACACTTTTTACGATGTATGTGATGTTTTAATCTACTTAAAACCTGTGATTAGATTGGTTGTTAAATTCAAATGGCAAATACATTGCATGTGTTTAGAACAATAACACTGCATAAATGAGACCACTACCATATAATGCCCTAGTAACAGAGAAAATAAAAACGCAAAGATGATCTATCCCTCTGGCTTGGCCACACTTTCCGGACATACATAACCTCTACATATATGTGTCCTTTGAATGAACCATTCAGTCAAACACTTTATAATGATATTTTGTTTTACGATTTAATAACTGTGTGACTAGAACTCTCAAATTCAGAAAAAAATGATTTGGAAATGTCGATGTTAACAAAGTTATTATGACTTTTCTTAATTCTGAAGAGATACCGGACTTGTATGATCAAACATTTTTAAAATGCCATTCTAAGCTTAATAACTCGGCTGCTATGATTTTCTGTATTGCGATTCTAGTCCAATTATATGCAAGTATGATTCAGGCTGGGCTGGAAATATATAGACCAATCTGATAATATATAGACTAGCCCGAAATTTATTAACGTGGTTTTACTAAATGCGCCCATGCTACCTAACTGTAATGTGTACAATAGATTGTTATGTAATACTCACTGACTTAGCAAACACCGCCTGGATGTGTTTTGAAGATTTGGTAGTGACAAGGATTTTTTCGTTGCGTCTTTTCTATTTTCTTATCTGGATCCTTTAGTTTCTTTTCGATAACGTTGTCTTACCTAAGGTCAGTAGGGATATATTTTTGTTTAAAGTGGTTGTCATACGTTGTTATGAGCTAGCGAACCTAACTTATCTAATGCAGATCTGATCACCTGTCTGGTAGCCAGTTCAACATGTGTCTGTTATCTGTTATACACGATAGTTGGTAATGATTTTCACGTTAACCCTTACTTGTGACACTGAAGATCAGTTTTGGGTCGGTATAAAGGCGATGGAGTACACTTACCTAACTTTATTGCGAGCCATTCCTTTAGATGCTGATGCAGTATATTGATAAATGGCCTATAACTAATTGTATTTGAGGCAGTGCTACTTTTTGCGGTAATGTGAATCAGCACGAAAGCACATTTTGGTCTTAAACAAGGGGCGCCCGCATTTACTTGAATCGACTTGTCCCTTCTCCCGAAACAATAATATTTACAACATGTGAATAAAATATCTTATCTCAATAAGTGTACTTCAAAACCAACACAACGTACTGTCAATATGTTAATACAATTTACGGTAGTATCATCAATCAATACAAACCATGCCCATACACATACAGTTACCTACATTACACTCACATAAAATCTTTTGATTTATAAATTATGACGTTACCGTATTACTATATTATCATTACCGCCAGTCCCTAGTTCAGGGAAAGTGACAGCAATATAAATTTCAGTGGTAAAGCTACATGTGTATTGCAGGTGTTATAGATTTCGCCGCTTAATGTTATACAGTTAACCGACATTAGTGTTAAACCCGGATCTTGTAGGTAAAACCAATTAAGGATTGACGTAAATGCGTCCTTCTGTCCATCAACGGCGTAATGTCACATGGTTATAAATACTTCCGCCGGCAAAATATATAGAAAACAATCCATAGTACAACAGTCTACAAAACAAGTACAATGTAACAAGTGGCTAAAGGTCACTAAGGCGCCTGCCTTCTGAAATAACTTAATAAGGTGTGCCACCAGAGGCATAAGGATGGAGATGCATGATGTATAGACAGTTAGGATGGGGAATAGCTACAACAATGTATGATAGGACAGAAAAACAATTTGACATTTCCTCATTGAGATTTATTGCATTGATTCATCTCAGTGAAAGAAAAGTATCTACTGTTTGGCAAAATTGCGTTCAAAACATTCCATAACTGAAAAGTACTAGTAAAGGCAAGTGTGACATATTATATATTACCTGTTTCATACTTAATTTAAACCCATAATATGTAGCTTCATCAAGCCAAACACCTCTCAGATATGTAATTAATACAGTTCAGTCAGTAAAGGCAATGTCGGGGGTATCGTTTGGGATGTATAATTGACTCTACATCACAAGACGTTTGCAGCCATTGAGTGGTTTAGTGATTGTTCGAGCACGGGCTGGAGTGTTTTAGAAAGGGAAGTGTGTTCTGCTTCATCAACGTCACCCCTGTCTTTATCTAAACATCATGGGTACATATGTCAATGGGTGACTTTTTTTGTCAACCTAGATACAATCGAGAACAAAATAACCTCCTTCTCCTCCTCCTTAAATATAAGAAACACTGTTACCTTTCTGTTCAATATTGAACTTCGTTCAAATGTTAGACATAATATATACTAGTGCTACATGTATATACACTTGTAACCAATAAGTTATAAAATGACATTTAAAATAATTAAATTAAAAACAATGAACACTTGCAAGTGTACCAGCAAGACAATATAGTATAATACAATGTAAGTAACTTTGTATTTCCCCATATATTAGTAAAACGTGTAGTAGATCAAGTACACCGCCTGGCACCACACGTTAGTAACGGAGTGTATTTGTTAAATATTAAGAGTGCCTGTAACTATCTCTCATTGATATCAATATCAAAAGGATCATAAATCATAAATTGTTAATAAATCCTAAAAGTCATAGTAAGACATAACACATATTTAATGTTAACAACAAATTCGCCTCTTTATCTTGACATTAATGCAGTCTGTACATATATATCTGCGTGTGTGTATATCTGAAACTATTCTTAATACTAAATTATATTTGTAACAGTTTTATGTTTATAATTATCCTGGATGCATAAAAAATGTATAATTTTGTATATTTTTCTTAAATTTGACCTGATATTTGCCAATATTGTTCTTATTGAATTGCCACTCAACTCAGCTATCGAATTAATCTATAACAAAATATCACAATCACAAACTTTGTGCTGCACTAAGATTGTTTAACTCGAATTTTCACAATGAATGCACTAAGTCTTTGCAGTTGATGTTCGCCTTGTTTAGGTTAATGTATAATAATAATATCATGGACTTGTCTGTTGTGTTATCCTTGTTGTAAATAAAAGTTTGAACATCGCATTTGTCCATGCTATATTCAAAGATCAGCACGAAAATAACTTTCATTTCAGTACTTGTATATGCAAGAGGTCCAATGAGCCTGTATCGTTCACTTGGTATTTATTGACCTTCGAAGTTGGTCAACGAAAATGTATTTTAGAAATACAAAGTTCCGTACTCTACTGAGGAACTTTGCTCGAAGATTTCTTTACCATATATCTTCTAAATGCTTGCTGAAAGATCTTAATCTAAAGTTTTTTAAAGCATAATGTTAAGCAAACAACATCAACAGCTTAAAATATCAATTTGAATATGTAGGACAAGAAGGCAATAATAACATCTGAGAACAACTCTTTGTCGAGTAAAAGGAGGTGAATGGTCCGTGACTATACAGCTGATTTCAAAAACATGAAGAAATATGATTGAGCAACTTCACAAGTAAAGCGTTATATCACTTTGTCAACAAACAAAATGTACATTAACGCTCAGATGAATGTAATTTACGATTAGTTCAGACGTTTTATTTTGATATCAAACATCTTAAACGTAAATGTTCTCTTAAGATGCAATGCAATAAACCAATGTATTGCCACTGAAGTAGGCTTTGGTAATTTTCATTTCTTTACTAGCAGCATGATCTCGAGAAGGTCCTGTATAGTAAGAAGAGACTTGAACAACTTGTTAAAAGTAATTTGGCTTCAACATAGTGTCCAACATGTCTATGAAGCAAAATCGTCATCTTATAAGTCTTCAGTAATTACAAGGTTTGAATACATGAAGTTTCAAGTTCAATATATCTTTAAATGCTGTGATATTTACTTTGCTTACATTTTGGATGGAAATCTACATAAATACAACAGCTTAAATCCTATGATCAACACTAGACATATTGACTTGCCATGTATGTCCAGAGTATACAAAAATACAGATTACTATTTCTTTCATCCTATCATGATTTTGTATGAAGCTGGTCTTTCCGATGAAGATGTTTGCGGCTTGTCCCTTCTTCGTAGGTCAAAGCATCGTACAGTTTTTGTTCATGGCTTTGTCCTCTCACTATATTTTAGATAGTACCAATTTATTTCATTTTCAAGTGTAAAATATAGCTAATTATCATTTCGATAAAAAATATCTTCATTTCAGAGAACAGATACGAAATAATATATCGTCACATGTTAAGATACATGTATCACTTAACTCATTAACTAATCAGACCATTAGTTTCTATTTAATGCATTCGAAGCCTCAGAATTTCGGTTTCGCCTACTAATATTAACACACGTAATAATTACAAAGCAGAGCACCAAAAATTTCCTTCTAAGTGATGTCACTCTAAAGCATTCGTTACCTCTAAATGTAACCGATACATGGTTAAACCACATAAACATGAAGATAAAAATTCAGAGGGGAAAAAAGTTAATTTAAACATTAATTATAGATGCCGTAAAGGTCTTATCAACGTGCGATAAGAGAGCAAAATACTTTTATGTACCAACGGTAAGAAATGTTATATAGATACCCAGTGACACAGTATAAGAAACATGGTAGTAGCCTGGACAAACCACCAAGTTATTGACTGGTGAAACAAGTGAATCGCTTGAATTGAAAATTACCATTACCACGTCCGACACGTACATATATAAACACGTTAAGTGAATGCCATATTTGATGGTGACATTTAAACCAAAACGACTGTTACTTGAAGGATGTTTCACAACAGAATAATTGCAATCGGAACGAACGCCTTTAAAGGGTGACTTGATCGTAATGATCGGATACATCTTGTGAAGTGAGCAAGGAAGTTTAGTGGACCAAACTATGCACTAAAATTTATAACGGTATTTTATGAGTATTTTCTGCTACGTTTATTTAACCCGTCCCTATTTAAGACGCAATATCATATATTGTGGTTTTGAGTAAGCAAACACATGCTGAAGGTATGTTGGCACCTTCTTTAAAACTAGTTTAAGGACAAGATCCAATATATCATATGTAAAATCAACGGCCCTAGCGACCTGCATGTTCAAATCTGAACTGCATGTACATGTAAATCTTCAATTCCCTTTTTTTGGGGAGGACTGTGGTACTAACCTCGCTATCATACATTGGAAGACTTGTGGGGGGGACTGTGGTACTAACCTCGCTAGCATATATTGGGAGACTTGTGGGGACGACTGTGGTACTAACCTCGCTAGCATATATTGGGAGACTTGTGGGGAGGGCTGTGGTACTAACCTCGCTATTATATATTGGGGGTCTTGTGGGGAGGACTGTGGTACTTACCACGCTATCATATATTGGGAGACGTGTGGGGAGGACTGTGGTACTTACCACGCTATCATATATTGGGAGACCTGTGGGGTTGACTGTGGTACTAACCTCGATATCATATATCGGGAGACTTGTGGGGGGGACTGTGGTACTAACCTCGCTTTCATATATCGGGAGACTTGTGGGGAGGACTGCGGTACGAACCTCGCTATCATATATCGGGGGACTTGTGGGGAGGACTCTGGTACTAACCTCGCTATCATAAATTGGGAGACTTGTGGGGAGGACTGCGGTACGAACCTCGCTATCATATCTTGGGAGACTTGTGGGGAGGACTGCGGTACGAACCTCGCTATCATATATCGGGGGACTTGTGGGGAGGACTGTGTTACTAACCTCGCTATCATATATGGGGAGACTTGTGGGGTTGACTGGGGTACTAACCTCGCTATCATACATTGGAAGACTTGTGGGGGGGACTGTGGTACTAACCTCGCTTTCATATATCGGGAGACTTGTGGGGAGGACTGTGCCACTAACCTCGCTATCATATATGGGGAGACTTGTGGGGTTGACTCGGGTACTAACCTCGCTATCATACATTGGGGGACTTGTGGGGAGGGCTGTGGTACTAACCTCGCTAGCATATATTGGGAGACTTGTGGCACTAACCTCGCTATCATATATGGGGAGACTTGTGGGGAGGACTGTGCCACTAACCTCGCTATCATATATCGGGGGACTTGTGGGGAGGACTCTGGTACTAACCTCGCTATCATCTATTGGGAGACTTGTGGGGAGAACTGTGGTACTAACCTCGCTATAATATATTGGGAGACTTGTGGGGGGACTGTGGTACTAACCTCGCTGTCGTATATTGGGGGACTTGTGGGGGGGGACTGTGGTACTAACCTCGCTATAATATATTGGGAGACTTGTGGGGAAGACTGTGGTACTAACCTCACTATCATATATTGGGAGACTTGAGGGGATGACTGTGGTACTAACCTCGCTGTCGTATATTGGGGGACTTGTGGGGAAGACTGTGGTACTAACCTCACTATCATATATTAGGAGACTTGTGGGGAGGACTGCGGTACGAACCTCGCTATCATATATCGGGGGACTTGTGGGGAGGACTGTAGTACTAGCCTCGCTATCATATATTGGGAGTCTTGTGGGGAGGACTGTGGTAATAACCTCGCTATCATATATTGGAAGACTTGTGGGGGGGACTGTGGTACTAACCTCGCTAACATATATTGGGGGACTTGTGGGGAGTACTGTGGTACTAACCTCGCTAACATATATTGGGGGACTTGTGGGGTTGACTGTGGTACTAACCTCGATATCATATATCGGGAGACTTGTGGGGGGGACTGTGGTACTAACCTCGCTAGCATATATTGGGAGACTTGTGGTACTAACCTCGCTATTATATATTGGGGGTCTTGTGGGGAGGACTGTGGTAATAACCTCGCTATCATATATTGGGAGACTTGTGGGGGGGGGGGGGACTGCTACCAAAGATTAAAAAGCAGCCAACACAGATTGATAACATCACAATGCAAGTTTTTGTTTTTAAAAATCTGAAAATAAAGAAATATTCCTCCTTTTTGCTAATGATGTTTTTTTCTTATTTCAATATATATGTAAACGATCTCGATAAAGATTTGCATTATCAGATCATCAATTTTATCAGCCTCTGACACCCGAATCTGGTAGAAACTGCGACATTGCTCAAGTTTTACTAACAAATAAGTTAAACGTATCACTGACATCATTCCTTTATTAACGTACTTCCAATTTAACTTAAACAGACAGCCTCCATCATCAAAAACGTACGTAACAAAACGGAAGCAGTTTTATCTAGCATCTGAAACCAAACTTAATATAATCGAGTATAATAGTTCAGGAACCAAACAACACAAACGTATGATGGGTATTTAATACTACGGTAAACACGTCTATAAAAATACCTCAACCCAATATATATCACTCGGGTATGGGCCTCAAAGTTCCAGTCACAGGTACTAGTCAAAATAGATTTTTATAGGATTGCTTTATAAGAAATAACTCATATATAAACAGCAATCAACATAGGAAAAATATATTGTGATCAAAACCTGTGGTTCAATTCCTTATAAGCATAATCACAAAGGTTCTGTTGAAATGTAATTGTCTCACTGTATTTTTTCACTTAAAAGTTATAATTGCATATATTTAATATCAAATTAATACCTGTTTATCTCCGAATAATCGGTTTATATTTCAGCAATACGGTAACAATGAACAGTATTTCTAATTTGTATTAAAATGGCGTCCTTATCAATTTACATTTCTCACTACTATTTGAAAATTGCATGGCTTATGACTTTGGTAATTTCAAAATATAAACAAAAAGTATTGCCAAAAGTACGAAATTTGAACAGATTAATACTTCACAGTTGTGTTACAAACCAAGCACTTTGGTCCTCCGACATGAGCGCATGCGCACAAAGAACCCTGGGGGAGATTGTCCGAGCATAAGTCTATTAAAGTGTTGTAGTGCAAATATCTATAGGAACATATAGCATTCGAGACACAACAAAAGCCTCATATGTTATAGTATCACGAGTACAAAATGTTCGACCTAGGTACTTTAAGAAAGAATTTGGTATACAGCTTAAGAATATAGCCACAGAAAAATATGTTGGTAACGGTTCTTGACAAAATCTTTTCTTACGATAATCACAACAAATCTTGGAGACAGTTACCTTTACCCAGCACAACCAGAATACCTTTGGTATGATATGACATAGTATCAGAATGAATACAAGGGCAAGACATATCCTAATAAATATACAAGCATATTTTTGTTTCTTATTATCACAATACCAAACAATTTTAGAGGAATATAAAGACGAGAAAGAGAGAAAATGCAGCTATAAGAAATATTTGTATGGCTGTATACGTTTCTGTATAAACATTCTTTGAAAGATGACTTTCAGCTATTGTTAGGAATTATAAAATAAAATTCTTTTAGAGTGCAATACATCCCAATCCTGATTTTAAGACTGATGAATCGGAAATCATAACGTGTAGTCAAGTGTATATAATTTTGTAAACATCCGATCTTTTTTTAGACGACAATTTTTAAAGGTGTATCAAAATCATGCCGGTATGTTTATATGTTTAACATTAATTAATCGTTCAAACGACAGAAGCTTGATTTAACCAGAAACTACATAAACAAAGGAAATGTGTTAAATGTCTTTTACATTAACTACTGAAGTTCATTTCAAATGAATTCTTACTCTCAGTATTTGTTAAGCACACAGTGATCGGCAACCTCCTATTGGTATCCAATTAACCTCGAACAGTTTGAATCCTGGACAAAACAATGATATACCTACGTACCACGTCACTCTCTAAGTACATATATCAAATGAGGTTATAGCAAATGAGCCATGTTGTTACGTTTGATAAAAACTCTTTACTGCTGTTTCTGACATGGTCCTTCGCCGAAAAGTTGAACTTTGACATCTTCTGACAAGGGTCAAAATAAACAAAATAAAAAAATAGAAAGGAACAAGGAAAAATCTCCTAATTAAATTTCAAAATGTCTGCCTGGTGGCCATATTTTTACCAAGCTGAAAATGAAGCACACACAACACAGAAAGAAGAGGAGTCTTAGATAGGAACTCTAAGATCCCTCAAATTATTTCTAGAATTATTTTCCAACAAATAAGGAACAGCATGTCTTAAAAAGTGGAAATCAGTTTATCAGATTTTCGACTTGATATCAAGGCTAAGACCATTTCGTACCCTATCAGGTTATTTGGTAATAGTGACTGGAACAGTTAGACTTCGTTGTATACGAGGTTTGTTTTGCTAAGAAATAACTAATCGTAAGCTGTGGTGTAAGGGGAGGTAATTACTTCACTAACAGTGCTACATATAGGTTGTGTTTTGTTTTTTTGGTTTTTTTTTAATAATAATCTCATTAGGCAGGCAATGTGTAAATTTATATGTTTGAATAAATATGTGTTATAAAATAATCTTTATTTAATTAACAATTACAATATAAATCCACAATGTTTTCATTTAGAAAATGCCATCTTTGATATGTGTTTGAATACATGGATACAGAATTACTTTTTGATAATATTATGACATACATCAAGCATTGTCAAGAAAAAGAAAAAAAATCTAAATACAGTTATTATTAATCACATACTGTTAATTTACAATACCAATACTTTGCCAAATTTCACTGATGAAGAATATTAGAGATAGGAACTACTTGTCCGGCACATTATAAAGTGACTTCACAGTCAAACAATCTACCATATTAATAATTATCATCACAGCATGAGAAGATGTTTTACTACATGTTTATACCAGACACTTAACAGTTCAAAAACATGCTCCTTCTTCACATGTACTTGCACAAGGTTTGTCACAAATATTTTCTGTGTAATATTTTGTTATAATCTTGATACAAAAATGAAATTGTCATACTGAAAGATTTTATAAATGAAAATGACTTCAGAATTTGAAACCGATCAAATTACCAGTGAAGATGACATATTGTACAAGTGTATGCAAACTATTCTTAGACACAGCAGTTAAAGCTATGCTAGCATATCGAAAATATTTTATATCTTGACATTAATTTGTATGATGCAATTGTATTTAAATATTCATAAAATTTCTGACACTGAAAATAGAACATATTTGTTGTTCAAAACTGCCATCATATACAACAATATGAAAGAAACCTTACAATTTTGCAGCTATTTTTGTTTCAGGTCATTCTCTTCAAGATTTACCATGTTGGTCACAGCCTTCAATGTTTTCTACAGAACTATGGTTGTTAGAAATTTGTAACAAAAAACTGCAGTGAATTGAACGCCATAACTTCACTTTACTGACGTAGCTACTGGTATCAAAGATTTTTAAATGCACATCATCACAATGAGAGACGATTCCACTGACAAGGGAAGTAACTCTATGTCAGAAAACTCAAGTTTTACTGGTTTTAAAAGCTGAATAAACAGGTATGTAGTGAAACTCTTTTTCATGATAAGAACTTGTGATGTGGTACAATTTACCTTAACCTTACACTTCATAAATCTAACTTTGCAAATGCATTAAATAATAAAAATAAAACAACTGAATCGAGGAATGGAATGGGTCACACATCTATATAAAGAGTTTAGCTGTAAGATCCAAACACAAAACAGTATATAAACCAAGAATCTTTCTGATAATAACAAGTTAGACTTACTTGACAACTATATTACAACCTGTCCTGTCAGTGCAAGATCAATGCTGGAATACAACTGAAGTTGACATGTATTATTACAACTGACAAACACAATACTCCTTTAAAACATTTATAAAACAATACCTAAATGTAAAATGTAATGACGACTAGATGTAAATGTGTTATATAAAAAAAAAGGTATGCAATATCATTCTGTATACCAGTTCAGTCCACATTATTCCTGGTAGATTGAAGCAGTAAATACTTCATCATATCTAATCAACTTCACTGTTATATCAACAGCCCATCCCGATACAATGAGGTCGCACAGGATTACAAAGTGTAAAATGGGTAAAATATTGGTTTGTCAAGAGAGACACTAATAATGGAGTTAACAGTACCCTCGGTGACTAAACCAGTAATAAGTTGTGACTTTTGAGCACACTACCAACTTTCCACTGGTAAACTAAGGAAAGAACAACGAAAACACGCAGAGCAGAAGTGAAGCATGATGACCACAAATGTATGAAGAAAAACATCACATAAGTACCTGATAATTTACAGGACAGATGATGAGGGGGGAACATTGAAATACACTGTACTCTCTGAATTCATCACTGCAATATTTGTTCATTACCACTGATCATGTACATGTAGAAACTAGGAATTTCTTCCATGGATGGGCACATTATATATATCATGTGGAAAGACATACATTGTAAACATAAGTGCATTGCTTATTAATACTGACATAGTGACACATTTGTATATTAGTAAACAAATTCCATATTATGATATACTAATTTAAACAACAAATCAAACTGTACCTTTAATTTATAATTATGGTTTCTTTTTCATACTCTGGCTGCCAATAACACTTTTTTTTCCTATTGGTTTGTTGTTATTTTTTATGTCATGAATTCACTTATACTTTATGAGTATTCAAACAAGAGATCCCAGAGGGATCTTACCGCCCACCATTGTACCATCTTCATTAGTTCTTTGTCAGTTCGATCTTTTCTCTTCTTTTCTCTAATCTGTTTGATCGAATTAACAGTAAATGCACCTTGAGGTAACTTTTGATGTAAACTCAATACTGCTGTGTATAAAAGACAACCTTCAAAGTGAGTTTGTCATTTCACATATTTACTAGTAGAGTACTTAATGTGAAAGAAATATAATCGATATAATATATGAGAAAGATCTGTTTAGTTCTTCCTTTAGCCATTTCGTTTTTATGATCAGTCTCAAAATATAACATGCACAACAAGGGATCAAGGGGAACCTACATTGTACATATCAAATTTGAGAAAGATCCCTCAAGTTATTCCTGAGAAATAGTAATAACAAACCTTCAATGTCAAAAATCGAAGCCTGTCTGCCATTTTGTTTATCTGATCAGTTTCAAAAGTAAATATGCACAACTAAATACCAAGGGGAATCTACATATAAGATTTCAGAAAGATCTCTCTACTGCTTATTGAGAAACAGCGATAATAAACATTCACTTTCAAAATCCAAGATGGCTGCCAGTCGACCATTTTGTTTATCTGATCAGTTTCAAAAGTTAACCTGCACACAAAAGACCAAGGAAAACCCGCATATCAAATTTGCACAACGACAGACCAAGGGGAACCTACATATATAATTTGAAATGGACCTCTCCAGTACTTCCTAAGAAATAGTGATAACAAACCTTCACTATCAAAATCCAATATGACTGCCTGTCGGCCATGTTGTTTATCCAATCAGCCTCAAAAGTTGCCCTGCACAGCTAAGGACCAAGGGGAACCTACATATAAAATTTAAGAAAGATCCCTCTGGAACTTATTTAGAAATAGCGATAACAAGAATTGTTTAAGGACGGATGACGGACCATGGACGGACCACAGACCACGGAAGCAGGGCGATTTGAATAGCCCACCATCAGATGATGATGGGCTAAAAATGCATTAATTGTTGTAAAAATCTTAAAATTGCAAACTTCAGAAAGACCTGATTTTGGTGGGGAAGAAATTGAATGTAAACATAATATCATCTGAAGATATCTGAATATGGTATGAATGCATAAGGCTACATATACGTAGATAATGTTCATGTATATTCTTATATTTGTTTATATCTAAAAAGTAATTGTACAATAATTCAAATTGTTTCAATTTGGATAAATTCAATAAAATATTACAGAATTGCTGGCTATTACCTTTCATTTATAAATTTAAACCAACTACAATTCACATGTAGATTATAAACAAATGTATATACAGGAGATTCCTCTGATTATAATGGCTGTAATAAAACCTCTTCTAAACTCCTGAAAGAAACCCACTTTATTGATTTTGTATGTTTTCTATTTAAAATGCTTATCTTTGTGGTAAAGGTTCAAAGGTTCTTATGCAATTATGACATTATAGAATACCTGTTTTCTGCAAAGTTTACACTGTTTGAATATTAATTTCTTCACAAAACTGCAAAAATAACACTTCATGAAAAATAACACTTCATGAAAACAGAGTTCAAAGCTGTTTGCAATAAAGGCTTAATTGATATACCTTTCTTCTTTTTTACACTATATAAAAGTAGAAAATAGAAATGCTATTCAAAATAACCTCTTTCAAGAAACTATTTACCAGGTAAATAGTCATTAGAGCTATTTACCCGGAATGAGCTATTTAACCTGCATTCAAATTTTTGGGGAATTTTTGGCTACGTTCATTCTGATTGGACATTTTTCATGTTCCTTTTTGGAACATTTCTACTTCCATCGTATACCATACCATAAAGTCTGTAAACATTTCCAAGACCCAGACGAAGCAGAAGTACTTCGTTTGCAAAACAACCAGACGGGTTTTGCAGGAAATTTATGAAAATTGCCTCGTCTACAAGATTTGACAATCTTGATGAAGAATCACTTAAGAAAATAGTCTCCGAAAAGGACAGTTCAAACATGCAACAGGTTATAAAAAGGTCTGTTAACATACGAAAGGATTATCTTCAGGAGAAGGCAATGGGGACACTTGACGACATGAACAATGCATCTTAACAAAAGAAATGGAATAATTTTGTTGTCGGTATAATAAAGCAGTTATTTTATGGGTATTTCGGGAAATAGCACTTTTATTGTCCCCCTTGACATAAACTATTTCCTCACACCCATACAATAACTATATAATATTAACTTAAAATAAAATCAGCTCCTAAATTACAGACACATTAGTTATTGGTTTACATGCATATTGTGTGCCAGCATTTCAGTACTGCATACATGTACAATTCAACCATACATAAAAAATTCATCAACAGAATAGGATATGTTATTCTACAATAATCACAATCTGGATGAGTAATTTGATTTAATGCCATATGAAAAAACAATCAGGAAACAAATATAAACATGATAACAGGTTGTATGACCGAGCCACAGAGACACAAACAAAAAAACATATTCACATACACATATATACATGTGACTTTACAGCCAAGTATATCTAACATTAAAATGGGAACAAAATGCTTCAGAGAGTGAGACACCCTGAACATTTTTTATTTATCCCATAATTCTTGTTTATAACTATATATATTATTTCTTGAAAAAAAACACAATCTTATATGTAGCTAGTTGCAGTAACACAATTGGTAAGCTTTTGATGCTGTACATTCCTATTTTTAACAAAACTGAGAGCAAAATAATCCTCTAATGTAATCATTATATTTATATATATACGTCATCCTCTCATGTAATCATGATATTTATATATATACATCATCCTCTCATGTAATCATTATATTTATACGTCATCACCTTTGTTTAATTTAATTTCTGCACTAAAGAGAGTCTTTAAAGTACCTATACTTTTCAAACTGTACATTAAGAAAGGGAAAATCATCTAAAAAGCTTCTTTGTAAAACTCTAGATCACATAGTTAAATGAATTTCTCTTAAAATAAAAAGTAGATAAAACTTCAAAATATTAAAGAATTTTAAAAGTGTTTCTTTTTAAAAACAATGGTTAATTATTGGCATCAACAACAGTTATATTGGTATATGTTAGCCATGATTCAACTATTGTCCATGATCACAGGTAAAAATACAATATTAATTATTTTGCTCTGCTGGTTACTGATTCAGCATAGGTTAATATTTTAACAACTTGAATAACTGCAGCAAACTTGATAGCTGTTATTTTGTATCATCATCACCAGTGACATGCATCTGGCCCCGGGATCTTGAAACCTCTAAAACCCATTCTTAGTGCTCAACTTTTAGCAAATGCTAGCATTATCATATTTGAGTTCTCAAAGGATCTCAAAGGATTAAACTTTTCAATTCAAGTTTGTGTTTCAGAGTCCACATTTCTATCAGGGATTATATAGACATATGTAGCTATACTTATGCATAGAAAAACTTTTTGAATTTATCGCTCTATTGAGTCTTCATATTTAAACAAATCAAGATCAATCATAACCTACTTTTTCAGCTTTAAAAACTAAATTAAGGATCATTCAATATATATTTTTTGAAACATTTATCATTCAGTGATATGTCTAATGTGAAAATAGAACTGGTGACAGTGGTGTCATTTGTTTTTAATGGCCAATTTAGCTTGAAAAGTTAAGCACATTTCCTGCAGTATTTTATCCACTGAATGGTAACTTATGTTCCAAAAACTACATTCTTAGTTAATTATATAAGTATCTTCTCAAATATTTCAGAACACCTTTAATTTGAGATCTACCATTTTTAGAACTTCTCATCTAAGTATGTACTTGGCTTAAGAATGGAGAGTTAAGAATGGAGAGTTAAGAATGGAGAATTTAGACGTTTCAAGATTCCTGATATTAATAAGCTGATTTATAAATTACCAGTTATAAGCAATACAGCACATTGTGTAAAGCTGACAATACATGTGGTTTCAAGATTTGGCTTTCTTCCTGCTTGTAGAGTTCTTTAGCATAGTGCAAAAGTCATCAAAGGAGAGATAACTGATGTCATCCCTAACTGTCACCGCCCAATGTCCAAAATTGACTGCTGTTTCAATGTTATCCGTGTCATCATCAAACAGAATGATCTCCTCAGGTTTGATGATCACATGTTTTTGATTATATAATTCTGTGCATACTGCTGCCAAATGTGCTTCCTTGCCAAGAATTTGATGCTTGTTTTTCTCACGGAATTCTGCTGTGTTGGCTTGAACATATATCTTTTCTACATTTCTGGAACAAAAAGAAAAATAAAGCTATGACAAATAGTAATGGTAACTACAATAAATTTGACACACTAATTAATGTAAACAGTTATATATAAAATTAGCTACATATCACTATAGGAGATATCATGGCTATGGAACATTTAACAAATGATCATGATGATACATTGGTACAATATTTAATAAAACAATAACTAAATAAACAGGCAGGTGTTAACATTGGAGTTAAATAAAGTAAATAAGCACCTGGTCTCCATTTAAATAGTGTAACGTACACGTGCATGCAATAGCGTTCTGCGTTTTGCTGGTCGCAGATCTAGATCTCATTATCAGGTTGGGGAAAACCACCAACATGCGTATAATAGCAAACTCGCCTATTATACGCCGATTGGAGTATGGATTTGTTACTAAAAATAACCAAAATCGCTTTAACAGTAACTTTTGCAAGATATTATTAAAAATCGCATTAATTTACGACAAGGTAAATAATATTTTGCTAAAAGATGTTTACTGAAAGCGTTGGCTACTTAGAAACTTGATGTAACTTTACCGGAAGTATTGCATTTATTTTTGGTATTTTCCCACATGCAAAAAAAAGTTTATTTTTGCATTTGTATTATGTTTCATGACTGAATAAATGCAACTTGGACAAACAAATTTGTTTGTCCGTCCGTCTGTCAGTCTGGCACGCTTCGTTTCCATGCAAAAGCTGCAACGAATGTTAACCGATTTTCTTCAAACTTATAATATAGACTAGTATTCCCACCTTTTGAAAACCAATTTCAGCATTTCTCTGATGATCCACGGCTGAGTGAAGTATGTGACAATGCACACGTTGACGTTACGTTGCAAAGCTTCCTCCATTAAATCCCGCATACACGGTCGAACATGCTGTGACAGTTTCTCCGCACTGTCTTTCCAGCACCCTCCGGAATGGATCGAGATCAAAGTTTCGTCGAAATCAACCGCAAGAAGCCGTATGCCTTTCTTCTCCAACAACGTAACAAATGTGGATATTTTGTGTCTTGCTCTGTCACGTGCGTTGCTCATCGTGTTGTTACAAAATATAATATACGACACTTTTAGTCAGGGTCAAAACAAACAAAAATTCCTTTTTCCAACGGAAACTCTCTCGAATTTATAAATTTAGAATTGAATTCCGGACTTCCTTTTCCGGTGTGGACAAATTTTGGAATGTTTTTAATAAAAAAATATTGTCACATACAAATTATTTTTGGTTATATATTATGATCAAAATAATCATTAATCCAAAACGAAATCCCGTCAGCATATAGTATACATGCGTGGCGATCGCATTCAGGCTTTGCATATATTCATGAAACCGTTATCATGCTCAAGTATATCACAGGGCCACGTTACAATCACATATATGCTATACTGATATGGGTAACAACACACATAAACATACACCCATATCAGTATAGCATATGTGTGATTGTAACGTGGCCCTGTGATTTAAGCGGGTTACAAGAAATGTGGTTTGAGCACAGAATCCATGCTTGAGCACGAGAACGGTTTTATGAATATTGGGTCAGATGACTGCATAAGATGACATATGGTGCACAGGAAACTAATTTCAAGATGGAATCTTCCTAACCGTTATATAATATGTTCAATGGACTGCCTTCATGATCGTTGTGTATGATCATATAAATGTTTATCAAAGGTTACCATTGGAGTGTCATCTGGTGATAATGTACTGTTGAGTATACACGACATGTCATTAGGATTCATGCCAATCATCCTATAATATGGTTGCCCTTCTAGCCAAATTACTTACCTTAAAGAATGATGTCTGTATACATACAGATGAAGGCTTCTTCCAAATCAATGTTGTGAGAAAGGTCTTCAAAGTAGTTTTTGTCTTGGATTTGTTTTGGGTCTTTGTTTACACCAAATCCACAGGGAAATCCACGGTGCCACAGGGAAGGCATCTTTGCCGGAAGGCATATCCTTGATGTCTGCTTTGATTAATTTGGCCGCTGCATCAACAATGGACATTTTCTTAAATGGGAAGGCTTTTGGTTGGTGGTAGAAGTCTTGCAATATGTGTAGCAGATGCTTAGCCCGAATTTTCTCTGGCTCTGACACCAGAATTAGACTTGTTTTTTGACAGATAGATGTCTGGCGTCCTACAACAGACATCTATCTGTCAAAATAGTTTAGTCTAATGTCGGGGCTAGAGGAAACACTCAGTCATAAAATCAACGAAGAGGTTTGAAACCAATTAGTGGACAACTATTGCAACCAGAACATTTCCCCCTCACTCCTTCCCTTTCTTCTTGCTGATTTCATGTCAAGTAGTCGATTGTCTGTACATATACATATGTATCACGTGTTATATTTTGCATAGCAGTGTGCTATATTGTTGGGCGAGGGCCTAGTATGTTGTCAGAACTTGTGCCCAATCCATTTGATTGTGTTTCGATCAATAACATATGCTTGAAAGAAACAAAGACAGGAAACTCGGGCTAAGCAGATGCTGTGCTACGAAATGCCACAACATTTGCCTTTCCGTTTAATTCCACATCTGATTGCTCACCGTTGATTTCTAGAAAGTTTGCTGTCGGTATATGTTCTGGTCTGCCTTTCTATTAAGGCCCCTGGGCCTCTTGTTTAGATGTCCTGATGACATTGTAGCATACATCAGCATTGAAATTCATTTGCCAGTCAGATTCCCATTTCTGGATCTTGTTGGAGTTGCTCACAGTCTCTGACTGTATTGATGGGTCTGAAAAGGAGACAATCATCAGCAAAGAGACGAGCATTGGAAAGTACAGATTCTGGAAGGTCGTTTATAAAGAGGAAGAATAGTAGTGACCCGAGAACTGTACCTTGCGGAACACCGGAGTCGACCGAATAAGAAGAAGAATTGGTATTGTTGATAAGGATTTTTTGTTGCAGAAATGAGGAAATCCAGAGAAGGGAGTTGTTGCGGATACCGTAGTAGTTAATTTTGTGGAAAATGCGTTGATGGGGAACCTTGTCAAACGCCTTTGAAAAATCAAGTAGTATCATGCCAGTCAGGCTGTTTGCCATATTTTGTATTACTGCCGGTGATATCATGTAGAGTCTTAATGAGCCGTGCAAGATCGTTTGCTTCTAAAGTCATGTTGGGAGTCGGTAAGGATGTTGTGAACATCTAGATGCGTCATTATGCTGCTATGGATAATGTGCTCCATGAGCTTGCTGCTGATGGAGGCGAGGGATACAGGCCTATAGTTAGAGGCAGTATGTCGTTCCCCTTTCTTGAAGATAGGTACAATGTTGGCTGATTTCCAATCAGATGGGACAGTGTCAGTGTCCAGCGACAACCGAAAGAAGAAAGTTATAAAGGGAGATAGCTCATGGGCCAATAGCACACTCGCTTAAAAACAAGACAAAGACATTAATGAAATTGATAAAAAAAATATCGAAGACCAAGAACACCTAAATTGTGACTTAAAACTACTGAAATTGAAAGAAAATACCAAACAATGTTTCGCCCTAATATTTTTTGTTTTAGGGCGAAACATTCTAGCGCGAATCAACCAGGGGCGAACGAGATTTTGGGCGAAACAACCCGGAACCGACGAAGTCAGTTATCATCTGGACCCTTCGATATGCACGTGCCAAATTGATCCTGAAATCAGCTGAGCTTGTCGTTTTCTTTTTATATTGAGTTGGTTGAAACGGTTGAACCACAGGGGCACGCAACTATTATTAATATTGACTTGTTTTATAATATTGACTTGTTTTAGGCTTTCAGTCGCTGGGTACGTTATAACCTATAACGTATCCAGCGACTAAAAGCCTATAATGTGTAGTTGCGTGCCCATGTGGTTGAACCGGATACCCGAAAGGGGTCATAGCGACCGTATTCGTACTCGAACGCGCCTGATAATATTCTGTGTCACACAAGCGCTCTACTTCGAATTCGTAACTGGGCACGCGGAAAAGAGGGTGGATTCATCTGCTGTTTGGTCAATTCGTTATTGAATTGTATAGGCAAGACCTATCAGGAACGTCGAAGATCAAAGCGATGTTGTTCTTTGGAGATGAAGAAGTCAGTGATGGCATGTATTACATCGGTTATCCCCTCATATTTTCGGGGATATACCTACTGATAGTGATGTTCGTCATCAAAATAATATGGGGGACAACTCGTTACTGCAGGAGCCAGGCACGTCTTTTTGGCAAGACAGTTATTATAACAGGTAAAGTAAACTAATCACTAAGCTGTCCAACCGTCCCCAATTTTGGAAAGAATTCCAATCATCCCTCTAGTTTGAATCAGACATCGAAGTACGTAGATTTCATTATTATAGCGATGGGGCCAGTCTCGCTTATTAATTCACGTACAAATGTACGGGGCCTCAAACAGGTCGCTCAGTACGTGCCCAGTGTTGCATAGCTTGGTCAGAAGGACACTTAATCTGTGAACTCGTGTTGCATTCAGTTGAAATAATGAAGGAGTAACAGAATGGATTTCTTTGTGTACTCAACATCACTTTCGCAGAATATATTATCAATGGAAGGGAAGTAACTCTTATAAAACTTATTACATGTACCACTTTTACCATTAAAATTCATTATAACTTTCACAGATTTATCTTTACAAATAGCACTTACAATGTATTACATACTTGTGTATGGCACATGGCGATATCACAGCTCATCCTTTACATACCTGTAATAGTTGATGATAGATCTACATACATGTACTAGCCCCTTTGGCCGAGTGGTAAAGGCGTCTGACATTCTGCTTCCACTAGCCCTCCAATAGTTGCGAGTTTGAGGCCTACGTGAGGCAGTCGCCAGATACTGGTACGAATACAAACTATGTAAGTAAAACGCTAATATAAACTTTAAAATTTCACCCCTTCTATTAATAATGACAGGTGGCAATACTGGTATAGGAAAGGAAACAGCTCTGGACTTGGCTAGGAGAGGTGCTCGTGTCATACTGGCCTGTCGAAACCTGAATAAGGCCAAGCTGGCTGCCCAAGACATCAAAGGTAAACATAAAACGTGTGTCAGTATATAAAGAGACTGTGAGCGTAATACAATCGGGAATTAATCCAATATTTGGGGAATAAATGTGAGTACCCATTTTGAAATTTATACATCTGCTACTTTGTAATGTTTACCGTAGTTGAATGTGGTCTATGTTTAATATTAAAATAATAAACAAAATTCTATAACATATGTATGACTGTATTCCTTTTTAGTCATGCTTGTTTGCTACTTGAATTAACATTTGAATATTAACTACCTGATACAAGTACCATTCTTAAAATAGTAAATTAGCAAAAATGATTCAATTTTCTTTCATATTCTATTATGGGTATATATATGTTAAATGTACGTTTGAATATAAAACATTTATGATATCAATTAGTTAACAGTGGGTTCAAAATGGCCAATAATGGAGAGCATTAGCTTTTTAGTTTCAGGAAGAAAACATTGTATGAGTACCAGGTAAAAATAAGATTTTCATGGGAAAATAGCACAAAATTCCTGATTTCAGAAGGAAACTGTAGAATCAACAATTAATCACTATTTTATGAGAAATCATAGAAAGTAATAGAAATACTATTTGAAAGGTATATATTGACAGAATAAAGAAATAACGGCATATCTCCCTTTACTTACAATGCTTTGCTTACCAATCAGTAGTTTATGATAAGACATATAGGGGATACACTTTTTAGAGACACTATATATATACAATGTATCTTTCAACTGTATACTAGATATCCAGTACATGTAAATATACAGTTTGGTTTTTGTGTACTGTGAATCATTACCATTTATGAATAAAAATAGTTCAACATATGCTTAATAAAATGTTGCATATTTATATAATTTTCAATCGATTTTATAACAGCATTTTCTTTGGATCTATTAACATGATTTTGTTTTACTATTTACAGATAAAACAGGAAACTACAACGTTGATTATCAGTATTTAGATCTATCTGACCTTACTTCCGTTCAAAAATTTGCAGAGCATATAAATGGATCAGAACCAAGGCTTGATGTCCTTATCAATAATGCAGGTATATATAACATGTCTTAGCTAAATTGTTTTTTCTGTTAATTGTATATTAAATGGTTTCTTTGGAGAGTGTATAAACAAAAATATCTATATCTTGTATTTGGATACGGTACTAAGAATATATCCAAGTCTTTTTATATAAAGACAAGGGTATCCTTGTGAACAGATATATCCATCTCCTGCCGACTGGAAATGCTGTATTGTGACATCATGATAACGTCATTGATCAGCTATTATCACATTACATTAGAGGCACGGTAGTCTAGTGGTAGGACACCCGGGCTGTGACTGAAGGGTTGCGGGTTGAGTCACGGCACGGTAATGTGTTGTATCTTTGAGCAAGATACTTTGCTTGTTCCAGTCTGTTCAGCTGTAAATGGATACGAGGTTAGGCAGTGCTAGAATTGTTGAACTCTAGCTGTGAGCTCTGCAATGACAGCACTGACTGTTTGCTCCCCAGGGAGTTGAGAAATATATTGGCTGGTTGCACAGGCCCTATAACCATGAATAATAAATTGTGAACCACTTTAAAACAGCCTACAAACTAGATTGTAATAAAGCGGTATATAAGAACCTCAAATTATTATTATTATTATCAATTATTACAATAGACATTGTTTATTGTTTGGTAATTTTTACACTAAGCCCTCCTTTCTGATTGGTTGGTTAACATAGCAAAAACAATGAGTTTTCACAGTTGAATTTTTGCTTTATTGATTGTTTTCATTCCATATCATGTATGGCAGAATACTAATATTTTTCACAAATGCATAACATAAGTGAATTAAATCTTGGTTTACTTCTGCACAATGATGCTCATGAAATGTAGGCTTGCATTCTATTAATGTTTTATTCTTTATTTTTTCACTCAGAGAAAATTTAAATTTTCAGCAATTTTGTTAATGACATGAAATACCATTTTAGTTATTTTATTTGATACTTTATGGATATTTATCTAAACGACACACATGAATGATTTTTGTTTAATGTTCTACAGATTAAACAGGAAATTGCAATGGAAATAAAAAATGTTTTAGTTTGGTACCGTTTTATTCTAGGTATTGCTTCTGTGCCAGAAAATGGGTTGACTTTAACAAGCCAGAGGTTTGACCTCATTTTTGGAACCAATTATGTTGGTCATTTTCTGCTAACCTACCTATTGATGGACCTACTGAAGATATCCTTCCCATCACGCATTATAAACGTCAGCTCCTTTATGCATAAAATGCATTGGACTCCTCTCAATCTGGATTCTGGGCCAAACAGGGAGGGAATGCGCTACCCTGACCTTTTTGATTACAGGTGTAGTAAACTAGCCAACATAATGCATGCTCGGGAACTGGCAAAGAGACTGGCCGGTAAGATATACAACTCTTTGGGCAAAGATACAATACACAGATAGAAAATCTATATGTTACACACGATTGCTATATTGTCCTCAACAAGTGAATTACATGATATTGAAGATGCAAATAGTTGTACCAATGCATATTGTAATAAACATAACTTGAGGATCACTACTCATGAAAAGATTCCAATGTGTCATGTCTCAAAGTATTGACAGAAGTGATGTTTTTTTGTTGTTGTTTTTTCGTATAATCAATCTGATTTCATGACCAATTGTTTCATTATATATATAAGAATACGAAGTTTTAAATAATTTTTGTTACTACAACCATAACTAGACCCAAATATTTTCCTTACTGCTCCTCTTAATTATAGGTACAGGTGTGACGGCCAACTCCCTTCACCCAGGTGTAATCAACTCTGAGATCTGGGTTCCCATGGAATCTAAATGGTACTGTCTGGTGTTTCGCTTGTGGAAATTTATATTACGGTAAGTAGGAGATGTCAGTGTGTTAATGCATAACTACATGGGCTTGACTAAGCCACTGTAGTAAGACCTACAGTAGTATAAGTGTCTGATCATGATGATACAGGTTATTACAATGTAAAATCTTTTAAGACAAGAAACGTCTAGTAGGATAACATGTTTGACTTTTAGCCAAGTGTTGTATTATTTATTCTTGGCGGGGGTGAGGGGAGACCATGATCTATTATCCTTATTACAGACGTAGAAAATTACTCAAAAAATCGAGTAGACACAATTTCAGTAATTGAATAAAGGGGCATAACTCCGTAAATTACGTTTCGATGATAGTTGTTATCAAACCTGTCTGAGCTTATAAGGAAATCAATCTTCCTATGAAGCAATTGAATCAAGGAGCAAAACTTCGTAAATACCACTCATGTGATAACACAATATGTCCCATCTTGTGCGGACGTATAGAAATTCAAATTATCACCAAATTGACAGAAAATCTTTGTTCTTATCCAACAGATACCTGTGCTTGGACAACAGAGGCGGTGCTCAAACCAGTATATTCCTAGCAGTAGACAAAGGTGTCATGTCAGTATCCGGAAAATACTTCTCTAAAAGTGTTGTTTCTAATGAAAACAAACTGGCACGGGACGAAGTTGCTTGTGAACGACTTTGGACTGCTAGTCTTGATATGTGTGGCTTATCACAATGAGGAGTATTTCTTTTGTTTGTGTTCCTTTTGTTTGTGTCAATTTGGATCAGAATTTTTTACAAATATTTGAAAGATTGTTTTGGGTATATGCTCTTACAAAAACAGAAATTTTGCAAAAATAGCCTTTATTAAGGTATGCTTGTAAATGTGCATAGAATAAATTGTCCCCTTAAATCACAGTGAAACCATACAAGCAGTGGTGGATCTAGTGGGGTTTATAGGGCTTCAGGACAGCTATACCACACTGAGCATGCTATTCTTAAACCCCGTGCACTTATTATATATATATATTTACTTGTTATACATGTATCTTGAACCCTTTTGTCTATTGATCAAATTCTGATAAGCCAGTTGTAAGTTTCTGCCTTGTACAATCATTTGATAACAAGCAACAGTGGGTTTTCAACATATTCATGTATACCAGGTTCTATCTTTTGTATTAAAAATGATTTAAGTACCATGATGTTATTTCACTTGAATGGATATTGATTTTTTTGTCTCTTTTTTTTGTGCATTTTTAGGTCACCTGACCATCTCTCATGGTGACCTTTATAATGCAATAACATTTTACATTTTTGCCTTTTTCTCAAAACCTGCTGGGCCAAATTTGATGGTACTTGGTACAAGTGATCAGCATGGTATGGGGATTTAGATTTGTTCAACTAAAGGGGCTTAGGAGTCCCTATAGGGACAAAAATAGAAAAAAAAGCAACGGTGGGTGTTTCGAAAATTTTGGTTGTTATGATTACTGAGTGGTGGCTTCTGATTTGTCAAAATTTAGATTGATTAAAAGAATTAACTATTAATAAAACCAACAACTGCTAGTGCTACATGTATGTCCCAACAGCAAATTTCATACCAAATCTATGAACCCGCATAACTCGAATACTCGGATAACTGGAAGTTTTCCAACGACCCCGTCGACTTCGAGATAACGAGGTTCGACTGTATTATACAATTTAGCTGAAATTTGGTATGTATGGGTATTTGGCTAAGCGGAACTTAAAGCACTTGCCATTAAGTTCCGGTTAGCCAAATACCCATGCATACCAAATTTCAGCTAAATTGTATAATATAATTGAAACCAAAAAATGCCCAAAAACGAACAAAATTGGAAAAAATTGTCAATTTTTAAAAAAAAATCTTAAAATATAAGAACAAAAAATGCCACAAGTTTGTTGTGTTACATGCATGATGCCTTGGGGGTGTTTACTCAAATAAAGTCCCTGGGCCCATAGAAGGGGCCACAATGCAGGCTTTTGATTGGTCAAAATTTAGATGTTCTCAGATTTTGTTGAAAATTGCATTTGGTATATATGGGCAATTGGGTATACTGAATTCAATGGTTGATGTTTAAAAAACTTTCGTTTCCATGGTAACCAAGTGGTGGCCTCTGATTGGTCATCTGATTGGTCAAAATTTAGATATTATACAATATTTAGCTGAAAACGTTATCTATGGTTATTTGACTAAAAGGAACATGATGGCAAGTGTTTTGAAAGGATCATTTGCTATTAAAACCAAAATTTCCATACTTACAAGGTGACCATTTAGGCCCATTGGCCTCTTGTTTTTGATTTTTTTTTGGTAGAAAAAAGGGTTGGGATGGAGAGGGGAGTGGGGGTTAGATGTTTAGATCCACACCTTCATGCAGGTGCTTGTTTGGGCCAGTTTATGAGTTGTACATATATTTACGGTTCGTAGTGTTCACAGCATTCATTGTTTTTTCTGTCACCACAAATCTGAAAAATGAAAATAACAGAGAAATGTTATTGTACCCTATCAATATGTTACCAAAGTAATACAAGGAACAGCCTAGTATTTGTTTGCCAATTTAGATATTATATTGATGTCTTTAACATCATATTAATAATCACATTTTTTAAACAGAGCCATGTACCGTAAAAACCCATGTAATTTGCGCACTTTTGGTACATGTATCAACATTTCACAGATAGAGCAGCTCTTTATGTTTGATACAATTGAACGGTTCCTGATTGCTAAATAATCTAGATTATAGGACAAACCACAACAATAACACTATAAATCAAAATGTTGCTTGTTTATGTAATTTTTTGCTAAATAATTGCTTGTTTGTGAAAGTCAATAAAATGCATACATGTCCTTTACCAAACACTTCAAACTTTTTTTTTTTATATGTAGAGCATTTAATTGCTCTTCCTCAATACAAAACGTTAGAGATTGAATATAAGGTTTACGTAATATTGCTTTGGTATACCTTTCTTACATTCTTACATTAAATCCTATTTACCTTCTGAGGCAGTATACCATATTAACATATCTATTGATTGTAATCTTTCTGCATTAGGACACATCTGTACATTTTCTTCAGATCTTAGTATTGTATAGGTAGTCAACAACTGCATTTCACTGTTTTCAATAGAATTATTCACACCAAGCAACTTGTATACCTTTTTGCCATTTGTCATGAATATTTGAGTCATTAACTTTGAATTAAAGGATGAAAATTAGATCACAGTTTATTGATTGCATGCTCGATATTTCATTTATTTTGTGTATAGAAATTGTTTCAGGAATAACAAAAATTATGTCATCTAGAATAATAGAAAAAACTGTGCAATACATGTTTTGCAGAAAAGGGTGTATTTTTTTTAGGTACATACAGTGTAACAATAAAAACGTTTTCCTGTTTTGTTTTAAAGTACCTTTCGAAATGAAAGCTACACATTCTTATATGTAATATTGGTTTTTTTATTGATAAAAGAACAAGATTTATTTATATAATAATGTCATTATTATTTTTGTTGTTTTGAAACTCGCCTGTCAACCTTATTACTTGATGTTTATGGTTGCCTGTCATTGGTTTCTGATCTTCCATGTACACAAAGGGATTAAAGGAGCTATGTTAAGATTTTTTTAGAAATATGTTAGTATTTCCTTCTCTGCATTTTATACCATACTTTCTAATGTGTCAAGGTACATTCTGTTTCTATTAGTCATTTATGTATAGGTAGTTATCTTAATTTTTCTTTTTTACAATTGTTTATGCAATTTATAAAGATGCATGCAGGGAGTTTTAATTTGTGAGAAAAGTTGAGTATCCGGAATAACCTTGCGGTCAGACAGGTCAGCCCAACATTTTCATGTCCAATTACAGTGTATCCTACCCTGACAATCTTGGTGAAAGGTGAGTCCTATCCACTGTACCACCCGTGTAGTGTACATGTATCGAATAATGAAGATGTTTCAGTGTGTTTTTATGAAATATCCAATATATCATGATTTAATCAACAAAGGTATCGATATAAATTCAATCGATCTGTCTGCATAATGTAATTAGACTGTCACCCCCGTCTCTAGAATATTGAATTATTTGGAGAAAAAAAACCTCTTATAACGTTAATCACTCAATTGGATGTCTGATTCTAAGTTCTCAAACAAGGGAAATAAGCTACATTGTAATAGTATAATGTAGCTGGGAAATCCTTCCTAAAAACTTGGAGGCTGGTACCCAGTCTATATTGTAATATGCATTTCAGTATTAAGGGCATCGTCTACCATTGTATTGAGTTTGGTGGTACATGTATACATTGATTGTGAAATGAGAAGATTTGAATTTATGTTAAAGAACCTATATACTTACATGTATCTGGTGTTATAAAAATGGTATCTTGTACATCATGTAATGTTATAAAAATTTAAAACAATCTGCAAGTTTGAATGTAAGAGATTTGAACGGAATGATATGTCTAAAGATAATAATGATGCTTTCAATGCCAAATATTAAAACAGGCATATTCAATTTCCAAACAACGGAAATTAAAGATTGAACAAATAACTAGAAATGACTTTGCCATGTTATAATATTAGCATTATGATATATAAATACTGTGTCCAGCTCATTAATTAATAACAGCATCAATTAATTATATATTGACTGTTAAGAAACGGTGCACGATTTACTCTTTTTATCATGATTTTATTTTTTATATTAACACAGGCGTCGACGTTACACATAATTTGTGACACTTCAAAATCCAAAATAAAAATACAGAGGATGAAATCCTAGAATGATTACATTCCTTGTTCAGGATAGTTTTGAGCTAATCTATTTCATAGAAGATTTTTGGCATTATAGGTGTCACAAGTCTTACACAATGTAAAAGGAGACCACATCCTTTCTATCACATTACTGTTTCAGAACGTACTAGCTCAATTGTTGGTGACAAGATAACTCGGAGCATTTGTCTAGAGCAAGCATCAACCTTTAATTAGGTACTCTGTAACAACCTATAGAATTCATGGACAAACGGAAGTCTTAAACGATCCAAGACAAAGGTCTTTATTCAAGTAAGATGGTATGGCCTGCTTAAATATGAAGACAAAACGCTAACAGTAGCAGTGATCTGTATGTCGATTGGAGAGAGACTCCCCCAGTTATCACTTTTCTCAAACTTTTTGATAAGAGGCGGTGTTCTACATGGTAATGTAGTTTCAACATGGTGGCTGAGGATGATGCCAATCAATTCGTGTTCATATCAAGCCCTCCATTTGTCAATATTGTCTTTCAGATCCTTGTTTTCATAAGATAGGAATATCATTGTTCTTCGGTAAAAGCAACACACATCAGTGAAGATATATTGGCTCTCTGTTCACAACATGAGCGTATTCTTGCGGTTCAAAAGATGGGTTCAGCTAAGAATATTAAAACACAATGTCAAAAAGAACACAAAACATTAAATACATGAACTACACTTTATTCGAATCCACGTACAATGAATGCTATCATACAGTCCATTGAAGGTAAACATTGCACATAAACTTGTACACTTTAGATGTACTTATACAGGAATGTAGTCACATGGCAATACACCGCCACGCACGTCTTTAACATAAAGCGATTTGTTAGAAACACCCAAAAGCTGTTCCCTACATTAAGTATGTACTTTTTCAAAAGGGTAGTGTTGATTCACACTTTACAACACACAAACTAACAGACAGCAAACTCAATAAACTGAGATTCGATAATGAAACATTTCACGAACTCATTACCAAGACTAAGAATTCAGCGTTAAAAAAACTAGACAAAGCAAAAACCGTACATGTATTGCATCATCACACTCATCATGACAAGCAAAAGAATTATATCGTTTTTTTCATTTTCAAGTTTAAAGGTAAGGCTAAAAGTTAAAGGCTTGTATTGAAAGAGTATATACTTAATCACAGAACTTTTGAAGTCTTTTGAAATGTGGCAAAAATAGTTGCATTTTATGTGTACATGAACTCCTTTCAAAAAGATGCTTGAATATTTGTCTTCTATACAATGCATATGTTAAACGGTTTTCATTTTAAAAAAAACACCACTTTTGATATGCTGTTAGAATATGATGCTGCTCTGTGGTTAGTTAGTATATTGATTGTAAACTCAACCCTACACACAGTAACACACGTTTATGAGGAACAAGCTGATAAATAAAGTCTCATTTTCTCCAGTCATCAATAATTATCTCCTTGACATCAAACTCCATAAATATGTCTATTGCAAACTTATTTCTCAGATCACTTCATAACGAACATGTTTTACTGTAGAGATAATTTTCCTTGGGTCACTTAGGGTTCATTATAAACATGCTTTACTTTAAATTACAAAATTAATTTTAAATATGTTGTTTATGTAATTATCTTCAAAAGTGATCCACTAATTCAACTAAGAAGAAGAATGGAAACAACAAGTTGATGCTTTGATACGTGTAAAAGGCTATCGGTAGCAATCCAACCATACACGCACATTTAAAACACTACACGAGGAGTTAACATGTTGAAATCCACAAACGTATACAAGGACCGAGTGTCACTTTAGTAACAGTCCCTATCATGGTAACAGTCACTATGGCAATAGTCCCTACAATAACAGTCACTAGTAATTCATTATGGCAACAGTCACTGTAGTAATTCACTATGGTAACAATCACTATGGCAACAGTCACTGTGTAGTATACGTAATTCACTATGGTAACTGTCGCTTTGGCAATGGCCACTATATATAATAAGTCACTAGGGTGATAGTCACTGTAGTAATTCACTACGGTAACTGTGCCTTTAGCAAAAGCCACTATAATAAGTCACTAGGGTGATAGTCGCTGTAGTAATTCACTATGGTAACGGTCCCTTTAGCAACAGCCACTATAATAAGTCACTAGGGTGATAGTCGCTGTAGTAATTAACTATGGTTACAGTCACATTAGTAGCACTCTTTGTATACTGTCAGGATCCAGTCCTATCAGGCTTAATAACCTTGAGCTAGGTCCATTTCTTTTTTTAAATGTTAACCTGATTTGGTTTGCATATATCGTCTGAAAGTGATTATTTTCGATCTCATGACATGTACTGTTTTCAGCTTTAACAAACAAATACATTTTGATGGATCATGAAACTTGATACAAGGGATCATAACCTACATACAACTACTACTCTCCATTGCATATACTATGCTTTAATGGTTGTTGCATAAGATATGCTTTATAACGCCAACTTTATATTTGACAAGGCATGAAATAATTGTGAAAGTCATTGCAAGAGGAATGATAATAAAATCTTAATATATCTGCTACGGAAGTATTGATTTCCTCACATTTGAAATTAATTTCCTAACTAAGATAAGATAAACTAAAGCATAGAAGCTTTCAATATGACTTAGAGCAAGGGGGTATGGACGGAACTGAATTACGAAATAAAAGTTGCATCGCATTAAAGCTTCATAAAAAATAATTACATTTCATGCAAGTCATTCACCATACATAAAAATAACATTTGCTTAAAAAAATATCAATTATATTTCAAAGATATGAAAAGGTGTCTTGATTGTAGAAGGTGAGATACATTTGGTTTGTATAATCATAAATGTATACATAAATCCCTTAAGGTTGTACACTGTAACTATAAATCTCAATTTATTTCCCTCTTTTAACAAAAATAGCAAAGCTAATTGATCTCAATTATCCCATTTTACCAACCCTATTTGCTTATGATTCATAATAAAATAGTCTTCTAACGTTTGAAATACCAGTTTTACAAATTTCAGTTTTTGATCGGATTAGGTCAAATATTTAATATGTTAAAAGATATATCCTGCAGTTTAGCTCTTCATAATCATATAATGAAAAGAATGTCTTGAACAGTATAAACCAAATATCTTTGTAGCACAAGCAAGCAAGATCAATAAATCAATTATTTACTTTTATTATGCATGCATTTACAATGTCGATCAGTCCTCAAAAAATAAATCACAATATAGATTCAGAGGGAAATATGCTACATAGTAATATACAATGACTGTTTTAGAATTATCTTACAGGCCCCTAGTTAATTGAGTTGCTGAGTAATTAGTAGATATCACATTGTATGGGAATGTACAAAAGCATGCTTAATTTACACCATCAACATACTTTTGTCAACATTCATACCAAATTTAAGTTTTCTTGTACAAAGAGAAAATTCCACACGGCCATAAAAACACTATCAAATAATTCTGTATCTAATTATCTTGTTAGTTAATTTTTAATTAGCTTAAAGTGGAATCCACTGAAAGATCAGTGATGAAGTTGTATGCCTCCTGACAGAAAAAGAAAATTACACAGCTTGTATAATGATACCACACTTGAAAATCTATGTATTTGAACTACAGTCATTTAAAACATGTACAATATATGCCTGTATGGAAATCAGAGTCTATGATATGTCCTAACGACATATTGACAATGATAAAAGGAATGTTTAAATCCTTCTCTGGTCCTGTAACCAGACAACCATCAAGGCTAAAATATCTCGATATTGTAGTTATTCAGAACATGAAAAAACATTCAGGTTACTCGACTATTTACAAATGAAGATTACGGGACCAAACAAATTGGTTTTTGGATAAATGGGATATTCAAAAATTGTAATACTCAAGTCTGATTACTGTTCAATGTTATCAGTCAATGGAAAATCTGCTGTTGTATTTTATGACTGACAAAATGATAACGAAAAAGTCGAAGAGGAATACTGATAGTCCTGTCAGAATAAATAGACTAATTATTTTCTTTCAAAGAATCTTATCAGATTTCTCAAAATTTCCTGTACTAACTTATACAAACTACTTTAACAAAATAAAATAATTCATCATACAAACAACAAAACATTACAATACAATGAAACTTCTAAGCCAAACCAATGCACTCTCCTACATAAACCAAATGGCAAAATACTGAGCAGGAAAATAAGCATTAGCATTCTACAGCTATTTAGTAAACTATGAAAACTATGTAAAATTTTCAGTTAAGAAAACATTATTGATTGACAATCATCAAGATTCAATTGCGAAGTAAAATCCGATGATTTTTTTCTCAGAGATTCAAAAACACACTGGTGAAAATTCTGCATTTACTACAAATGTAATTTTATATTTTTAATGTTAAGTAAATTATTTATGGTTTTTGATATTTTTTCATGAGGAAAATGTCTACCAGTCCTTAAAACAAAACATACGATAGACTAAACAACAACATTATAATAATATTGGAGTCATTAAAATACAAATGTATAAGTTACAGATTAATGGATCATCACAAACGTCTCTATGGGGAGATATATTTGTTTCAAAATGTTAAAAAATAAATAAATAATAGGTGTAAGTTAATCATACTGGTGCACATGAAAAGTACAAAATGATACAACTTGGACACAACACTGACAAATATGTACAAAACTCATTGAATGTAGGGGTAGAAATTTGAGCATTTCATTGGAATAGCACAGCAGGTATAATACACAATGATTTAACGTGATTTGATATGCATCATAGAAGTCAAGTGCTGTTATCACATGTACCTGTCATATAAACTTCCTGTCATAGAACACACATGTCTTATAACTTAACCCTTTCACCACTATAGACCATAATAGACACATCCACATCAATGCATGGTAGAGTCTACTCAAGTTACATAAGGGTAAAAGGGTTAACACCATAGTTCTGAGAATACACCATGCTAGACATTATTTAGTCCAGTCTTAAGTGAGGGCTATTCTATACAGCTGGCTGGTGGGTTAAGGGCAGGGCAGGACGGGGCAGGGAGGCACTATATACAAATGTTTACACTAATCTGAACCCCTTCACCTATATATAATCAATGATGATAAAGTGCGACCCTGCCCCTCACCCTCCTCAGGTATCCTTGAAATATAGGCTTGATGTGTAGACTTACTCTCGGTGAAATTAAGTAGTCAAACCAAAAAATACCAAAACAATTTAGATCACATATACAAACTGTCTAAATCATAAAACATACTTGTGAGTTCCAACCAGTTATCATAACTTTCATCAGTATTTTGGCTTTAAAAGGACAACAAAAACAAGCTTTTTTCTACATGTATTTGGCATCAAAAATCTTATTCTATTAAAGAATATTTTTCATGTGCCATCAACATCTGCTGGATGCAATATGCAATTTGGCAAATTAAAGACATCAAACTCACATGAAATTGTTCAAATTAGAATGAATCCAGTTTTTACCTGATGCATGTACAGTGTATGCACTTTTCACACATTAAAACCATGACATATTTTTAAAAGAATCATTCTGTGAATATCTCAGAGATGACTATTACTGAGAAATTGATATTTCGAATCGTCCTTCAGCTTTACAATATAGGGAAAATTGGTGTTCAATAAACAATTCAACAAACAAGAGATTTGTAATAATACTAAAAAGAATGATTTAAAAAATTACATCCAGTTAAAAACCTAATGGCTAACATGTTTGTTACTTCAGTATATTTAGCGCAACACATTTTAGGGCCTAGTTTATATTCCTCCTGATGAATAATATAACAGAAGCTAATACATGTACAAGAAAAGGAAACTGTTTTCCAAAGCATTTTTTATGCTTCGATTCAATGTTTCATTTACAAACAATGAAATACTTAAAAACCAGGATGTGGTAATATAACTGATCAGAACTCAGTAGATTTCAAGCAGGGATAACAGAATCTAACAGCTGCAAGTCTGCATATCATTTTTTTCCTCTCAAAAATTCAGTCAAAATACAATGTCTCAAAGTCACTTGAATATGCTGTTGTTGCCATGAATCTTCAGTCTCAAAATGGGTGAGTTGGTATCAAATACAAGTATTCACATTTGGTAAGCAAACATGTACCACCTCAAACAGTGTTACATAACCTATACGTGATATAAATACAAGCTCAACATTAACAGTCCCTGTACATACAATGTAGATTGAGATATGTTTTAGTACAATTTACTTACAGGATATAACATTTCAATTTAATTCCGGTATATATACAAATAGATATTAGGACATAAAACAAAAATATACAACATTTGATAGTTAGCAAATCAATTCAATTGATTAAATTCAAAATGTTCTTCCTATCACGTACAAAATAACCATTCCCATGTCATTAGAATGTGTATGGTTTCTTGGAATGTTTCATATCACAAAAATGAAAATTAGGGATACTATCCTCTATCAATATCGATTCTGATGTTATTGTTTTGCTATTAAATCAAATTTGAAATAAGCAATTGACTAAAACAATTTTTAAAAGTTAGTTTTTTTGAGTGTATTTTTGTTTCTATGATTTCAAAAATGTCTACATGTACGTACAAATGTCATTTGGTCAAATATGAAATTATCATAATGCATTTAGTCCAACATGAAAAAAATACTTAGCTTAAAACGATGGTTTTCAATGACTTAGGCACCAGTTCACTATTTTAAAATAATTGATGAAATTTTGCAATTTCTATAAATATCACCATTAAAAGAAAATTTTAAAAGAACAACAAAGTTGGGACCCAATACTGATAGCTACATAGCTGAACCACCATCATCCCTCAGACTGGTTATGCTGCTCAATTCCATTAACAGGAAATGTAGCATCAGGACGTATTAAAATGCTCTGTGATTGCTTCATATCAAAATCTGTGCGTATAGCTAGCATTTAGGCTCAAGATTCAATTCAAGAGAATATAATCAATATATTTCCATCCATGCTTCCCTTGCTCCAGAAAACATGAACATATCTTGCACTCTATAAAAAAAAGGCTTTAATTTAACTTGTAATTATTAACATTTTTTTTTTAAACTATCTTTATTTATTCTTTACCTAAAAATTATTTTTGTTATAATGCAAATATGCCACCAGTACAAGTCTTTTAAGCATTATTATCCAGGTGTTAGGTTTGTTGATTTTAGGTTTCCCAATATATGAAACCTAAATGCAAACAAAACGGCCAACACACAAAAAATGGTTTTACCAAAAAAAACAGTATTTTTAAACAATACATAATATGTTAATTATTTAAAAGACTAACTATCATAGCAACCCTTAACTTTATATGTTTATTGATTCTTGATGGTAACATAATAAAATGTACAATAAAGTTATATTTACAAGGAAAATTACATATTTTCATTTAATCCTGTGTGTAATCGCATGACTTCACATGAAATGTGTTTGTAATGTGTATTAAGAAATGACAAGTAATTCCCTGGGATTCACAGAAACTCCCTATTTGTAATTAATGCATTTCTTAGCAAGCAAGATAAATCATGCCACTTTATACAGTAATAACAGGACAGAACCATCAGGTGGATGTGCTATTTAAGTAGCAGTTCAAGGAAATCATTCTTCAATATTGTAAAAAGACCTTGAAACGTTCTACCTACTTTTTAGAAAAGTAAAAAATATTTAATTTCTGTTAATATTTAATGCTAAATATTCATTCTATTACATAGAGTTTTATTCATCATTTAAGCATTTCCTTGAAATTGTAAAATGAAAGGGACCTCTTTCTCATTTTTCATTACTTTTTCTGATTTAAAAGGATAACAATTCTTCTGATAAAAAGCGGAAATGATACAAGATAATTTGGCTTTTTACCTTTTCGTGAAATCAATAGTAAAACTGCTAGATAAGGAAGCTTGAACTAAACTTGCTTTGTTACAGTGCTATATGAAGTGATGCTGAGGTATATGAGAGGTATAATGTTAGGGTACCCTGTACGTGTGGAGCAGCCATTCATTACAATGTATATTATCACTATTACAACACCAGTTTACCAACATGCAGTACTCTTCTATCTCAATTCTTTAAAAAGCAATTGAAATGAAACTGTCTGGATAAAAAGTAAATAAAATGTTATGTGTAAAACACAATAAAACAGTGTAATCTTTATAACTGGATTTCATTGCTGATTTTCACAAGTTGCTTGGCTGCTAAGTGGCCTTTTAGTGAACCAAAACTACAGAGCTCAGATGTGTAGCTTCTACCTGTCAACAAGCAGGAGGCAATAATCAACCAGGTAACTTACAGGTATTCAGTTGCTTAACTCATCATATATATTAGCTGTATCCAACAAATGTATCTTATTTATTTGGCAACAATAAGCCCATGTCTGGTCATTAGCACAACACTCTCTACTTTCATTCAGAGATTTGGTGTCGTCCCCCTGGGCTTATTGCAGGATAAATACAGTAGTATCTTCACAGCTGTAAAACTTGTGGATCTAAGTAAATCAACAAAATGAAATTATTCTAATCAATTGCATGCCAAAAGCAAGCAGAGGGAGATTATCAACAGGATAGATTACATTAAAATGTTTTAAATGCTAGTATTTTATGTAAATTATTAAATGAATTTTAAGTCAAATTAGTAGGTAATTCAATTATTTCAAACTTATCTATAAATTTAAACATAAAAGTGTATATTTCTACTGCTTGTAGAGCAAGATGCATTCCAGTTGTAGTTGATTGATTCACACACTGATGAACAAGTTTATATTATTTTTAGGATAAAGTGTCTCCAAGTTCCTATTTCTGCCAAAAATCTTGAGTTTAGACAGCTGTCTTGTATGTCTTCTCTGCTACACACATTCTCTGTGAAGATATTTACACAGTGGGCGTACGTCTCTGTTTGCACATGTTTGCTGGTATGAAATGTGTCAGGCAGTGAGCCCTTATAAATGATGTGTCCAGTCCAGCTGGTCAAAAGGAAGGTGGCGTTACGTTCCGCCATTGTATGCGTAGTCTGCTTTGTTGTGCATGATCAGTTTATCATCTACGAAGTAGAAACTGTCGGATCTGGTGTCAAATGGGTGCTCGATCATCTCTTCAACTGTTAACAATCAAAGATCAAATATGTTAATTTTGCTAACAAACCTACAGTTCTCTAATAGACAGGAGTATATTGTGGACAACTAACGACCATAATACATTTACTTTAGCACATTTGTTTCCTGAATGGCACTTATAGAATCTCCCCAGTTTGCAATTACATATGTGAAAGTTCTTAATTTAGGTACACTCATGATAGGATGGGAGCTTGTACTGGAACAATTACAGTTCATCCTGATGTTTCATAGAAATTTTACTTTTGTTTTCAAAATAGAGAATGCAATATATAAATCGAATAAATTACTGGAAGTATGTAAATTAAGTTTGTTAGAACTATTGACTATTTATGGTCTTGTGCGAAAACAAAACCCTTAAAACTATTAAAACACTACATGTATAAAAAATATTCCTGTGATTTTTTTGGTCAAAATACTTATGATGATTAAGTGGTCTAGTTTTACACAATGGGGGAATCCTACTTCAAACTTCTGTATTGATTATCTTTGTGAACATCATCTACCCGTTTGCTAAATGTGACCAAACAATCATTTGATCATGAAGTGAAGGCAAATCATCACCTACAATTAGTACCAATCAACGATTAAATACAGTCCAGTAAAATAACTGGTTAAATTATTGCAGATCACTAATCCATGAGAATACATGTACTTACTTTCATCTGGAGAAAGATACGGAAATTCATATATATGTTCCACTGTATTTCTACTCTGAGGGATACAGAAGCCAAACTCGAAGTCAAAGCTTTTCAACATCCTTTCTTTGAAGTAATGTCTCTCAATCATACGGAACTTGTTCACAGGTTTATCTCCAACTACAAACTCCACTCTAAAATAAATACATACAAAAAGGATCATAAAAGTTACCCGACTGTAAAAACTAAAGCTAAAATTCCATTCAAATCGGAGAAAGTAAACAAACTTAATGAACATGAATTATATTTTCAATTATGGCAATACATCAATTTGACATTCTAACTAGATCTGTTGATTAAAATATATTACCTGTGCCAGATAAAATATGCACTTGCGATTTTACTACATCAATTTCTGTATTATCAATAATTACTCTATCTTGAACTGGACAAAAAAAACTTTGGAGTTATGAATGCATGAAGATTGATTACTTACATCTACTCTTTTATTATATCAAAAAGTACACAATTATACATACGTAGCACCGACGGTTTTCAATTTAAGGAACTGTGGTGTGAACTGATACCGTACAAATCTTCCTGCATTAGGGTCAATTTCCTCTGGATCCATGTCCTCATCATCATCTGATCAGACAACAAAACCATATATTTATTCAAGTACAATGGCCAACCAAAGATTAGAGGAAACTTCAATATCAAAGCATTGTCACAAACATTTACCTTTATCAAAGCTTTTACAAATTTAACACAGCTGTCTCTGTATAAACCCATCCTCGATTTCCAGGAGTTACGCTCACGTTCACTCTCTACACCCCTGGGATATGTCATGGCAAAATTGAAGGCTTGATGTGCGCCACCTTGCTGATGAGACTAGTTCGATCCTTTGATGTACATCAAAAGAATCTCGCGGTCACCTAATGGTAAAAGTCGACAGGCTTTGAAGTCGGGCGTCTCTCTTTTGTAATCTTCAAAGGACGGGTATCAGCCTAGCAATTGGTCAGTTTTTTTACCCGAGACCAAACAGATATCTTCGTGCCTTCAATTTTGCCATGACATATTCCAGGGGTGTAGAGAGCAAAAGTAAGCGTTTCCCCTGGATATCGAGGATGGTATAAACCATGATTGTTTTGATAAACCTGACACTTGCATAATACTGAAATATCACAGGTTCATAATATACTACCCTTATGCTATGTTGTCATGATGATTATCCATACTATAGTATTATATTAAGTATGAAACTGCTAATTCACTTGGCATTTAAGTTTGTAGTCAATACAAATACTGGTACCGACTGTACATGACAAATTCGATGAAGTCTGTTAACATTTATAGGTTCATACAGAACCAAATTGTGTTGCATCAAATTCAATGTCTTTTCAATGCTTTTTCAAGACCCTAAGTTAACTTTTCAAGATGGACTAAAAGTCTGTCCTGGTGGCCGACTTGCCCATTTTCTTTTTATTGATGATCTTATGATTATGACACAAGGCACAATTGTCCTTGATATTGTCCCCTTTGATTTTTGCCAACAATTTAAATATAAGGACTAAGGTCCATTGTTAGTTGACATGCTTTTCCACATGGTGGGAGCTCAGCGGACAACCCCTACCATAACACCTTCGATCTTGCTAATTGATCTCACTCGAAACTCTCCGAGACTTCTTACAAGTCAGGGGGAGTTGCCTGCTCACTGCAGTCACTAATTATAAACTTCACATTTGTTTAATGTTTGAAAATCTGTTTGTTTCAAACATAGTTATGTTATTTTAATGTGTTAAATAGATATGGCTCTGGACAATCATATGAATCACAGAATGGCAAAATTCAGGGTCTATTAAAAAGGCAACAGAGATCAGTCTTCAAGGCCCAAAGCAAAATTCAAAGCTTTCCCAAATTCAAGATCTGTGTACATGGCTATGAATTATAGTTACATTGTATTTTACAAACCTGTTGGGGGAGGCTTCGCCACTTCAAACAGCACTGCTCCTGACTCCATGTCACGAAGTTTGAAGCGTGTGAAGTCAATGCCATAGATGTTAGCATCTGGTGAGCACAGGTATTCTACAACAGAACAGATATACAATAAATTGAAATTCTAAACCATAATGTACAGAATGATTGGATTTCTGTTCTTTCTTGTAATGTGTATTATTCGTCTAGACGAAGCCTACTTATCTCAAAGTCCAAGGGTTCTGCTCCTGATATATACATATCTTCACAGCACCTCAGGAATAGGCCATAATAAAATGGAATATTTGTGGTAATTAAAGTCATTTTGATTAGTTTCAAATATAAAAACCTATAGCTATGCTTATATATATACCAGGTATACCTGTCCTTTGAACATTACATAGCAGCTTCATCCAACTACAAAGCCTGTTGATTTTACAATTATGATGCCATGCAAGTTCTCGACCTTCAATTTTGTCTTGACATTTTCTAGGGGTGCAGAGAAAATTTATGTGTATTAAGAAAAGAACAATTGGATTTCAAGGATGAACCTGAAGCTCCTGCATGCAACTTATACAATGTTCCTCAATAACAACCGAAGGATTTAATAGTTTAACAATGGTTTATAGTGTTATAAAAGCGTATTAATAAAACAGACTATTTAGGACACAAGCAAAATCATAAAAAAATAACAGCTGCTGTACTGTACAATGACCTCTATTGAACCAGGTTTTTATTTCAGAGCTATACATCACCTTAATTGGCTGTTGTGAGGATATTGAGCCCCAAACAAATTCATAGATCTATATAATAGATACATTATATCATAATATGGAGATCTGCATCACAGGTATACAGTGTTACACTGGTAAATACATGTATACACCTTCACTAATAGATAAGGTCATTATAATTAGCACCAGATATATATTGATTGTTACAGTCAGTGTACAACAATTCTATGTCCATATATAGTACAAACTGTTGACATACCATGCAAAAATATTCTGTGTGTTTGCTTATCACAATCAATGCTAATGTAAAAGATGTGCATGGATTAGGTTGCCTTACAAGCGTCAGATGAAGGGAATTTCCCTTTAGCTCAGCGGTAGAGCATCGGTATGGAGAACCAGTTAGGGTTGCAGGTTTGAGCCTCAGCTGTACTATCTTTATCACTATTCAGCTTCCTACTACAAACTGGTGCCATTGACCCTCCCCATTCAAGGTAGCAGAACCCTTGGCTGGGGTCAAAGAACCTGGGTTGGTGTTTGAAAAAAAGGGGGAATATTACTATAGTTTAAAAGATGTGGATTTATTAGGTTGCCTTACAGCGTCAGCTGTATGGAATTTCCCTTTAGATCAGCGGTAGAGCATCAGGCTGAAGAGCCAAGGATCGCGGGTTCGAGCCTCCGCGACAGCACAGTCTTTATCACTATTCCTCGATATGGGTGTAACCATTCACTCATGCATCGATGTATTGGATCGCGATACGATGCATCAAGACTGTATCATGAGACCTACAATACTTTAAATTTTGTACTCTCCCGTGTTGGAACACTTCAAAGAAAAAATAGTTTTAGCGGTCAACAAACCAAAATGACTAACGGAAAATATGACAAGAAAAACAGCAAGGTGTCGGCACATTTCAAGTTGCTTATTTCGCAATGGTTTACTTTCAAATCTGCTAAATCCAAAAATGATGTATTTGAGACCACACTTTGTTCTTTTATTGCAATATATGTCGGAGAAAACTGAAATATGCGTGAAATACCATGAACGTGCGCACGCATATGAAGCATCAATACTTCAATCTTCAAGTGCTAGTTAGAAGAAAAACTTCTATAACATTAAAAAAGGATATGTCAAAACTAGTCAGTCTTACTTCTATGTTGGAGAATATGTGAAGAAATGTGACAGTTTCCGTTCAAATCAATCTAAGACCGCTATCGGTAAAATATTGCCAACGATCTTCGTCTGTTTTCAGTTGTTGAAATTTATGATAAAAGTGTAGTTATACAAGAACTGAATGTCTTCATAGTATAATTTTGGTATTTAATGTTATTTTATATTGTACCTATTATACTTGCGTGATAAAAGTTTTCAAATAACTGCTAAATACACATGGACTATGGTATATCTTCCAGATATCCTCCTACTTATCGTATCGCGACCCAAGTATCGTGATACATATCGTAACACAGCATCGCTCACGATACACACCCCTATTCCCTGTCCTACTACACTAACATAATCATGAAAATCAGTAACATATATTAGCATGGTTATAAGTACTAGAGCATGTACATGTTTTTGTATTAACCATTATTACAAAGGAATATGTCATCAATAATAAAGCAGAAATAGCCTAATACTGTTTTGACATAAATATATATATTAATGCAATGGGTGTTCTTAAAGCTGATGATTGCGAAAAATTGTTGAGGGAATATTTTTCTTCTGGACAAACCAGTGTTTCTATAGATATTTATGTAACTTAATACAACACTGATAACAACATGTAAATTTTTCATACATATTGTAAACATATATTTACATATAACTCTATTCAGCTAGGAAAATGAAATATATTTTGTTTAAGTTTTATGTTTGTGAAGTTAAATGTACCACAGTTCCAATTTTATATCAGTACATTTAAAAACTTTTTCTGAGGAAATTATATAAATTTATTTTGATAAAAAATCTACCTTTTGGGAATTTTGCAATTCTAATATGTTAAAGATCATCAGTTTCTTTAATTCAATAGTACGCTCTTTCTTTTTTATTGAGTAAGATTATTTTAAAATCTTGTTCGAATTCAGTACTGATTGACATGCAAAAAAAAAAGATCCTGACTCTAGTAAATCTTGATGCAAGGACAGAGAAAATTCCAATTCTGTTTAACTATTTCTGTTAAAGATCATTCGCAATAGATTTCTGATTGTCTATAGTATGCCAGCAGAGATTTTGAATGGTCACAATTTCATTTCGTAAAATTTAACAGAGTTCATTTTGTCGGATGCGATATCCTCTTTGACAAAATTTAAATGTGCCGTTCAGGAAATAATTAAAGGGACATCACGTGAAGAGCCATATTTTTTTTAATGAATGTATGTATTGTATGCACTTCCACCTATGTTACCTCGCTATCCCAATATTCACAGTCCGTTCCAAATGTCCAGTTTGACCATTTGAATTGTTCGGGAAAGCCCTGCTAAAAATAGCGCCGATAACGTCACCTGACTCGGCAGTAAACACAAGTGGTGTGAGCGAGATGAAATGGTTTCCAAAGGGGCCCCCAGAGAGGGGCCGTTAGGAAACTGCAACTTCTTACCGCACTATGAAACCAAGTAATATGATTTCTAAGTCTGTATTCAAACTTATTGAACAGTAATTATTCATTATCAGAAGTTAATTGCACACTTGCCAATATTCAGAATTTAAACTTATAAATTATTTAGCTTTAAACATAAATTTGTTGCCAATAAAATTAAACAAGGGATGGGGCACAAGTTTTTACAATTTATCACAGCCTTCTCCCGTCATACATTTACTATTAAATGTCAACAATGATAAAAGACATAAACATAAAGTAGATATATATAAATATATATTGAATTTAGTACCGGAATGTGACCGGTACAGGTGGTACGGGGCTAAAAACCTTCCCTCAACAATGGGACAACCCTTTCTGTAAAAAGGAATATTCACGAGACGAATATCCCTATTCAAATGTTTACATACAGTGCATATATATGCAATGACAAACTACACGCGAATAAAAAAGGAAACATTTGGGAATTTATTTATTACATTATACAACTCAATGTCTTTGACCAATTTTCTTTTAGACCATGCATATAAATATATGTATACTCTCTTTCCCACTTTCACTGTCTCCATACGCTAACACTTAGTAAGTCATATTAGCCATCACACACAATAAACTGTGTGGCAAAACCACTACGTGTACATGTAGAATATGTGTCAATAAGGAACGTGTTGAGATACTCGATAATTATATTTTTTCATACTTTACAGAGTTTAAAGCATACTTGTAAATGGACCTTTTTATGTTGAGACAACTTTTCTTTAATAAGTTCCTTTTGTCCGAAACAGAAGCCGTAGTTATCGGCAGCATGTGCCATTTTTACAACGTAATCAAATATTTTTTCCCCTGTTTTCAATACGTATTCCGATTCTATCTGAAGTCGAAAATGTATTCTTTATAGAGAAAAGGTTGTTACATGATCATACATTCCAAGCCAACATCATATGAAAACATGAACTGTTGAAAAATTACGATTTAAAAAAAAAATGTTATGCGATCCTATTTATTAGAAGTAGGTTGGTTCTCCTTCCTCAGTTATTCATCCTGGTCCGTCATTTTGACATTTTTAATCTAGCTGCGAGAACGTAGCTTTTTGACGAAGAGCAATTTTTTTTATATATATTGCGTTGTCGTGCCAGAGGAGGCCGGGTTTTCATATTAGTACTAATTTAAATCTTACATGTCAAAACAAAAAAAAATGTTTAATTCAGCAGTACAATTAAATCATACTATTTTACTGATCCCGGTAATATTATAAATTATGTAAATCTAATAGCGCACGTATCTCATTTGACCCCGAGTACCGGCAGAGGATCAGAGAACAGAATACGCCGTGGCCATCACAACAGTTATCCCTTGGAGGGCCTCATGGCAAAATCAAACTAACCAGTCACTTATCCCTTCCTTTCGCATAAACCACTGTATAATTATAAAAACACAAAGTAAACTCTCTCTGATACATGCCCATTAACATATTAAACTAAGTTCATCCGTGTTCAAACTTACACAATGATACTAGCAAGGTTAATAGTTTTTGATATTTATTCATAACATCAACAGCGCTAGCATTTCTGTCGATTCCATTACAGCTCAACCGGCTATCCGGAAGAATACATGCACCGTACTAAATGCTAGGGCAGTTATTTTCTCCTTTGAATACTTCCCACCTGCAATAATGATTCTGTAACGTCCCCCTTGCGCTATCTTTTGACTATTTGGCAACTTTTCGCTTCGTAGCTGACACGGTACAACACTTTTCTTTTGCTTACTTTACACGGCCAGTCATTTTGTTTACAAAGAAATGTTGTGCTATGCACATGCGCTAGTAGAGGGATATCCCAAAACAAAACGTTGGTCAGACAGGTAGAAATACCGATGATTATCTCAGATTTAATCCTTTTTATGAATCTATTTCAGCCAAATCCGATCGTTATTTTCCATAAGGAGTCTCACTTGATATGTTTATGTAGTATTTGAAAAAAAGACACAATTTTTTTTTACTTCACCGTGATGCCCCTTTAAGTCATTTTTAACCAGTGGTTCATCCTCATACAGTGTTATTTCGTTTTCAAGTTTTAATTTGTTGTCTGCAGTTCTCCCAAGACAACAATGCCACGCTTCACTGCTGAAACATATGTAGCGGAACTTAACTGGGTCGATCGTCGGCGACCAGATAGCTCAAGAGTTCGGAAGGTCCTGGGTTCGAATCCCGGTCTGGTCGTACATTTTTCCTCTCCCGTTACATTTGGCGCCCAACGAAATATACCCACATAAGGTGGTATAGGGTCTATAACATATTTCGTGTTGATAAAGGGTTATTTTCCACATTTTAGTAGAGCCAATCATAAAAACGTTTTTCATGTGTATATACTAGCACACGTTACACTAATTTGATCATATATACATTGTAGGACATCAAACTTGAGTCAGAATTGCCAATTTTATAAATTCACTTTTAAGCCATGCCATGGAAGGCAATTTTTATATTCCTGCTATCAAAGGAGAAGAAGCTCCAAATTTTTATCATAATGTTGTGAAGGACTGGAATATGCTTCCTGGCAATATAAAGCAAATTTCAAAGAAAAGCAATTTTAAAACTCATGTGAAAAAGTATTTTATGATTTTATGGAAAAAATATATAAAAACGNTAACGTGCATATATATATAGACGTAGTGCTTTTACTGGACGGTCACTGAAACTTGGCACATAAAAGGGTCATTTACAACAGAACTAACTAATGCATCTGTCATTGCATATTTGAACACTGAGTTCCCGACTGACTTTGTGAACAAGTGTCGATACTCCTATTCATATATTTGACACACAGTCCTCACCCTCTGCCGTCGACAAGTTATCACGCAAAATAGATCATTAGATGACCTATTTTCGGTTTTGACGTTTCTACACCTCGGACTAGTACATTTATATTTTCTATATACAGAAAGTTCAATAGTGTATAATGCCAACAACTCACTTTCTGATATTTTTTGTAAACGTAAAACTTCGTCGGGTGAAATGTCTTTTTTCTTTAGTAATTCGTCTTCCGTGATCGGTTCAAGCGTCACTTTATCTTTGGCTTTCGCTGCCCTGGACAAAAACCCACCTCCCTTCTTTTTACCTGTAGCTTGGCTCATGGTAAATGGAGGTAGAAATACACTCAAATCAAAGTCAATGGAATTCTTTGAAAACGCTGACCCCCTTGATAATCACAAATAAACAAAGCCTTTGTTCAGGGGGACAGGTAAACCGACTGAACAATGACAGGCGTCGTTGTCTTCCGAGCTTGAGAAGATGGCGGCGGTGGCAACGGGAATCCTGGGAAGCACTTGCTATTTCCGGTAAAACAAAAATATTCCGGTCCAACCTCCATTTCCATTTTTATATTCTCACTGTCCACCGGAAATCAATCTTTTGCGGGAAATCAAAAGTTAAGATATATGTTGTTTACCACCAAGAGATAAGTTTAATATAACATTCAAAGGGCCATTGAAGCAGAACTAAATATGAAAGAGGTAACTATAGTTGTCATCACCATTTTATCGAGCATCATCCTTGGATACTCAACCACCAGTCAACAGGACAGCGGCCCTCAAATCACAGGTACTAGCCCCGTCTGTCAGTATATATATATATACCATAATATTCAATCAAGATAATATTATGGGTGTATTGAAAGACGAGGCTAGTACCCTGTGCTCAAATCTTTAGGCTGTAGACTCGAGAGTCGCTGTCAGTAACTTACTGAACGGCTACACTGTACAGTAAAGTTGTTAACAAATTTATAGTAATACCCTTATTTTTATATGATTTGATGAGATGAAAGTAAATCTGGTTGAAATACGGCAAGTTGGCAACATACTTAAAATAGAAGAGATATAATTTCAAATACTAAATCTTATTCACTCACAGGCCATTTTAATCCTTAAATATATATCAACCATTATACCGCACAACTCCATGATAACTACTCGTACATTGTACAACTCTTGTACAACTCCATGATAACTACATTGTATCACACAGATGTTCCACACTATAATCATGTGCACATGGTCACACAACACACATTGTGTTGCATTGTGCGATACCACAACTGTATCTAATAAGGAAAGCAATTAATTTAAACAAGATAAAGCAAGAGAATTACAGATTCAACATCGGGAATTTGAATCTTAATGGGAAGAAGAAGAAGAGCACAGACCTCATCTTGGTATATAAGGACTTGGATAGCAGAATTTGCAACACTGCTACAATTCCATCTCTTGTATTTGTGCTCCAGAATAGGTTGCATTTGGGAACTCTTGACTTTCTGAGATGGTCTTTACAAATGAAAGCACATTCTGGCCTTTAAATAGGATTTCCATGGAAGTGGATGTGTCACATATATACCCCAGAGCAGCCATGCATGTTGATTTTTCAGGTTTTGGTCAAAACCGAACTTCATTTGGTAGTTTATTCATGTGATATAAAAATATTTGTTGTTTCCGGTGACCCTACCTACCCTAATTTTTGGAGCATACCCTGAACTTTTTAAGGCAATTTTCAAAGAAGCATTGATTGTTAATTATAAAGTCAAGATAACTCTTCTGTATAAACTATGTAAAAATATTTGTGAAAATATAATTTATCTACGTACCCACCCTTAATATTTCCAACATGTTACATGCACAGGAAACACACAGATTTTTGTCTGGCCTAGACATATGCAGAAAGCTTAATGAAAGAAATTTTAATGACTTGAATCAGTGAAAAGTCTGGTGTTTGGGGCCAGAAGAAAACTTCCATCTTAATGATTATGTCTTCTTCGTAAACCCCCCAGATCTACAATTATGATTTTACAGTGCAAAAATGCTTACTATGCAAATATTCTTCATATTTTAGCAAGATCGGAGTTTAGCAGCACGAAAACAATACCACACATCTGTATTTGCACAGTGTTTTTCACCCTGCGGAAAGTTTCTGGCTGCAGCAAATAACCATGGCTCTATTGCAATTTTCAGGTGAGTTTGGAATGTCCCATTCACGTATCCCAGTTGAAATGGTTCAGGTGGAGCAGAAATATTCCACGATTAACGAAGGCTGTACTTGGACCGAACTGTAGGCAGAACTAAAAAATTAACATTTTCGGAGAATAAATAACAATATATCCAGAATATGTCCTTCTTTCATGTGTCCACTAAATTATATATAACATATCTTAAAATATGCATCTGGTTTGACATTGTTTTAAGAAATACGGCAAACTGGCAATAATCAGCATTTTAGTTTCCATTAGGCACGTCTGGACCCATCAATCTACACATGCTGATCTTGAATACGAAGTTCAGATCGGCACCTGTCGTTTTTCTTTCAGGTTCAACTGTTTCAACATAGGATATAAAGAGGATATTTAATGGTTTCCAATTCAGGCATTGAATAATATATATATTTCACAAAAATGGTAGAATACAAATATATATTGAAGGTGCAAAGCAAGAGGGAAAATAACAATATACTGTATACCTGGAAATTAAAATTTTTGCACTTCGACGTTAAAATACAGTTTCATAAAATATTTAATTCACCCTTCACTTTTAATTACTTTGTTATGTTGTTTACATATATGTTCGCTGTACTGATGAATTCAAGTCTAACATTAAACTGCAGCGAAAATTTCTTGTTATACCGTATTCTGTCATAGGAGTGAAACATCTGGTATTCAAGGGCAAATCAAATTAAATTTTCTATTTAACATTTCTAAATTACCTACAATGACAAAGAATGTTGCCACTTCAAAAATTTGGGGACATACGTTGTAGTAGCCTATTCTTTGGCCCTTATTTTAATGGCGTCATATACTTCACAACAAGGCTGTGCACCATTTTGAAAGGGCAAGTCATCATAGTTCGACCATTTTCTGCTATTATTTGGTAAGATTTACATGCATGAATGGTACGTACAGATTGTGTTTGTAAATTAGTGCTCTATAGGAAAGATGTACTGAAATATAAAACTACTTATTCAACCATCGCTTCATCTTTATCTGAGAAGGTACTGTACATGTACAGTTGTGATTGGACAGTTCCAAAAGTGATATATTCACACTGTGAAAGATATAACTTTTATTAAGTGATAGAATTTGATGTTTCCCTGGCAAAAATGTAATAAAATCAAATTAATATTCAATATCAACATTATGTAACATTATGATAATATATAATCATGTTTAATTTACAGCAAGCAGATCTAGAGCACCATACCTTCATCAAGTCGAACTGAATCATTTTGTTGGTTAAAGTATTATCTTGACCATGAAAAGCTGATTATCTTTTCTTATAAACTTTTTCATGTACTAAACTTATATGCATGATTGTGTTTATTTGTTTATTGAAGTCTGACAACAGCTTTATCGCCAGACAGCACAGAGGCTCTTTGGAAACCTGTATACTCCTTTAAAGGTAAGTATCATCACAGACAACCTAAAAGCTTTGTGTAGAGTCGATTAGACACGTCTCTCGTGTATAGAAAATCACGATTCTAAACATTTCCTTAAGTTTAGTACATGTAACGATAGACTGTATATATATAGGCTTATAAAGCAGAACCAGTGAAAGGTTATTGTGATATTTCTATGACTACATGTAGTACAATACATTCTGTCACATTCATCACAGATGTATGACTGGTGAAGCGTATGGAAAATAGGATGTAAAACATGTACAAGTTGGCAGTCAAGTCTCCATCAAACAAATCAATTTGGCTACATGTTTGATACTTGCAGTCATAGATGTGTAAAGTCAGCGAGCCCCCCAAACGTGATTTAGAAATGGCCCGCTGTGGCATGTCCAGCCCTCTCCAACACTTTGAAATATTCATTATCCCAGTAGTTAATAGCATTATTTTGCTGCGTGGCATGCCACTATAATTGCCAGTTTATATGTCTCGGACTTTGATTGCTTTCTTCCTTATCAAGTGAATTTCTTTCCCTCTTAGATTTAATTAACTTTCAAGAAACACAATTTGTATCTTTAGTCTTCATCATAGAAGAGTTAGAAACTATGTGACATGTGGACACATGTACATATATCTGGTATAAAGAAGCATTATCACATACGATACGTATGCTGTGTGGACACCTGTAAAAAGAGGAATAAAATCACAGACATATAAGACATGCTGTAGAAAAGTGTGTTCTATAATTTAAGCACTAACAAAGTACCTGGGTGTTCAGTCACGTTGTCTCCTTTAATTTAAAGACAGTTTACCAGTGTTAAACAAAACGAAGTAGCTCTTCTGAGAAAACCTATATATTCCAAACGTCACTGTAATGTACAAACGCAAGATTTCTACTTTAAATACTTCAAAGGTCAGTGTTCACTTACATTCTTTAAATTAACAACTCAATAACTTAGTGAGAAATCAGTCTGAAAGGAAATGCATGCTTATAGTACTGATTTTGAACTATTCTTAAGTTTTTTTAGTGTTGGTAAAAATTGCATAATACAAGAAAACAATATGAAAGCATTCAAATTAATATTACAAATATCTACAAGTTTCGTTGATTATAACAATTTCTTTTTCCATCTGTACAGCTTCAGAGGAAGGAGCGATATTTTGTCTAGCTTCTTCAGACATCTTCTTAATCAGGTAATATTGTAGAAAACACTCCAAATTCTCCTTGTGTCTGACACTGTAAAGGTCACCATATACACCAACTGGCTTTTGTATGGTCTATGTATGGGACCACCAAACTATATTGACTCCACCAACATGCAACCATGCAGCTACCACAATAGCACATGATTACATTGACCAACAGTGCATTACAACCCTACCATTGCAGCTTCAAACACAGTTACAATCACATTGCACCGTACATATAACCCTGCTAAACCCTAGTTAACATATTATTGTTCCACTGCAGTAGACATTGACTGCAGCACTATAGATCTCTGTATATATCTGTATTTTGTGTAATTGTAAAGTCAAATGTACAAATATACAAACTTTTACTTATTACACAAGTAAACTTTATTTATTTTCCTTAGCAAAGAGCTGTCTCCTGAGTATAAAGACTTGGTAATGAATTGAGGTTAGACAGAATCAATTTCTGTGGTCTCTGAGGTTTGTTATAAGATGTGTAACTCTATATTAAGGTTAAGTTTATCAGAAATGCCGATACTAATTATAAAAGTACAGCATTATATGATTGTGTAACTTGGCTTAAATTTACCCAATACTGATTGGCTGTTTAGTTCATTTTAATGAAGTAGTTGGTTAACATAAAACAGAGTGAAAAGGCACCCACAAATACTTCTTGTTACATGTATATTGAATATTGTTACATACCATTTGTACTGTATTGTGATTGTTTCCAGTGGCGGAAATGGACCCATTTGTGCGTGGAAGTGGTCAGACATACTGAACAAGGTACATTGTACAATGCTATTGTTGTTATCTCTCACTCTGTACTTTGTCTTGTCGAATAACATTATCTATAAATTATGGCAGATAAAATGTACATGTATAATATTAGAACCTTACACCGCTCTTGGGGTGAGTTGATGGCAGATATAATGTACATGTATAATATTAGAACCTTACACCCCTTTTGGGGTGAGTTGATGGCAGATATAATGTACATGTATAATATTAGAACCTTACACCCCTCTTGGGGTGAGTTGATGGCAGATATAATGTACATGTATAATATTAGAACCTTACACCCCTCTTGGGGTGAGTTGATGGCAGATATAATGTACATGTATAATATTAGAAC